GGATGCCACATGTTAGTCTTTTTGTGTTTTAACATCATTTAAGTCAAACTAATTGCAAGTACTAGATGACTAACAGATCTTACGCAAGCACTTCTAACTTCCCAAGTTCAATAGAAGAAATGAAGCACTTCTCTAAAATTCCACTGTTATGCACAGAGCAATGCATATGCCTGAGTCAAAGCCAGTTTGGAGCCAACTGCATTGAGTACAGGGAAGGTTACAAAATATATCTTATTTTGCAGTTTCCCAGTAGGTAAAAGCACTAGGGGTTGTCCATACGTGCTTTAGAAGAATAACATATAGAAGCTCATTTAGACTATTTAACATGAATGGTTGCAATACAACTGCCCAAACAATTATAGATCAACACAGACATATGTGGTGTAAACAAGTTTTTACAGAAAAATGTAGCATCAGAAAAAATTCCACCGTGCATCACTGCATAACATAAGGGGAGCACAACAAAAATGTAGGCTTCTTAAAGATCTTAGGTTTACCATGTGGTCTGCTAGCACATGCAATGGAAAAAGGCAGCAGAGCTCTGCATACTTTCTTTTGCTAATGGTGTGTTAGATTCATGCAATTCTTTTGGAAATATTGGAGAGGTAAAAACTTTTGTGCTTGTTTGAGAGCTAAAATTGAAGTAATAAATTGAAAGATGGTACTTTTTAAAAATGAGATTAAGTTGGGCATGATTCCTAGAACTGAGACAGCAAATAATTCACATAGTAGGGTCACTATAAGTATTTATAGACTATGGAATTCGCTCCCCAGAGAGGTCTGCCTGGTGCCAACACTATATTCTTTCCAGCACCAGGTAAAGACCTTTTTATTTGATCGTTATTTTAATCAATGTTTTAGGATTTTATTTTATTTCTTTCCTCTTTTTCACAGTCACATAATGTTATACTGATGTTTTATATTGTTTTAATAATTAATGTTTTTATAGTAGTTTTATATTTATTGTATTTTTATATATTTTGTAAGCCGTCTTGAGCACTTGAAGTGATAGAATAGAGTATAAATGCATGTAATAAATAATAATTTAGGGCACATTGGTTAAAGAGGTCATCGGTATACCAGTCTGTGTTGTGTCTTTCAGTTACTGTTCATACTCAGGATTTTTATATTTTACTTGATACTGAACAAAGTCTAAGACAAGAATGACTATTTTGATTGTTGTTGTTTAGTTGCAGTTGTTCTGACCCATCACTGTTTTGATACAAATCATCTAATCAGCTGAAGCTCAAGAAATGCTAATACTTAGGTACCTGCCTAGGATACATTGTACCATGTGGAGATTTGGATGCAATTCGTATTTAAGATTTAGAAAAGCATGATTGGTATTTGTGACACATTCAGACTTAATTCCAAAAGCTGTCATTATTTAAGAATTGCAATTTGATCTTATTTTTATAGAAATAAATAACAACAGAATTGGAATTGGTATGAAGACCGTGCTGTTGTCATGTGCGTAAAATGTGTTTATATTTTTAAGTTTTCTGCATTATTGCATGTATTTCTTAAGTTTCCCTTGTATAAGGTGGTAAACTTATTTTTCTGGCACTCAAAACTATTTCATATCTGCAAAAATGAAATCTGTGACACTTTGTAGAAGGGGCTACAAGGTTGTAGCAGTTTTCCAAACAGAGCATATTTTTGTCATGCAACTGCTGAAGAGCAGCATAGCCATATAATTTTGGGATTTCTGGGAATTCTTAGAATTCTTTTATATTAATGTATCTTCCCAACTTTAATTAAAGAAACACTGATGTGGTAGTTTTGGTTTGTGCAGATAGTAAATACCCTTCTCCTACATTGTATTAGGAACCTTTTGTATAGTTTAATTTTTACAGGGAGACCACAATCTCTCCTTTTTTGTACTACAGCATATATTTAGCCAAGTTTAAAGGAAGTTTGGAATGGGAGATAAAGGGTAGTACCACCCTTGATTGGTCTCCAGTCTATTATATACAGTGCTAGCATTTATATAACACTTGAGGGTATTGTTGATAGTACTTTTATATGTTGTCCTGTTGAAACAATGACAACCCTTAAGAAAAGGCAGTATTGATAATTCTCTATTGGAGATTGGAGGTTGAACCTAAGAGAATGAGGGACTTGCTGTAAGGCCAGTTAGTGAATTCATACCAAAAATGAATTTCATACCTAGGGTTCCTAATTTAAAGCCCCAACTTTAAAAGTAGACTGAGGTTTGCTGTGTTGGACAAATGAACAGACATAGTAGGCTTGCTGTGCTCCCCCCTACCCACTGGTATTCTAGGGGACACGGGGGCACTAAGGGGAGGGGAGCACTTCCCAAAAGTGCCCAAGTGGCTCTTGGAGGCAGCTGTCAGAAACTGTCCACTGCTGTTCCTAGCAGAGAGAGCCTGCCTGAAGCAGGAGAAACTGTGTTGTACTCAATCCAAGCAGGACCCTGCCCCTGCTTGGTTGTGTGCTTAGTGGTTACTGTGCCAACAAGGTGCACTCTGGGGAATCCCAGCAGAATTTGCCCTCTTCACCCAGCATGCCAGCTGCTACGTAGGTAGGGAATGAGCTTTGTTCTCTTGAGTGGCTGCATATGGCTTCTTCCTCCACCCTTCTTGGATTTGGAGAATCTTAACATTAGGTCACTGGTAAATGTTCCTTTCCTGATCAAGGTTTGTGGGTAGGTGGTTACTAATAAGCAGTATATGTTCTTGAATAAGATTTTTCATCTTACTCCATTTTAGTTAGGGGGTCAGGCTAGCTTTTGGCACAGAAACAGCCTTTGTCATCTTGCATGGTAATCTGTATTAGCAAAGAGACATGGTGGGATGACCTTATTGATTCTGCTTGATCTTTTGGCAGCTTTTGGTATCATTGACCACAGTATCCTTCTGGGCTGATTGTCCAAGTTAAGAGTAGAAAGTAGTCATTTACAGTGGTTTTGTTCCTACTTGGATGGTTTGTTCCAGAAGGTTAGAATATTGGCAAGTTGGAAGATGCTTGGAGAATATTACTCAACCCTGTGGATTTTCTCCATGTGGGAATCCTCAGAGGTCATTTTAATCTCCCTTGTTATTTAATATCTATATGAAACTGTTGTATGTGGTCATCTGGAATTTCAGAGTGTGCTGTCATTAGTATGCTACTGTAGTGCCTCATTCCAATTCTCCTTTTCAGGTGAGGCTGTTGATGTGCTAGATTGGTTCCTGGCTATGACAATAGACTGGTGATGGGTAATATATTGAAACTCAGTTCAGACAAGCCTGTTCTGAATGAGGTTATACTCCCACTGAAAGAGTGAGTTCATAGCTTGGGGGTTCTCTTCTGTCCATATTTGTCACTTGAGGGTCAGGTTGCCTGTGAGTGCCTTTTGCCAACTTCATTTGGTGATCTAGCTACCCCTCCATCTGGATAAGGATAATGTGGCTCCAGTTGTCTCTGGTAAATTCCAGATTAGATTATTGCAATGTATGCTGTGTTAGCTACCTCTGAAGATGGTTTAGAAGCTGTAGCTTGTGTAAAACATAGCAGCCAGCTTGATAACAGGAACCAGGAAGACTGAATGTGTAACACCAATTCTAGCCCACTTACACTGGCTGCCTGTATTCTTCCAAGCCCAATTCAAAGTGCTAGATTTAATCTATAAAGTTTACCATGATCAGGAGCACAATACCTGATGCCATGCATCTTCTAGCATGAACCAACCTGTACACTACGTTCATTATCTCAGGGTCTCTTCCAGGGAACTCTTTTGAGGGAGGCTCAGAAGGGAGAGAGCCTTCTTGGTGGCTCCCCCTTCCCCATTCTGGAATGATCTTCATGAGAAATTCTGTCCAACACCAGTGTTTTTATCTTTCTGGCACCAGGGTAAGATGCTCTTCTCTAAGGGTATGATAAGGATTTAATCAGGTCTTGAAGTTTTTGCTTGATTGCTTGATGATTGTTTAAAATAGTTTTTACACAAGTTATATCTCTCTCTGCTATACATTTACATGTTTGCATGTATATGGTTTTAATAATGTTTTTGTAAGATTATAATCTCTTGAGCTTTAGCTATTAGATTTTTACAGTAATGCAATAAATGAAATGTTTATTTACTCGCAGGTTTTTACATTATCAGACTTACCTGATGTTGATTTGTATTCTGTCACTTTATGCCAAACACTTAAATTTGGTACTAAATTTATCTCTCTTATAAGTATACTCCCTAAACTCTCCAAAACTGTTTTGATTCCACAAATTATATCTGTATCTATTATATCTGAAGTTAATGGGCTGAGATAGAGGTGTAGGAAATTATTTCTTTCTGAAAGTTGCATTGGCATGCCAGAAGCATATGGGAGAGGAGCATGATAACAGTGAATGGGACCAAAGAAGAGCACTTTGTTCTGTTCATGGGGGGAGAGAATCATTTTTTGCTCAACAGTCATTCTGTGCATGGAGAAAGAGGTTGCCCCTTTCTTCACAGTTGAAGGCATGGGAGCCATCTGACATGGAGTGATACACTTTTTCTTACTTAGGTTTGACCCTTATGTGTTCTTTGCACTTGAATATAGCAGTGCTGTAAGTCAAGCCATTTGAATTCAAAACAATTCTGCTTGCAGAGCATTATATTTCAAAAACATGCTAATTTGTTGAATTGTACTTCTTTTTGATGATAGAATTACCTTACCTTGCAAATATAATCTAGAGTTTTTTTCAAGAACAGACACTACTGAGACTTTGGTAGCATTGGTGTGATATAACTACTGGAAAACACAATAGAGCCTAAGATCTATCAATTGAAGATTGTTGCAATTTTGTAAAATTGTCAAACATTGTTCATTGATTGCAGAATTATAGTCTCTCTTGGGCCTTACTCTAACTGTAGCAGTGGTAAGAGTTATGTCAACATAATTTCATTATATAGCAGAACAATAATCAGCACCAAATTATTGTATATGTTGTTGATCCACATGGCAGTTTTGTGTCTAGCTTTATCAAATAAAACAGTACAGCTGTGGCATTAAATATTCCTTTTAACTTAAAACATATCCTTTTAAATCTTTATATATTTTTTTCCTTTTAGGAAACCTTCTGCAAGATCCAATAGCACCCACAAACTCCACATGTCAGCATTATGTCTGCAAAAGCTGTAAAGGCAAGAAGATGATGATGAAACCATCATGTAGTTGGTGTAAGGACTATGAGCAGTTTGAAGAAAATAAACAATTAAGCATTCTGGTGAACTGCTATAAAAAACTATGTGAGTACATAACGCAAACACCACTGGCACGAGATATTAAGCAAGCTGTTGACACTTCTCCAGATCTTTTGACTCTGCTTAAAGATGGCTCTCCACTCCATGAAGATACAGAAAAAACATCTGATGAAACCTTGGCATTGTGTTTGACACATTCCCCATCACCTTCAACCTCAGAGCATGCTAATGAGCCACCAGCAAGTAATTCTTCTGTACCTGAAAGCACATATGACTCTGATGTGAAAGGCTCTGCTGTTAATGGATTGCCCAATTGTAATGGTCTGTCGGTAGATAAACTTAGAGTAAATGTTCCTTCCCCTGAACATACAAATGCAGTTAACGTATGTAGTCCTGGACAGTACATAAAAACTGAAGATATTTCTAGCACTCTTCAGCCTATCTGTGATATAGTTTCTCCTAGTGACTTGTGTGCAACAAGCATTGATCTCCACAGTTTCAGTGAAGACATCAAACCTGGTGATTCTCTTTTACTTAGTGTTGAGGAAGTGCTACGGAGCTTGGACTCTAACACAGAAGTCTGCAGTTCTAATCTGCAACACGGTTTGGAAACCAATCTATCCAATGGCCCTTTTTTGCAGCTTTCTACCCCACCTCCTAGCCATAACATGTTCATGTCAATGGGTGCTTCACCTCATGGGATTTCATGTACAGCTGCAACACCTAAGGTAGTAAAATTAAACAGAAAGCGATCACGATCAGAAAGTGATAGTGAGAAAGTTCAGCCCCTTCCAATTTCCAGGATCCTTTGTGGTCCAACTTTGGGAGCCTCAGCTCCTGTAACGGTAAAACAGGAAGCAAAGATGTCCTTGCAGCCTATAGCAACTGTACCCAATGGAGGCACTACTCCTAAAATAAGCAAAACTGTGTTGTTATCAAATAAAAGCATGAAAAAGAATCTAGACCATACCGCCAAGAAATCTCATCCTAAATCCAAATCAGGAATGCTAAAAACAAAATCAAAAGAAAAAAATCCTAGCAGTCACGTGGTGCCAGGAAGTCCTACAAAAACTGTGTACAAAAAGGCACAAGAGAAGAAGGGGTGCAAATGTGGCCGAGCCACCCAAAATCCAAGTGTTCTTACATGTCGTGGCCAACGCTGCCCTTGCTACTCAAACCGTAAAGCCTGCTTAGACTGCATATGTCGTGGCTGCCAAAATTCATATATGGCTAATGGGGAGAAAAAACTGGAGGCATTTGCAGTGCCAGAAAAGGCCTTGGAGCAGACTAGGCTTACTTTGGGCATTAATGTGACAAGCATTGCTGTGCGCAATGCCAGCACAAGTACCAGTGTAATTAATGTGACAGGGTCACCAGTAACGACATTTTTAGCTGCCAGTACAAACGATGATAAGAACTTGGATGAAACTATAGACGTGAGATATGACTGCTGAGTCATTCTTTTTTCTTTTCTTTTCTGTCTTTTTCCCCTGCCTTTGTTAAGGGGACTGCTACAATTTTGAAGGCAGCTATGGTTCTGTTCAACTTACCGGAGCTCCTGCATATAGATCACTTGTATCAAGTGTTTTTCATTGCTATGTTGTGTGTTAGTGTCTGGGAAATAGTTTTGACAGTAATTGCAGAGTTACCCTGAAACTGTCTTTAGTTCTTACAGCACCTCATAGTTTCAGATCAAATGCTAATGTAAATGATTTTTAATACAGAATTACTTTTTGGCAAATATTGACCTTGTTGTGCCAGTTCATGCTTTGTGCTTAATCAGAGATTGGTTAAATATACAGAAATGGTTTCTAGTCAGTCCATCAGAATTGTTCTAATTTATGGTGTACCCATGGTTAGTGTCAATCTTGAAAGAAAATTAGCACCATGCTCATAGTAGAAATCTAGTAAAAATATAAACAGCTGGCCTCATAATACCACGTTATTTGTGGATTGGGAAATTAGTAATTTAGCACCTTAAACTTGTTCAAAAGTGAAAATAACTGTAATTGTCCAACACATATGTGCTGTTCTGAAGCAAAGAAATGATCAAACTGGGCCATACCTTCAGTTGGTGTCACTCAAAATTCTTAAATATTTGTACTACTTCTTTTAAGAAATATTTTGAAAATTCCAGTTAGAGTTCCTTTGACATGAAGCAGCCTTCTAAGATTTTTATTATTTTCACACCTTTTTAAATGTTCACAGATTGATGTCATTAGTCTACTTCATGATGTATCATACCGTTAATATTTTTTCAGGATATTGTCGCTGACCTCCTTATGAAATAGAAACTATATTTTGAAATGTGTTATCCTAGTTAGCTACAAAATAAAACCAGTTTAATTCTCATGCCAAAGTTAATGGGACATCAGTGTATCCTTACATTAGATTTTAGTTGTCACAGGAATGTAAACTACCCTTCTGCCCTGCCCTGACATGCTGCTGATGTTCAGGACATGTGACACTGTCAGACTTTCAGCTGAGATGCTCTCATGGTGCTCCTTTAAGATCTGGTGCTTGTTTTTCCCCCAGTCCCACCTATGCATTGCTTTGCTTTGCTCTTATCTGGGGCAGGGCACCTTTGGATGCACAAAGGTGAGGCACAGCGGGCCTTGGTTGAAAGCAAGATTAATGCTACAGTGCAGCCATACCTGGAACAGCAGTGGTGTGCCAAGGATGACATAGGCATGGATACTGCTGTTATACTCCAATCCTACAAGAGCAGTTGCATATCCCACGCTGTGCAGGAGATTTAATCATTATAGGTAATTATGCTATGAGAAAAGATAAACTGTAAAATGGAAGATATACCAGTTTGCATCAAGCCTGCATTTGTAGGAATGTGTTAAAAGATTTTAAGTTCCTCACCTTGCATAAACTATGGGCTGACTAGAACAGAGAAGCCTGAGTTGTGGTCACTTAGCCCCTCCCCTGATGGAATGGTTTTCATCAAGCTGAACAGGGAGACAACAAGAGTCCTCTTCTCTGCAGATTTGTGCCCTGCCCCCAGCAATCTATTCTGGAGGGTAGGGGAACCTTCTGGGAAGCATTTTTTGGGGGAATTGCAGCAGGAGAAGGAGAAGTGGAAGTGGACTTATCATGCAGTGTTAGATTTCACTCTATGTCCCATATTAAAGGACAATGTCCTGAAGTAGAGCAATATTTAAAAATAGCCAGCCTAAAGAAAATTAATGCCACAGTTTCAAAAACCCTGTTATACTTGCCATCTAATTGTTTGTTGAGTAACATTGCCAGTGAATTATATCATCAGACATTTTGGATTTGGCACAAAGCATGTACAATGATGGTTACGAGGTCTGAAAAGTAAAAGGTTTTGGACACCAATTGAATGATGCCTCGTTTTTGTTCTGTAGTGTACCATGGTGTCTTTTTATGTGAATGTGGTCAAATAGCATTTTTGTTGGCTTTCCAGTTTGTTTTTCCCCTGTCTTTTCTGTGGGTAGGGCAGGGTGGGGGGTGGGGGTTAAAGCCATAGGAAGAAGAATGTGATGTAAGTGTTCGGTATGTACTTTTTTGTTTCTGTTTTGCAAGAAGAGTTGAAAAATATTTTTGATAATGAGAGTAAATGGTGGAAAATGCTCTTTAGTATTCTTGTCTTTTTTTTGGTCAGCCCAAACTCCTGAATTCTGTGTTTAATTTTGAGGTTTATTATGGTCTATTAAAACATAATTAGTTAAATACGTATGTGAATTTTTTTGTGGACCAAATGGGATTTATCTTTATTTGCTTGAGTGTTCTAACCTTAACTTGCTAGTGTAAATCTTAATTATTATTTCAGTACCTGTAAGAAGACTAATTAAACAAAAAGCCTAGGGTGCTGTTACCATGACGTGGGTGCTATCTGAAACTGTTATTTTTTTGACACTGCTGCTACTACACTTAATATGGAACTCCAACATGTCACTTGTGGTAATGTGCAAATAATATCAGTATAGCTTACAGCTGCACTAAACAGCATTTTAGTAGTTGGTGATTTGGGTCAACTGTCCTTTGGCACTTTTTTGTTCATGTTTTTTGTTTTGTTTTTTTAAGATTCTAGATCTTTAATGTATTGCTGGTGGTAAATGCAGGTTTTAAAAACTAATTTCCTTCTGCCCTGCCACATTCTTAAGCTATGTATTAAAATCTGGGGTGTTTAATAAATGTCAATTTTTACATTTTTGGTAAGCTGACAGGGAAACTTTTTTGTACCATTTAATGCTCTGAATGCTTACTTGCAAAGGGAAAGAGATTTTTTTTTTAAATTACTTAAAATTTGTTTTATTTGCTACAGTTGCATATTCAGAAATTTAATAAAGCAATGGGGAGGTCTACTGTGTTGGTAATAAGAGGTTTTTCTGAAAACTCATATCTCTGTGACCTAGCACTAGTTTTGTCTATGTTGCAGGTGCTTCTGTAATCATTTGCCAAAAGGAACAAGGGATCTCTTTATATGTTTAGCAGCTGAAAATACAGCGCAAGTGTTTTTACAGAACTGCTGACTGATCTGTGTATTTAAAGAATAGAAACCAGTTGCACTAAATTACAAGAATATCACACTGAACAGCATCTCACAAAAAATAAGAACTAAAAAAAGGCTAAGACGTACAATCTTGTGAGCAAGAAAAGAGTGGCATCTTACAACAACTATTAATGTTATAATTCCACATGCTTAATGCCTGGTTAATTCTGTATTCAGATGTCAACATAGGTTTGTAACATTCAGAAAGGATGCCATGTAGGAAAATAGTACAACTTGTAGTTGCGCATTTTTATCTCTCTAATTTATCTGTGTAACCGTCTTCATTATCATATCTCACCTTCCAAAATTCAAAATTGGAAGCAACAGCAAATTCAGCTTGTTTCTTGTCCAGAAAAGGGTTTCTCTTCCCTGGTTCTTGGCCACTGAGAAACCATTAAATAAAATAAAGGAAATACTAAGATGGGTCCAGACTTAGTCATGCTTAGAGTAGATTCATTGCAGTCTATGAGGCAAATTATTATTAAAGTCCAATTGATTTTAATCTGCCTTAAGCATAAATAAGTCTAGACCCAACCCACATTGTTTAGAATATATTGGTAGTTTTTTACAACATGAATTTCTGACCTTGGTGTCTGGTGTCTAAGGGAGATACAACTTAAATTCTGGTTGTATGTTCTAGTCTCCTTCACCTAAAAAATCTAGAATTCCTGATTGCAGAATTGTAAACTGGTAGGAGTAATGCACAGAGCCTTCTTGCTTATTAACTATGCAGTCTAATAATGTGTTTTTCAAGGCTTAAGGATTTACTAACCTTTTGGTATTTCTAATATCTAGCACATGCCAATCTGCCAGTTGAGTTCTACGTGTTGTAAAAGCCATGAGGTATGCATCTGAGAAGAGGAGGAGACGACAAAGTCAAGCATTGTTTACTAGAAAACTTGGTCTTAGGTTTGGCTATATCTACAAGAAAACAGTTCCACTGTAATACATTTTTTTCACATATCCTTGTATCATCAAGCCATCACTTTGTCTTTCTTTTAATAGAGTGTTGGGGGATATGTTAAGAAGCAACACTGATACAACTTTTAGACTTTCTGCAGAGAACTGTAGATGGTGACCTTAAATGAATTATTAAATCTATGTGATTCTTTCTGTTAAAAAAATGACTGGTGTAATCCTGAATAGTGTTACAAATCTTGCCCATTGGCAAGTTGCAGCCATTTTAGATAGTTATAAGCCTGATCTCACTCTCTAACACATGCCTTGGTTTGTGCAAGATCTTTGTGTGTTCCAGTCATCCTGGAATGATGTTCTCTAATGATTTAAAAGGGTGATCATGTAGCAGAATGATTTTAGCAGCATGCCTTTTCTTTTCCCAGATTATTGTATGTGTAAGTCATATTGTAAATGCATATACAGGATCAGAACAGCAAAATATATGGTAAAATTATGTGTTTACAATTTTAAAACAAAAATGAAAAGCTTATACCAATGAGTTTTTAGTAGTTAACTTTTTAGTATTTCTAAATAGCTTGTACAAATATAGAGGTGATATGTGTAAAGGACAAATATATATTACATTGCAACTGTATAGCTTTTCATAAGGACAGATGTGCTTACACCTTTTCCAAGTCCTGGCCTTTCTGTTAAAGTAGTTGTAAAGAACTTCCAAACAACAAGCAGAAAAGTTTTCCTATATTAAATGTCTTTAAAATGGTGCATTTATTACATTTCTATACTGCCCAATAGCCAACACCCTCTGGGTGGTTCACAGTGCATACATATTTTGCTTTTTGTTTTTTATTTACTTCTGGATTTGGTTTAACACAACATTCACAGTGGGCTTTAGAAATTTAAGAGAACCAACAGGTCACATGCCCCATAGAAATTCCAAATAAAGATAATCCACTACTGTAACTAAAGTGTTGTCTGTTCTGAATACATTTTGATATTTTTGCACAAAATTGGTTTTATCCCAAATGCCTGTAGTTGGTTGGAAACTATGAATTTGAATATTTTGTTTATAAGCTAAATATTTCAATTTTGACTGATTGCTGAATATTTTTAAGAATGATTTTATTAACACACATCAAATGCTGATGGTGCACAGCCTTCCTGTAGGAGAGACTGATGACTTCTTAGATCAGTGGGATCTCTCATCCATTGTAGCTTTTCTTTTCTGCTTTATATGAGCTCTCCATGGTGCTTTATGGTGGCAAACCTATTTCAGGATGGTGTTCAGAACCGTGGATAGCTCTCATACAGTTACAATGGATTATGAACCCTACTGGCACAGCCTCCCCTGAAACATTTAACAGCTGTACGATTCAGAGGTGTTAATCTAACTTGACTAGCTTTACACTGCAATGTTTGCTTGGAAGTAAATGCTACTGTATGCAATGGAGATTGTTCTCTAAGAAGCAGATTTTGGGTTGCAACCTCAAAGCAGTTACGATGAATATGACCCTTAGTGACAAGTGGGCACCCAAACCCTTCTAAGCAGTATGCATGTCCTTAGGCCAGGGGTGGTAAATCCTGGAACATTAAGGCTTCACGCAGCTCTCAGCCTAATGGAAAAGCCTCTCCAAACTTGGTTCAGTCCTTGGCAAAACCGTCCCATTATTCCTGAATGAAGATGAGAGACTGGCAGAGAAAAAGTTCCATCTAGCTATAGCTTTAGCCCTCACTACTTTTACCTTCATCGGTCCCCACTGTGGGTATGCAGGCCCCTGAAAATTAATCCCAAAGAAACATAATCTTTGAAAAAATAAGTTTCTTGGTTCCTGCTTTGGGCAAACCCAACTGAAATTTATGTTGGAATGGTACTCAGGTGAGCTGTGAGATACCATAGCAAGCTAAAGCTTATCTCCTTTATAAACAGGATTAGTAGAAAGCACAAGATAGGTCTAGATCTTTTTGCCAATATCACCTCCATGAACTGGCATTCCCATGAACTTTCAGTTTCAGTTGGATTTATGCTATGTGCTTCAGACTCTGCAGCTGGATTTTCTGCACATGCTCTTCAGAGTCTACAATTTCAAGGTAAGAAAGGGATACCACTTGGTATCAAGGGCTGGGAAGAGGGCATACAGGATCAACAGTGCTAATATACACAAATTCTGTATAGTCTTTGTTTTATTTATTTTATTATTTATTTAGTAAACTTCTATGCCGCCTCATTCATTGAAGCCTCGGGGCGGCTCACAGGTTTTTGTTTTGTTCTGGTTCTTTGGTGGTGGTGGTGGTGGTGGTGGTAACACTGCACACTTTGGAACCCTTTAGGAATCCTTCAACCAGGCTGCCTTAGTGGGCAGGGTTAAAGGTGAATGGGACTAGGACAACCCCCTTGCTCACTCATATTCTAGTTTAAAGCTACCTTGCAGTGAATATAATCAGCATTTCTATGAGGAAGTTGATGTTAAGCATACATATTCAGAGGGATCCCTATGTAGGCCAAATAGCTTTTGTTGCCAATCTTGAGTTTAGGTTGCTGAAGGGAGGTGCAGGAAGAGACTTTTAATAGTGATCTCAGGCCACACAGAAAGTACATGGGTCTATGGGACATACAGAAACCTGCCATGAGCTGCTTCTGCCCTACATGTGCCATAGATGAGCTGGCCAAGTGCTAGCAAGGTCAGTAGAAAGTTCCCACTGTTCCAGAAACCATTTTAATCCAGCATGACTACAGAAACAGGAGGGCCTTGATACCCACAGATCTCATATGTTCTTCCGTGGATATAATCTATAGTTGCAGTTTAGAAAAGTATTCCAAAAGGCCAATAGAGTGAGAGAGATGTTCTGAACATCTGACAGACTGAACCTCACATGTATTTTTCCTTGTAGCTTTTGCATCTTTGTTAAGGGAAAACAGAAAAGGAAGATACTGTGTATGTCACTAGGATTGTTCACCAACTAATAGTAATAGCATAGAAAAACTATTTAAATACTTTGCATAAAGCATTACTTAGCCAACCTAAACGTAATGCATATTTCTTAACAGAAGTGTTTTTGTCTGCAGTTATTCTTGCTTTAGTAAATGTTTCTATACATATTTTAACTGTTGCTGATAAATGTAATTTCAACTGCACAAACTCATGCAAATAAATGTGTGTTAGGCATTGCTGAGATTTGTGCATAATGCTATAGCATGAAAACTGAATTGTACCATATTAACTTCTACAATAGTAGATAAAGGGTTTTTTTTAATTGTTCCCTTGTATTATTTATTTAATTGGCCTTTTACCTGCCCCATTAGCCATAAGGCTCTCTTAACACAACTTATTTTACAGAAGAAAGCTGTGGGCAGGAAACAGTGCAAATGGCATTCATATTAAAAATTATTAAGTGTAATCCCATTCCTAGTTACTTGGCAACAAATTCACTTGGGATGCATCCTGACTTGGCTTGGATTAAACAATGCAATAATCCACACTCAAGAGTTAAGTATGAATTGCCTTTGAACCATGGGCTACTCAGCCAAATTAACAACACTGAACAGTTTGCAGTTCACAAACCAACAAACCATGATTTGTTCATGGTAAACAAGTCACAGATTGTTAGTGCAGCTGAATTTAGAAAACAAACCCATATTTCAGAAATAACCCATGTTTCCACAACTCATACTTAGCCCTTAACTGGTTTATTATGTTGCCAGAACCCAGTCAAAGACAAACTTAAAGGTATATAAACTCATTTAAATTAACGGGGCTTAACTTAGTCATCATTAATATCACATGGATTTCAATGGGTCTATGCTATGACAATCTGGATCCACCCCAATTTGTTTAATGATGCTTAGTTTCTAGTATGTATGTTCAGCCTTGGAAAATAATAAGCACACACACACACACACACACACACACACACACACACACACACACAATATCTTACTATTCTGTAAAAACTGAAACCTGGAGGATTTTTTGTCTGAAACAAGCAGATAAAAATAGTGCAGTGAAAACTTTTCATATATAGCTAACATATATTGGATTTAGGAGAGAGAATTTTAGAACCAGAACCAGACACCATTCCAGATGCTGTTGCTTGGTCAATATCAAATTATGCATTTTAATTGTATTTAACAGCATCCTTCCACAACACAACCAGTACTGCTAGTTGATTGAATCCCGTCCCACCAATACAATCCCATCCACAAACCCAAAATCTGTCCCAGAGGGATGGAGAATGCTCCAGAGCAGAGTTGGGGTATCCATGGAGGGAAGAAAAGACAAATTCTCCCTGCATGGGCAGATGTTCACTTGCATTTTGTTGAATTTAATCTTGATTCCTTAAGAAGGTAGCAAGTTCTGTAAAACAATGTTTTAAAAATTAATTCAAAAGTCTTGCTTATTATTTCTGAGATAAAACACATTAATTCCTGTCTTGAGGAGGAAAATTAATAAGGTCCATTAATTTTAAAAATATTTTAATTGCAAAAAGGAAAATACAAAGTAAGATAGTTAAGGCAAAGCCATGCCCAGCAAAAGTAATCTCTGAACAGCTCCTTTAATCAAAATTTCACAATTTTTTGAACATCTTAGAATTCCTGCAAACCTTTACACAACAACAAAGCATGTTAAAATGTATGAATAAGCTTTAATTACAAGGATTGCTCCAGATTGCTTTATTCTTTACAGTCTCTGTGCTGTGCTCTTCATTAACATTTTTGCATAGACTTAACATACTGTGTGACTTTAAAAAAATACCCTTAGACCCATTTATTTTGGCATTGTGGATGGTTTTTTTCTTTTAAGGCTATACATTTTAAACTAAGCACAAGATGCTCTGGGGGCTGTCTTGGAATAACTTCTATGTTAAATCCAGACAATTATGCCATTTTAGCAAAAACAATATAAACCTGATATTACTTGGAATTCAGCTCAACTGTGTGTCTTTTACACAATACTGCCTCTTAGTGGCAACCTAAATCAAGTAGAAAAATCTGATACAAAGTGGCAGATTACAACGTGAACATTGGGTAGAAACTTGTTCCTGATTGTAGCAGGGATTGGGAATGTGTGACCCTCTAGATCAGTGGTAGCAAACCTATAGCACGCGTGTCGCAGTGGACACACAGAGTCCTCTGTTGGCACCTGAGCCAAGTCACCCCAGCATCGCCGCAGCAGCCAAGCAGCGAATAACAGCACACACAAGGGCCATGCGCATGCTCGGAAAGGAGTGGCAGCACCGGGTGATGATGTCACAAGCTGCAGCATCATATTTAGTTGTTTTTTTAAACTAAAACCTCAGTATGCAGGTTTTATTGCAGCGCTGGCACTTTGCAATCATTAAGTGGGTTTTGGGTTGCAGTTTGGGCACTCAGTCTCTAAAAGGTTGTTCATCACTGCTCTAAATGTTGGACTGCAACTCCTGCACTATTGGCTGTATCAGGAAGGACTGATGGGAGTTGCAGTTCAACAACATCAGGGGGCCACACACTCCTCAACCCAGTTACAGCATACTTCTTTTTAAAAAAATAGCCATGTGTCTGTCTTACCCCACTTCAATCAGAAGAAGCATAAGGAGATGTTGTCCCTACATGCATAAAAGGAAAGGCATTACCAGTCAAGTATTGCTTGAGCCCTATATATTGAAAGGAATTTCTATAATATAGCAAACTGAATTATCTTAACCCCTTTCCTATGAGGTAGATGCTATTATTTCCACTCTTCAGATAAGAAAAGTGATATACATAATTAAAAGCAGATAATCGTTATACTGTCAGAATTTTACTAAAATGCATCTCTACAGACTAATATCATTCAAAATTTAAGAAAGTATTTGGTGCACACACAATAATCACAAGCTGTACTAGTGGTGCATGGCAGCTGCACTGCAGAATTAGGAATACAACATTGGGCACCTCGCTCCTTCTTGTGCTCCAAGGAGGCTAAAAGATCCCAGAATACAGAAAACTCAACATATTTTTGAGTGTTTCTGAATACAAAGTATCACATAGTCCTAAATACAGTGCTACTACAAGTGATAGTAATGGGTTACCAAAATTATTTAAACTTACCTGCACATCTACACCATTGGCTTCAAGTGTAATGATACTAATTGTGACTAATCCTATTTACTTGACAGCAAGTAAAATATAGCCGCTTAGTTTTCTATCCAGACTGACATTTAACATACATTTGTGTATAACATGAGCTAAAGGAGTATGCTGAGTGTTACCTTGAATAAGTAGTAGTATGAAAACGCATTAGGCAAAATGAAGTGGTGTGTGTGTGTGTTGGGGGCGCTGTTGGGTTTTGTTCAGGATGCTCTGCTTGGATTCTCCACAGGACAGTTTTTCAAACATAACTACATGGTGAGGAAATGATTGAAAAATGAAATCATTCCTGACTGGAATAGTAACAAAGAAGCCTAGTAAAGTTTTCCAAGGACCAGCTGACCCCAGTTAGAGCCTTACATGACATACTGCCCAAGATCCAGTTCACTGGACAGCAGCGCTATATAAATTGGGCACAGGAAGAACGTGTGAGTAACTAGATGGTCATAGAATTAATCAGAGTCCCAGCTCTATCCTGGAAACACATTTCAAGGTTGAAGCTGGGACTGGGAAGTTCAAGCACCCTCCTTCCACCCTTGCAGCTGGTCTGGAAAGAACTGCAACTCTAAAGTTGTAAAAGCAACTTCAGAGTTGGGATATGGTGGGTGGAGTGGTGGAATGAATAAATGTCAACTATATGCAGTTTCCTGGCTGCACCTCAGTTTCATCTGTTCATCTGCTCATGCTCCAAGGCAGAACACTGAGATGACTAAAATCATCCTAAGTGTTTTACAGGGCAAAAGAAGTGTGGAGGCAACATTTGCCTCTATGTTCCTTTAAGCTGACATAGGACGCCCAGTATTTCTAAGAGTGGAGAGTTACAGACACCTTCACTGAATTATACTGCAAGTTGTTTAAATCAAAATAATTTGTTATTAAAATATAATTCTGAAATATGCATGTCAGTTCCATTAAAATGTAATGTATTCCATTGTCTAATATTTGTTTATATAAATGCTACTGATGTACCACTGAATTGTTTCTGTGGATTTTATCAAAGTCTTGATAAAATCTGTCAGATCCTTAGTAATGAGCTGTTACATTGGAACAAGTGCTCTAAATTAAAATCCAATATGCTGGGAAAATGGGCAGAGAAATAAACAATTTTTCTAGCAACTCAAGGACAAGCCTCCATAGCCCCTAAAACTACAACTGTATATGTTTCCTAGAAGAAAATCCATGTAATTGAAGATAATCCAACAGAATATTTTTTTTGGTAAAATGGTATAGGTAACATGGGAACAAAAATGTCATTAATTCTGTGGAGTCATTTGCCTAGAGCCTTTGTCAAAATATCCCTTTAAAATAAATAATTCCCGTTATTGTTCATCTTTTCTACCAAATGCAATCTAGATCAAGAAATTCCTCATTGCTATTTACACATAGTAGATTCACTAAATGTAACATATAATTTTATAGTATTCTCTGTTCTAAGCTTCTACTTCTTAACCTAGAGAAGGCCTATGTAAGGTACTGTCCGTTACCCATAAGGGGCAAAAAGCAAGATATGAATGCAATGTAGTAAGAATTAATTACATGGCCATTATAATAATGACTACCTTTTCCCAAGTATGTTTGCTATTGCCTCAATCACAAGTGTCCATTATATTCTAGACCTTTTCTGTTTATGCTACACCACCTGGAATTAACTTTATTATTTTTTTTAACTGCAGGAATTTTACAATAGTTTCTACTTTCAAGTCTGCCCCAAACTAGTAAAACTTGGAGGAAGAAAAATGTATAAAGTGCATAGACCAGTATTAATAATGTTAATTTGATTATTATTACACAGATCACCACAATAGGGTAGTGTTTAATTTCTAAAATAAATACTATTATTTTATTTATTAAATATTATTATTTAATAAATAAAATAAATACAGGAGGTGCTGTGCAGCAAGCCTGTCTGAATATTACAGCCTCTGACCAGAAAACTTTGCTCTATAAATCTAAGTACACAGGACTTCATTGAAATTACTTAGTAAAGTGAAAAAGTACTCTGCAGAGAAAGGGTAGGCAACTGAAAGCCTGTATTCTGTCCCACCCTCCTCCTGCAACCCCCTACCATCTCCATTGCCTTCCCCAAAGTTAAAAACTTCTTCTTCAGGAAAAAATGGTTCTGGAGCGCCTAAAGGATTAAATCTAACTCAGAAACATGTTAAATTTAACCATTACGTTTTTTTCTACAAAGCAATTTGCCTCAAATATTGGCACCAAACCAGTGATTTAGGCTATTGGATGTTCTGTGGTGTCCCACACTAAGGGTTCAGGGGATAAAAATCACTCCCAGACCTCCAGAAGTTACCCATCCCTGCTGAATAGGCACTTGCCTTATACCAAGGCAGGTCATTGGTCCATCCAGCTCAGTATTGTCTAAATTGATTGGCTGCTGTTCTCCAGGTTTTCAGATAAGAGTCTTTCTCATACCTATATGGAGATATTAAAGATTGAAAGTGTTTATTTTGCTACTATTTTTTCTTTCAAAATGAAGGAATGGAGGAAGTGAAGGTTATGAAATGGTACAGCCAGATTTCTGCCCTAAGGTATGGATAATCAGAGAGCTGAACCCTGGGATTTAAATGAATCATATCCTAGACCAGTGGTGGCGAACCTATGACACGCGTGGCACAGTGGACACACAAAGCCCTCTCTGTCGGCACGTGAGCCAAGTCGCCCCAGCAGCCAAGCATCGGATAACAGTGCATATAGGGGCCATGTGCATGCTCAGAAAGGAGTAGCGATGCCAGGTGATGACGTCACGAGCTGCGACTCATTAGCCACGACTCCTCCGAGCTTTTGCATGGCCGGTCAGTGCACTGCCAAGGATATATATAGATTTGCTTGGACTGGCTGTGAGTTGTTTTTTCTAAACTAAAACATCAGTATGCAGGTTTTATTGCGGTGTTGGCACTTTACGATAAATAAGTGGGTTTTGGGTTGCAGTTTGGGCTCTCGGTCTCTAAAAGGTTCACCATCACTGTCCTAGACCATAGATAGGCAACCTGGTGGCCTCTGCGTATTTGAACTACAACTACCATCAGCTCCAAGCAACATAGACAATGATTAGGGATTATGGAAATTGTAGTTTAAAGCATCTACCCTTGTTCTAGACCAACAAGCTGAACAGATATTCAGATACAGGGATTAGCCCTGGTGCTGAAATTAGGTTCTGAAGCTGTGTTCTGGTACAAACATAGCCCTGCAATGGGATAAGTTAGATTTGTTAGTCAGTTAATTTAATTGCATATTACCACAGATGCTTACCAGGTTTGGTAGGTTTACATTTCTTAAGTTTAACTTTATATAAACAGGAGTGGGAATACTAAATTTCTGTATTTCTCAGAACTCAATGCAAAGTCATTTCTATTTTAACAGAATTTGTTGTGGAATTCATACAGGATTTACATTTTAAAGGGCAAACTATATACTTCAGAATACAGGGTTGCAAGCTTTAAAAGCCTACACAAGCTACCTTTACATTAAATAATCTTGAACAAAGCAATGCTTTGAAGACTGGAACACAAGTCTCAGGGGCTTTCAAAGGAATTTAGTGACTAATCGTAAAATCTCATTTGCCAGCATATAAATGCTAAATGGAGAGCAGTGTGTGAACTGAAATATCAGAACACTACAAAATGTATTTGTGTACTGGCACTGCAAAGCGATAAAAGAGAATTTAGGGCAGATATACACTTAAAAATGTTTTGTGGTGGGATTCCAAATTACTTAGTAAATCTGCTCATCTCCAAGGTAAGAGTACATTGACTTTCTGGTGAAAATATACATTCAACACCTTATGATATAGCTGCTTTTTTTAACAAATGGGAAGAGTTGGTTTGCTTTTAAATAAAAAACAACCTTTTTAAAAGAACCAACAACTGGTAGTGTTTGCTTCAGGGGCAGACAAGGTGTGAGCACAATCTCGGACACTTTTCTTGGTGCCCAAGGTGTTCTATCCCTCCTGCTGTTAAAAACAAAACCAACCCATCCATCTTACCATGAACTGAGATTACTGTGAAAAAGGTTTCTGTTGGAGCTGCAAAGTGTGTGTTCAAAGGAATTGTTTGGAGTGCTGGGGCTCACACTCAACCACTGATCTTGTACTTGCTTTTTGGGCAAGTTATGTGTCTTTTTCCAGGGTACCCATTGTAGTCATATTGTGGTAGTACCCACAGCATTTCTCAAACTGCCAAAAAGGTTGCCTGTCCCTTCAGTCTTCTGAGCTTGTCAAATAAACAATGCTGCTCTGTAGAGTATTTTTGTTTGATGTTTGGAAGAGAAGGTACCTCAATCACAGAGAACTCACTAGATTTCAGTTTGTAAAGCTAAAAGAAGGATTAACAATACTGGGAAAAGCCCTTAACCTGTATCTGCCAGCTTTATACTGAGTTATTCTCCTGCAGCAACTGTTTCATTACTAACCTGGTATCAGGCTACCTGGTAATTGCATTCCTCAGTGTAGATCTGTTTAATCACCAAGATCATCAGAGGAGGCCCTTTGGTCCCATCTGGTACCAAAAAAGCTAGCTTACTCCATGATGGCATCCACTTTGTGGAATGCCCTCCCCCTTGGTATTGCAGGAGGTGCCAACTGTGGCATGTTTTAAGTGCCAGTTAAAGGCCTAACTTCCTCCCAGTTTGTTATTTTAATCAAGGTTGTACATTTAAAAAAATGCTTTTAACTGAAATGTTTTGTATTTTCTGTTTTAAATGCTTTAACTGTGAAAGTTTTGCATTTTATTTTATTTTTTTACTTCAAGATGTCATCTAGATATAGTCAGGCAGACTATAAATATGTTAAATAATAAGTTAAAATTATGTGGGAATAAGACAGTGCTACATTTCTTGAAAGATTTGCACTTACTAACACTTATTAGAGACCCAAACTTTATGCAGCAAATCTCCTTTGAAGAGCAGTGATGAAAATGAAATATTTTGTCCTTTTTCAGAATAAATGTAAACAAAAACAGCCTGAAAACTTGATACTGTATTTAAATAAACTCATGATACCCCCTTTTAATATAGAATACTTCTGTTGGTTCTTATCCTGTGATACGTATAAGGCACTGAAATATCTTGGAAAAACTTCTGCAAAAAAGACTGCAGTTTCTGAATATATCAAAATATTAGGAGAGTTACTACAGTTATGTAGCAAGGCAAGAGGGAATTGAAGATACAGTTTCTAAATATATGTAAATAGAGGGAAAAGAATTCACAATGCAGGAATCAAAGTATGTATTGAAGTTGTTTTAAATTCTTTGTTCTGCACAGATATATATGTCACCTTTTTTGTGCTTTACAATGAGGTACAGCCCTTGTTGTTTCTTTTTGTTTGCACACATACCAATGTATTTTGGAAGTTGCCATATAGCAGAAGCAAGCAATTCATTTCTTAGAAATCCATATCACTATTTCAAAGTTTGGTTGTTCCTTCAAGGAAACAATTAAGTAGTATGTGAACTATAAGAATTGATAAGAATGGAACACTGTATGTTCCATTTAATGCTAACAGACCTTAGAGACAATTCTCGAATATTTCTAAGCTGAAAGATCTGAAATAACTAATTTGTCTGGCTTTTCTCCAATTTCAGGTAGAGATAAGAGTTCATCGGTTTCATAGTCATCATCAAAGGATCTACAAAAAAGAACAAACGTATTTTAAATGTAGATGGTGTACATTTGTTAAAGATTTTCAATGTGATTAATTTTGTGATGGATGGACAGATATAATATAAAACTAAGGAAGTCTTGTAGCACCTAAGACAAGCCTTTTACTATAGCATGAGTTGGGAGAAATACCTTTAACTAGTGCACTGAACATGAAAGATATAAAAACAGTGATAATCTGGCATAAATATTAAACATATAAAATGTAAATATTTTCATGGCCTTTTCACTCTAACATTTACATTTGTTTCTATTCACACCTGTAAATATAAAATGATGCATGTACATATCTATCAACTTAATACATTTGTTCATTTTGCAAAATTCACAGGGGACAGCTCTTCCTCCAACAACTGCTTTGGAGGTGAAGGGAGAGGGCAACAGTCATTTCATGGAGAGGCTAATAAAAGGACATTCTGTCTCTGAGACCAATTTCTCTTTCTCCATAGTTTCTTCAAAGAAGAAGGGAAGCGTCACCCTCCCTTTGTCCCTGAGGTTACTATTGGAGATAAGTATTTTTGTGTCAGTGACTGCACAAATCCTTCCAACAAGGGACTCATTACAACTTCATTCAACTAGCTGTTTTTGTGGTAGTCATGTTAGTTTCTAGATGAGTACTAGTGCAACCATTAGCAGAACATCAATACCACCTGTACTTTTTTCCACTAGTCCGACATTGAATAGAACCCTCTGTCTAATCCGAGTTCCCTCAGGGTAAGCTGGCCGTATTATTTTTACTATACCATATATGCCCTTCAACTACTTGGATTAAATGAGTTAATACTTGTATTCTTCAAAAATACACAAAGGCACATCCTTTAGTTAAAGTTTGATCTGGTTCACAGGTAATAGCCATCTCCTGTGCTTTAATTTACCATGGAACTTATCCTTGTGTAGCAGATGCTGTTTTAAAATACAAACTATGGCAAGAAAGGTTGTTTCCAGGGTTATCAAGCCATCCACAACCCCCAAACAGCCCATAAGCCTATTGTTACAGTTCTGTCTGTGTAGTTTAGGAATTGTTCCAATAACTGTTCTGACATGTTGTAGACAGAGTAATTAGCTAGGACTACACCCTGAATAACTTGATTCAAACATTTTGTAATAAACAATGTCTTTTATATTTTGTACTGACATGCTTACACTGACATGCCAAGAAGGGTTATTTTGTAAATCATCAGGTTTTACTGTTAATAAAACATCTGTTTAAAAGAAGCATAATATCTTAGTTTGTTTCAAAATAACATTTTCCACTTTCAAGCATATGAGTTTTGAGACTTCTCGGAGTAGCAATTAGAAGTTTTTCAGGTATCTGCACTCACCCTTCTTGTAACTGTTCATTGCCAGACTCTTCAGCAACAAGAATTTCATATTCCTCAGCAGCATATCTATCCCAGTCAGAAGGCTCAGGACCATCATTTTCAACATCCTTAGTAAACAGATGATAAATGAATGAGAATGCCATTAAACAAACCAAAGTGTGTATGCACGCGCACACTTGTGATTTCTGTAATTTACAATATTTACAGTCCATGTATGCAATGGCTGGGGTAATAACACAGCCTCAGGGAAATTATCTTAAATGCTCCAATTAATTACCACTGTATGAAATCTTCTTCAAAGTTTATTTACACATGCACAACCAGTGAAGATTAGAGAAAGAAGGCAGATAAAGAATTTTTCGTAGGTCACATCTGTGTATAATTCAATGAATGCATTCATTCAAATTTAGATATTCTTTCTTGATATGGATCTCTACAGAAGAGACAGATCCACAAGTACAATGGAAGGCAAATTGGGCCCTCTCTTGAAATGAAACATTCACTGGTACTTCCACTTTGGAAGAGATTACTAGATTCAGTTGACTTTGCATTCTAAATATACTGTAAGAGTTATAGCTCTGTTCTATGAAATAGCTTGCTTTTAAAAATTTATCACTAGATTTTTACAAAAATCAGTATATTATAGTGGTTTTGTTAAAGCTATTTAGTCTGTCTAGTGATCATGTACAAGATCAATGAAAAACATCTTTTATATCTCTATTCCTCTGAAAGACCAATTGAAAAATATATTATTTTTACATGCACACATTCTTTCAATTTTTCTGTGTGGCTAATTTCCCAGCGTCATTTTAAGGAAAAATGAAGAAGTATGTTTAGTGGGTTAATTACACCATCGGCAAACTGTCACTCTTGTTTAATAATAAAGTGAAGAAACAGGTGTAATGTATTGGCTCTTTTGGCTTGCCATATTGGGTGTTGTGAGAGCTTGGCCTTAACTGGGCTTTTACATTCCATGCCATATCTTTGTCTTCCAGTTTTCTTACTAGCCAGCTGCTGCTGCTGTTCTGAGGATGTTGTTTTATGAAATTACAATTAAACCTGTTGTTTTAATTCTTCAGATATCTTATCTTGTGAAGACATAACACAGGTGTGATATAACATTCCTTTGTTCCTTGGCCAAAATTCCCAGCAGCAGACATTGTCCCAATTTACTCCTTTGCTTCTCCCGATATTATTTTAGGTTATTAGGCAAATGTTTAGGAAAATAATTGTTCTTTATTAGCAATTATAGTAGTGGCTATCATTAGTATACTTATTCACTAGAAATTCTATAGGGAATTTCATGAAGGCTTTTGCTGTAAAACTCTTCTTCAGAATAATCACTATTTTAAAATACAATTGTTTTTTACCTTTTGCACAGCAAATGGATCTCGTTGTTCATTGTCCAGGTACTTTTCCAAGTTAAAAAATGTATTATAAAATACAGGTGCCATTCTGCATCGCTTCAAATCTCGCAGAGTTACCCTTCCTGCAAATAATCACACATTATTTTCCCAGTAGTTTTTTATTTCTCAGGGGCGATGGGATTATTTGGCCTCTACTTCACAGGTCACATGACAAAATATTTGTGAGAGAAAATATGTCTTTCAGGGCAAGTTCAAAAATCCTTTTACAAAATCTTACTTTCCAAACAGGTTGATTTACTTTGCCAATTTAGTTATGTGAATGTTTCTCATAAACCATTTCCATCACTGATGACATGCAAGTTCCAAGTTCTGCACATGCCAAGAAGGTTAAAGGATGTATGGCTGTTATGAGTAAAGAGAATTTTCAGTTTGGAGTTAAAAAGCAGCCATAGTGAACAGGGTGATTGTACGTCCTGATCCTAACACAATGTTGTGTGAAAATTGAGAGCTGTAGTGCTTGGAGAAGGATAATGACAAGTTGGTCACCAGAAGCAGAATTCAAGCACATTGATCAAATATCCAACATATTTCTAAGGAAGCGAATCAAATGTCTGTGTGGACAAATTCTTGTACAGCCCCTTTCCCTGTGCCAAGGCATGTGTTGATTTGCATTGTTTCAGGTTTATAGGTAAATGAATGAATATCATACATACAGGTTATGACTCACTATACAAATTGAAGGTTCTATTTTCATTTTAAAATGCTATTGATATACATACCTACCTATCTGAATATCTGTTTCAAGTGTTCAAGCAGCTATGTGTATCTGGGGTAGTGGGAACTGATCACTACAATGTCTTTGATTGCTTTGAATATTAACCACGGTGCAGCTAAAGGTGCAAAGTTTAGGAGATTTGTAAAGACTACTGCTTCGCCCTAGGGTTCCCATACACATGAAAGCATATTGTTGTTGTTATATTCATTTATATTCTGCCTTTTCCTCTTTTGAGGAACCCAAACTCCATTTTATCTTCAAACAGCAACCCTCTGAGGTAGGTTAGGTTGAGAGTGAGTGATTGGCCCAAAATCATCCAGGCAAACTTCATGGATGAGTGAAATAATAGTAAAATAGCCCTGTGACTGCTGTGAACACAAACAATTAATGGAGACAAAATATTTAAAAACATCATAGAGATTAATGTCATCTCACACAAAAAACTGTTAAGCAATATAGAGGAGCAGTGTTATATAAACAGCCCTTACCCTCACTTTCTGGCTTTACCAGATCAAGCATTTGGCACAGTAAATCATGGAATGGCAATGGTTCAATGCCCATGGATTCCATCCTCTCACACTGTTCTTCATAAAAATACTCCAGTTCATACATGGAGAGTGTGCCATCCCCATCCAAATCCATGCATCGGAACCAGTACTCAATGCTAGGGAAAGAGAAATGAATCAGATTCGTTTGAAACCGTATTGGGTCAAGCAATATTTTCAAACAAAGAACCCTTATCAGGATGGTTTTCATGTGCACAATGAAGCTTTGTCTGGGCCTCTTCCCATATAATGGAAAATAGTATCTAGAATTCAGAGCATGAGCTAAGGCAGAAAATACTCAGTTGTTCAGTAGAACAAACTGTACCCTTTCCTCATCCCAAAAGCAACATTCTGTGCAAATTATCAAGGTCCTGGGAAGAGATTCTTAATGGAACTGATTTTTACATTTAATAACAAAGGTGTGAAAAAACTGAGAATAAAAAAGGCTAAGATACATAAATTCAAAGCAGGTTTTAATGCTGAGGACAAAAAAAACCCCTATTAGAACAATCCACTTCCTTAAGGAAATATCCCCACTATTTAGGGTCCCTTTCAATGATGCCTTCCAAACATGACAGCAAATGCAGTTTGGCTCCTTTCTGTACTAGGTAAGTAATGGCCAAGCCCATATGGGAAGATCCATATTGTGGCTTCTTCACACAGCAAAACAGTTCATTTACTAAGATAAAACTACAGTATTTTCCATGTTCCTGGCATTGCAATGGCTCTCATTGTCAAAGAACAGTGTGAGTCCTAAATACCAGTGTGCCTATAGCTTATAAACTATGCAACTGAGGTATAAAATTATGTCATGATTTATTTATTTAATTTATGTATTATACTTCTATGCTGCCCCATAGCACATTGAACTTACTAGCTTCTTCTTTGGGGGAAGGGTCCCTGAGAAGGACCTCAGCAGATAATCTTAGGTGCCAGGTTGGAACAAGCACAGCTTTTCTTATGTTCTTACTCTTGGCTTTCTGTTCTTTAACCAATTTAACCCCCACCCCCACTATTCTATGACTGCTAAGTTTGCTCAGGAGTATTTAGTGAGAAACTTTATCAATAGCCTTTTGGAAGTCCAAGTAAATAAGGTCTACCAGATCACCCTGTCCATGTGTTTATTGATCCTTTTACAGAACTCTGAAAGGTTAGTGAGGCAGGATTCAGCTTTGTGGAAGCCATATTGTTACATTTACTATTCTCCAGTCCTCTGGTACAGAGGCTGATGCCAAATATTTTTGTTAGAAGGACAATACTTTTCAAATTTGAGTTCTTTAAGAACTTTCAGATGGATACCATCTGGGTCTGTTGATTTATTAACTTTTACTTTGTTACCAAGGTTGAACACTTCATCTTTTGTCACCACTGTTTGCCTCAATTCCTCAAACTCCCTTGTTGAAAACAGCATTCAAACAGTCTTATACCCTCCACAATGAACACAAATGAAAAACATTCAGCTTTTCTGTAATCCGTTTATCCTGGCTTAGTTCTCCCTGAACTCCATTATCATCCAGTGGCCCAACTGCCTGTGTAGCTCATTTTCCAATTTTCTGATCTATTTAAATAAATCTTCATGGTTGGCCTTGATGTTGCTAGTGATATGAGCCTATAACCCTATTTTTTTGGGGGGGGGGGTCCTCCTTGTTTGCAAGCATCTCCTAATGCAAGCTTGTGCTCCCTTTTGTTTTCCTCATTTGGGCAAGTCTTCCATTTTCTCAAAGAAGCCTTTTCTTTAATGGCTTCCTTGAATCTTCTCATTAACCAAGCTGGTGACCTATTAGACCTGGCATAAACTTTTCTAACATGTGGTATGCATACTATTTGAGTTTCTATTATTGAGTAATCTCCAAGCATTTTGTAGTAATTTGATTCTCTTGATTCTCCCCATCAAATTTTTACCAGTTCCTTCATTTTAGAGACGTTTCCTTTTTTGAAATCAAATGTGACTACATTGGACCTCTTGGGCAAACTTCCACTAATATGTGGTCACTGTTTCCAACTGATTCAAAAAAGTATCTGGAAATAGGTCCTGCGCAATCCCAGCTAGTATTATATTTAGAATTGCCTTCCCCGTTTGGTTCCATGATCAACTGTTGTAAGGCACAGTTATTTAGGAGACCAAGAAATTTAACCATTTTGTCAGAAAAGGAACTTGTATTTATCCAGTCAATATTGGGGTAATTGAAAGTCACCCATTATTACCACACTTCATCATTTTGATGTCTCTGATTTCATTTTCCCTCTGAAGATTACCCTTAGCATTCTGTTAGAGACAACAGCACGTTCTTAGTACCAAATTCATTTTGGAGCCAGGATATGGTCCATGGAGCCAGGTATTCTTACTCACAGTGCTTCAATGGAAGAATATGCATCTTTAAGGCTTTTCAGTTGCTGGACTCTATACCCTCCTTCACATACATAGCAACACCTTCTCCAGAATACCTTCACTTTCCTGATCCTTCCCATAGATCTTATAACCAAAGATGATGATATCCCACTCTCCATTCCACTGGTTTTCTGTAATAGGCACTCTATCTAGGTTTTCTTTAAAACCAGATACTTCATATCTCCAATTTTGGTTCAGAGACTTTTAACTTTTGCATAGAAACACCTATACACAGCATCCTTATCCAGATATCTCTGGCTTGTTTTGACACTAAGGCCTCTCTGACTGGCTAGCATCTTTCACTATACGATCATGGCAGAATTCTTCCCCTGTCACATTTGAACAATCAGAAACATTTTCATCTTCATCCCTTAGGGCTGATGTAAACTGAACTGGATGTTTCCTAGCTCCAGTCAGCTTTTTCTCAGGATTCAATTTAAAAGCTGTTCTGACACCTTATTTATTTACTTTATTTATATACTGCTCAATAGCCAATGCTCTCGGGGCTGTTAACAAAAGTTAAAAAGCACACAAACAACAAAATTAACATAAATGTAAAGCAACAAAACCACTGCAATTGCAATTGAATTTTTGTTTTGTGCAGCACTCTGATACCATTTTGGTTCAAATGGAGCCCATTCCTCTTGTACAGGCCTGGCTTGTCTCAAAATGCCTAACAAATATGAACCCCTTCTCCCTACACTACCATCTCATCTGCATGTTGAGACTCATCAGCTTTGCTTGTCTAGCTGGATGTGTATGTGGAACATATAAGCATTTCAGGAAAAGCCACTTTGAGCAACCTCAAAACTACATTTTGCCATGTCATTGGTAGCAACATGGATCACTTCCACTGTTCCCATTCCAGCATGAGTTAAAAACGGTATCCAAACACCACAAGATACCTACACACCAGGCAGATAATTTACCATGTAGTCTACATACCCATCACAGACTTAGCTATCTATATATGTAATGATCTAAATCTTTCACTACTGCAAGTTCTGCACTCCCCCGCCCCCACCCCAGCATGTCATCAGTGCAAGAGGATGTTTGCTTGTCTTCCAAGTGGGTCTCTTCTAAAGGATCATTTCCCTCTTCCTCAGAATGACACTTTCCTTCTCCGAGACCCTCTTTTTGCATGAACTTGGTCACTATTATTTGGTGCCCAAAGATCACTTCCATCAACCTCTCTTCCTCTCTTACCTTCTCCAGGCAAGCAACATTTGCTTCAAGGGAATGAACTCTTTCTCAGAGAAAAAGATGCTCCTTTTTCCAGGTGCACACCCACAACTTCTGTCCAGCTGGCAGATGGTCATAGTTATGGCACTCAGTGTAATATACCTAGATAGCCCCCTACAACTGTGTTATTGTAATTTAACTGTTATTGCAAAACTATGTTGTTTACTAGCAAAAGGTTCAAAATTTACTTAAAGTTGCTAATGTACAGTTTACAGTTGTTTATTATGAGATGAGAAGAGTTACTGATCTGGCTTCGTCACCCTGTTGCTGAACTTGCACAGTTGCTTAACATGCTTGAGTGCTGACATTTTTTTGTCCCTGTGACTCCTTGTGCTTGGAGAGGTGGCTCCCTCACAAGCCTGCCTCTTGATATAGCTCAAGGTCAGATAGGCTAACTGCCACTGCCAATCTGATTGGAGGACATCATTTCAAAAGCAAGGGAGGCTGTGGCTGAACACCTGGTCTGCACTAGCTTTCAGTGAATGGTAATGTACATTAATTGGGAATGGAGAAATTCGGGGAAATCAGGGATGGAGGACCTTGTTTTGCTGCTGGGAAACCTTAATTTGTCCTTGGAGATAATCTGTTGGAAGCCATAGTCTAGTAGCAAGCAGGACCAACCCATTTTATTTCTTGCTTTGTCCTTGGGAGGAGGAGGCAGAGATAGTGTTTAGAAAGTAGCAGTGTTTAGAAATTGAGGCATCTTATGCATGATAAATAATATTCATAACAACAAAAATTAGCCAAAATGGAAGTGTCATCTGGATTGGAACTACAGTGTAGAAGTTTAATTAGAAGTTTCAGCTATGACATTTGCTATCAAAAATCCTCCCCAAAAGCTGCTGTTTGCCCCTAGAATCATGTAACACATATCTTAACTGTACTGCATGTATTTTTACAATGAAAGTGAAATGTTTCTTTACTTAATGTAGTTTTATATTATGTTACCTTGTTGGGCTTTTTTTATCTTCTTCAGAGATCAGAAGCCACACAAAATCTGCATAGCTCATCTGGTTCTCTGTGTGTGCTTGAACTCCTCTGAAATAAACAAAGAACATATGGTGAAATTCAAAATGGGCATGCAAATACATACAACCAAAGAAAGACTTCAAAAACTCACTTAAGATCATGTGAGGGGAACTACAATTCCCACCATGCCCCAGTCAGTCTGCTTGCTTAAATGGATGCCAGAAGTGGCAGCATATTTTTTTTCTGTCTAAACATGCATAGGACTGTGCCCTGAATTTAAGCTCCTCATAATGTGTTGGAGCTGGTGGTTATTTACTCTCTGATTCTTTGAACAGCAAGACTGTCCTAACATGAAGTAGTACTCTAGAGAGCAGATGAGGCTCTTACACTATCTGACAAAACACTGTGAGGAGAGAGGTAAACCTTTGTTTTACCCTGCATAACAAACAAAAGAACAGTGTGAGAGGAACATGTTCTGCTCGAGCCTTATAGAAAGCCAGGGTCTGAAAAACTTCATGGCAGACTCTAATGAAGAAGTAGGATATGCAAAGAATGCAGGAAGAATGATGTCCTGATTTATGTGAAAATTGGAAACAACTTTTGGGATGAAAAAGATGTCTGAGAACAATCTTGTCCCTGTGAAAGGTGAGGCTGGGGATATCAACCCATAGGGCACATCATTCACTGGCTCTATGAGCTGAAGTAACAGCCATCAGCAATGTGACTTTTCAAGAGCAGAGATGCAGGGCAGCAGTGGCTAATGGCTCAAATTGTTTTGCAGTCAGTGCCTTCAAAGCAATGCAAAGGGTCCAGGATGGTATGGCTGGATGATTGAGGGGTAGGGGTGAGATTTCAAATGTGCAGAATTCTCAAAAGATAAGAAAAAAAATGTATAGCCTTGGAGAAGGGTGTTGGAAGCAGAAATCACGGCAAGGTGATAACTGCAAGGGATAACAATTTTAAACCCTTCTTGAACAAAGAAAGGAGGAATTGAAGACTATAACTGATGGAGCAGGTAACTGGATCTATGCCTGCAGTACAGGGAAACTTAATTAAAACTTAAATACATTTTATACTGTAGGAAGGTCTGGTAGAGGGTCAGCTGGTGGTATCCAGGATTGATTGGAGCAGTGTCAGTAAGGAGACAAGACTCAGATTTAACAAAGTGTCTCACGTGAAGTCATTCAAGGTATATGAAGATCTGGGTGTCAGATCAGAGGTAGTATGGAGTACTCTCCTTAAGATCTGAGGAGGAAGGGTACACACCATGCTTGTTGTGGTTATCAGAATACAGTTCTTGGAGTCTCACTGGATATTCCCCAGGACCATCATGACAAGAAGGAAAGGAGAGACAATGTAGAAAAAATGCCCTTTTAGTGAAGAAAGAGTGAGTGTAAAGGAGCCTGGATCTACTCCTACTCTGCTGTAGACCTTGTTTTGCCCTATTACAAACAAGTCTATCACTGAAGTTCTGCAGAAGCTAAAAAGACAGAGAGATACTTCCATACTAAGTTGTCACTCATGGAATACTATTGACATCCAGCTCATGAGATCTGCTACTATATTCTTTTTGCCAGCAAAGTGAAGGGCTAAAACGGAATGCAAACAGCTTCTGTGTGAGAACAATAATAAACCACCAAGGCACTGTTTGTCAATATTTGAAAAGGACAGCTCTGAAGGATGAATTTGAACACAGTGTTTCCCAGACCAGAAGGAGCTCCAAGTAATTAATATGATGCTTCACTCTGGCAATTGACTATCTACGCTTAATTACAAGGGTATTGTAGAGGGCTCCCCACCATTGAAGGGATGCATCTGTGGTTAGGGTTTGGGATGGTAAAGAGTCAGCAAATAGAATTCCTTCTTGGATAATAGGATCATCTACCACTGAAGGGGATGATGACATTAAAAAAAATGTCGAGGCAGGTATGGCATGAATGACAATTCTGGTTGAAAGGGCAAATGAACCAGTTTTGAAGGAACCATATCAGATGTGACCAAAACTGCTAACCAACACTGTTGCTAACATTACCCCACGTAATCTTGAATGTTGAGCTCTTCCTCCAAAAATGTATGGTTGTTACAAATGCACATGATGTTTGAGCCCTGTCTAGCTGCAGATAAGCTAAGCCTGCATAGAGTCTAGAACTGCGGCAATATGTTGGTGAATCCTTGTTGGTTGCAAGATTGGATTTGCACAGTTTACATAAAACCCTAGGTCAGCTAGGAGGCAAAAAGTGAAATGGTGAAATTATCTGGTTCTGTTGACATGCAGCCAGACATCCAGATACAGATATCTGTATCAAGGTATCTATGCCTTGAATGCAAAGATGGGTATACATTAACAGCCAAAATAACAACTATTCTCTCGTCACACAAAAGCTTCAGCCATACCAAGTTCAGTTCTCACCATTCACAGTTCTTAGTTTCTTAAGCAAAGACATCAAACAACTTTGTAGCTTTAACAGTCTAGTTAAAGTTCAGCATTGTTAATCATCAGGAAACTTTGCCAATATACAAACAAATGCCTGAAGAGTCTAGATTGCTGCAAGTCAGAATATTATTCCTGTGGCTCAAAAAGTAGAATAAAGTAAAAAAGAACAGGATGAAGAAGAGAGAAAGAAGAAAAAGTATATATGGGGGGTCAACCGTGTAACGTTTCAGTTCACCTTATACGGCCATCTCGCTGTAATCAGAGCTATAGTCTTCAAGCCCACCTGTCATTTAGTGACGTAAAAACATTTTGTCAAATTGTCAAAGACAATTTATAAATGTCTAAATGAGATAAGGTTATTTATCTGTTTATTTATTTAAAGTTTTTATATGCCATCCCCTTGCTACATAGCCTTGGGATGGCTCACAGAAATATGGTGCACCAAACACTGCTGCTGGCGAGTCGTTGTTACCAAAATTGTTGGTTGTGTTGTTGCCATGATTGGAAAGAGGGCTCCTGTTAAAGCTAATATTCTTGCCAGTATGGCTAGGTTGGGAGTAACTGAACAAATTCCATCTTCTTAGCTGTCACTTTTGTTTTCAGCACAATGCCATCTGGCCTGTTAAGTGAAGACCTGGCAATGTGGACAATATTCAAAATTATGGCTCTCATCCAGAAAATAAAAGGCAAAGAGAAGGTCTATCTGTTGGTGGAAATTTACTGCTACATTTAATGCATTTGCAAAAGGGGACATTCAGTGCTATCTGACCCTTTGTGACAAACATGATCTTCAATCATATAAAAGCAAAAGAAAAGAAATAATACACGGGCTAAATAGCAAGAAAAGAAAAAAAAGAGATGACAAAGAAACAATTAAATGTCTTGATACAAAGAGAATTGCTTCTCCCAAGGCTACCACAATGGCAATCAAACAGGAACTGAGGGAATGAGTAGAAGCCTGCTACTGACATGATTCATGATGGCGCCACAGAAGTGCATTAAGACAGCAACAGCCATTCCTAAGTTCCACTTGGGCACCTGAGGGGCAGCTGCAAGTGACAGTTGCCCAAGTAAGGTTGGCAAGAGCAGCAAGCTTTTGTTGCTCTTGCCAAGCAGCTCATTCACTCCTTCCCTTCATCTACAATGGGGACCTTCTCTCAGATTCAGATGACAAGTTCAGATGGAAGTCAAATCCAGTGTGTGTGTGTGTGTGTAGAACACACTTGTTGCCCTCAAACAAGCCACCATGTAGAAATGGTCTGGCTTTGTGTGATAACCTCCATGGCGTGTCACCCATTTATTGGATTATCATGTTGTGAGAACCTAATCAATGTGAGCATTAACATTTACTTTATGAGATAACTGAAAGCAAACTAATGTAGGCTGCATCTATACAAATGACCTTAGACAAGAAAGCAAAGGAGTCCCATCCTGCATTAAGCTTTCTGAATCCCAGTCCAGTTTTTTTCTACCAAAACATTTTTTCTCCAGTTTTCTTAGTTCCCCACTTTCTTACCTAAGTACAGCTCCACTGAATACTCTTTCTATAATCTTGTTTGACAGAGCTGTAAATGAAGAAACAAAATGTAGAAATCTTTTAGATACATAAGTGTGGTTCCTATAGTTCTAACAACTGCTGCCTTTCCCTAAGCAAAAGAACAGATGCAGAAAAAATACTATATGCAATGACTTTCCATCCTGCATGAAACCCAACAATGTTACTTCTCACTGCACATGCTGTTAGTATGTCAAATTATTGCCATTTTCAGTTTGATTGTTGAATAGCTTGTATCTAGAGATTATATTCCTTAATTTAGAATGTATAAGAATTAGTTTGATTATGTGAAGTAGTCTGTAAGATATGTCCTCATAGTATATCAAAACAGCAGGAATTTGAGATATTTAGTTAAATATTAAAAGTATGAAAACCTGCATGCTTTAATCAACAGGAGAATTAGTCCAAAAGTTATCTATAGAGGTATGAAGGGATTAAGGTAAAATTGAGGTAAATTTTTAACTTAATTTCTTCAATCATTGAAGATTTTGGATTTTAAGTAAGGCTTGTGCCTGATGGGATTTACACTGGCAACTACAGTAAGATGTGAAAATGAAACTAAGTTCAGTCTATTTATATGGGAAGGTAGGACTGCAGCAGGTCCCATCTGGCTGATGAATAGCTAAACATTTTAACAAAACCATTGGCCAAGATTTTACTCAGAGATGGGATGACAGAATGTTGTCCACCCAACAACAGATTGTCTAGAGGGTTCTGACCAGGATGAATATAGGGAGTTGTGGCAAGTCTGATAGGAGGATCTAACTGGAGAGTTGCCAGAGACATTGTCTTCATGAGAGGGTGAGGGATGGGGGGTCTGAAGAAGATAACAGCCAAAAAGTTCAGTAGCTACTAGATCAGGAGGCTGAGCTGAGGTAGAAGGTCTACAAGTAAGGAGAGAAAGACTTGTGGAGCAGCCTTGCAAGGAAAGAGCTGAAGCTTGAATGACAGTGAGTGGTGGTGATCTGAAAACTGAGCAGCTGCTGGACCAAGCTGAAGACTCTGGGAGAAACCTGCAGATTCCTGGTGGAAGTTAAACCCAACCAGAAAAAAGAGTGCCATTCAAAGTTAAGTCTGTGACTTAATTGAGGTGGAATTTGATAGGATAATTTGCTTAACGTTGGTTAGGCATATGAATGGAGACTTCTAGCACCTCAATGGTGGTAAAAGTAACTGCACAGAAACCCTGCTTTAAAAGTAGTAACAACATTCTTAAAATCAGCAGCTTTCTTGTTTTCTTTTTAATAAAATAGTTTTCTTTTTAATAAAATAGTATATAGCTTTGTTGAAAGTCCAGTGCTGCACAACACATACAACTGAACATAATATTGGCACATCATGATAAGAAGATTCACTGCAGAAAACAATAATGCTTGGGAAAGCTGAAACAGGAGAGGAAGACCAAATATGAGATGGATCAGTATCCCATAAAGGAAGGCAGATGTTTGAGTTTACAAGAGCTGAGGAGGGCTGGTCTAGGACAGGACATTATGGAGGGCATTCATTCACAGGATTGCCACAAGTCGGAAGTGACAGCATGTTGCAGCAACAAAACTTTCTGCCACCTCGAATGTATTTTGTTTCACTTCTCCTCATCCAGGAAAAGGTATATGTTAAATAGAACAGGCACAGTTTAATGGTGGAAACAAAAGGAAAGGAAAGGACCACATTTGAGGTTGAGATAGATTTGCCCTAGTGCACAGGTCTCCATACCCAAGATCCAGATTCTCCACAAGAGGTTAACATTATAGCAGGGTTAAGAGATACTGAAATGTCTTCAGTATTTGATTTGATTTTTGGCTATTTTAAATATTTTTTTACGTATCTTCCTCTGCAAGGTTATAGCATAACAAGTAGTTCTTTAAGATATAAACTACCCCTTAGTTTCTTCAGCAGTTCAAGCTTAAATAGGGAAACACTACCTCTACTCCAATTTATACAAGACCATGCATGTCTAACTTGCATAATAATGAAGTGACTAAGCAACAGCAAGAAATATGCTATAGTTCTTCAGTAAGAATGTGGAGGGAAATATATCCAGTGTGGTAAACTGGAGTGTCAATAAGGCATAAATGAAAGAATATTTAATTTTACATTAGCGATGATAACCAGTGTTTCTCTTGCATCTGAATCCACTTACCTTGATCATTGTATCTAGCTAGATCTTTCTGGTTGATGTAGAGGTCATGGTCAGTGTCCAATTCCCAGAATTTACAGTAAATGACATAGAAATGCTCATAGGAAAAATAATCAGTAATTTGATTTATGTCTTCCTCTTCTTCCAAGAGAGCTAAGGTCTGAAAAAAATAGATTGGAGTCATTCTACAAGACAGTGCTGAACAAGTACTATACACTCCAACTAGAATGATGCCTTATGTTCCAGCCATTATTATTCATTAACCACTTTTAGCTGCAAAAAAGCTGTCTTTTTACAGCTGTATCAAAAGTTCATTATATTTTTTAAATCCACAAACAAGCATAATTATTTCAAATTTTCTATGTGTCTTATTCTGAGGTATGATAATCACTTACTGCTCTACTTTGGTACACACATCTATTTTATGAACAAATTTAGAATGACTTGGATGTCTCTCCAAATGAAACAATGTTTGTGACATATAAAAGTGAACACTACATCTGTGCTTCCTAAACTTATTATCAAGAAATACTTTGAGATTTGCTTTCTGAACTGGAATTTCCTAATGCCACCTGTCAGAAAATCCCATAAAAATGCAAAGTAAAACCAATTAATGTAGCTTCTTTTAGGGTACAAATTCTGTATTTGAGTTCTAACAAAACAGGGACTTTATGATATTGTCACCAAGTCTCACTATGGCAGTAAGACACAAGATACACCACCATGAAAAAAATTGTATCAGTGGAACACCACAGATACACTGGCTGAAACTGGGATAGTGCTAAGCATGTGAACAGTGTAGAGGATGAACACACTTACACTGTATCCTATAACACTGCAGTTCATGGCAATATCCCAGCAGGCAGTGGAACTTTACATACATTCCAGACTTGGCACAAAAAATTATCTCCCACTGACTTGAATGGGAGGGCATTCCTTCTTAGCAAACCCACCCCTGTTGATCACTGCCATGCCCACACTGCATCAACAGAACATAGGTCATGGTTTAACTCAGCACCCAGTAACAGTAACAGCACACCACCAGAAGCCTGTACAAGTCACACAGGGAGTCTATAACTAAGATGATAGTATATGCAGCATGTGGCTGTATCTCTTTGGTCCCATGTTGTACACACTTCTAGTTCACAGGGAAGAAACTTGGGTGATGAGAAACTATAAGAATGGCACTTTGCACAAAACAGCCTGGCCATGGAACTCATAGGGGAAATTGACTAAGTTGTTTATACTCCACTGCTGAATCAAAGTTTCAATTTTTGAATGGGTGACATTTAGGTGGAATTTCTAAATGAACAAATATATGGACATTTGGGCTGCCTTTTTTGAAATGTGCCCATAATCACCTTTATCAATAGCTTGCTACATATAAAATATACTGGAATATAATATATATGTGTATGTAGTGTTACGAGTAATACTAAATTTATGTTAAATTTGATGTGAGAAAACTGTAACATTTTATCTAATTCTGATCATCTTTCTTTTCCTTTTTTCACTGTTGTTTAGGATTTGTTTGGAAACATTCAATAAAAATAAACTTTAAACAGTTGAAAATGAGTGCAAGGTGAAACTAGTTTTGAAATGATTTTTAGAAAACTTAGGCAAACTTGAAAACGACAAGGTTCTTCCACTTCTATTGGGAGGAAACTTCCACAGTCCTTTTTTTCTTTCAAGACCTTCTCCATTCCAGATAAAGCCACTGACCTTGCCACCTGTGTTGTTCCCCTGTTGCAAGGGAATGATAGATAGCGATTCTTCTCTTACACTTTCCTATGAACTGGCTTCAGCTAGCCTCAGAATGGAGGATGCAACAAGAAGTTTGATGGGCTCAGGGGAAATGGTCACTCTCCTTTGCTAGCTCAGACTGGGAGTGGGTGGTATTCCTGGGGTGGGTGGTATTCCTGGGGTGCACAAGTGGGATGAGTTCTACTGCCAAGGTGTGACGCAGTTAAGTGGAAGTGGGAAGGAAAGGAAAGGGGAAAGGAAGAAATTGGGGAGGGATGATAAGGAGCCAGTAGGTCCTGCTGGGATACTAGCCAGTAGAGTTGGCCTATCAGGCAAAGTAACAGGGATATATGCACCTGTCAAAGATTTTGCAGAGATTAAGGATAGCTAAAGAAGCCAGGCTATTGGTCTACATATTGTTTCTTCTGATTGGCTCAGGCGTACCTGGCAGTGGGGAAATTTCTTCACCTTTTGAGGGTGGGGCTGTATGCTGAATTACTAGACCCAGGATGCCTGCATGCAAAATGTAATCTGTTCCACTAGAACAGACTTTTTTTCCTGCAAGCCTTGTGTTCTAGTCATTTTTGGCAGAGTACTGAAGCTAAGGAAACGGGAGAAGAAAAAGTAAACTTTGGATATTTGATTTGATTTTGTTTCTACCAATATTTATGTGGTTAATGTAAACCTTACTGTGATGTATCTAGTACCCTTCAACACTGGAAATCTGCCATTGAACTGTACTTTTACAGCTAACTCCCACTACAAAAGTGAAATTTCTACATAGGCCTTAGGAAAAAATGTTTTTGAAATTTTTGTTGCCCAAATGATCCAAAACATTAACTTACTTGCAGAAAGTTACTTTTCCTCAACTCTGTCAGCGATATTTTCCCATTCCATGATCTATTGACTGTGTAAAATATTCTTTGAATAACCTAGAAACAAATTGAAATACCAGTCTCAAAATCATTTACAAAGCAGAACTGGATTTATTGCGAGTGACTTGCATACATGTCTTGCACCATTCTGCCAATACCAGTACAGTGGTACCTTGGTTCATGAACTTAATGCATTCCATGATTCTGGTTGTGACCCAAATTGGTCACAAACCAAGTCAAATTCCCCCATAAGGTTCAATGTAAATAAGGTTAATCCATTCTGTAAAAAAAAATTAATCACAACAATTTGAAACAAAGTAACGAAGTACAGTACAGTAGAGATCACTAACCTAGGTGAGGGGGGAGGTTATTGTTTGGAGGGAGAGTCCCCCTCCATAAGGACATCAGGGAGATCTCCTTCAGGGGTTTCCTATCTTCTTTGTCTCTTAGCTGCACGGTCAATTTTGGTGAAAAATCTGCACATTCTGGTCACCTTCATTATCACTTTGCACATTCTTTTTACCACCATGCTTGTTCTGCACTTTCTTTGGAGCCATATTATTATTGAATAATACTTTATAGTACTGTATGTGCTAAAAAGCACACAGAAAAAGCTTTACAGCAAGAGACCACAGGTCCTCCTTCAACCGCGAGTGGGAAAGACAGGAGGAATTGCGATCATGCTCATGCGGGGAAGATGGCCGCGATAACGATTGTGCAGGGAAGATGGCTGCGATTGCGATCATGTTTGTGAGGAACATGGCCATGATCGTGGTTGTCACCCAATGCAGAATTTGCAAATGGAGGCAAAATTTTTCCAAAATTTTGTTTGTGAACTGATTTGGTCATGATCTGAGGCATTTGTCAACCGAGGTACCACTGTATGTAAAAGGAATAACAATAGGAAAATGTATGCAGGCAGTCCGCGGGTTACAAACAGTCCTCCACATTGGTGGGGAGAGGGCTGCAGGACCCCTGTGAAAGTGGAAAAACCACAAACATCTCTAGCCCCCTCCCCCACCTAAGCTCACCAGCACCTCCTCTTTGCAGCAAGGAAATGTGGCAGCTTTTCCTCTCCAGATGGGCATGAAGGCATGATTTGGAGGCCTTCCATCTCCCCCCCTTCCACCTCCTCTTTCTTTATGGTAATGACAATTTTCTGTAGTATTTTTTAATTAACAGGCTTTACGGCAGTTTGTTCATAACTACAGGTTGTTCATAACTCAGACATTTGTCACTCAGGGACTGCCTGTATAGTCTTACAGAGGTCTTAATTACCTTAATATAGGTAATTATTAAGTATTTATATTCAGCTTTTACAAATTCAATGGACAGCTAAAAACATTCTTAAAATCCAGTGCTGCTGCTGGATTAGTTAGCACACTGCATTTATATCCTACCTTTTTTCAAGGAAACTTACATAGCTGCATTTTATCCTCACAGAAGCAATTCTGTGAGATATGCTGGGCTGAATCTGTCACTGGCCCAAAGTCACCCAGTGAGTATCATGTCCAAGTGGGGACTAGGATCAAAGATTCCAGGCCACTATTCCAATGCTCTCACCATACTGGCTCATACTGTTGCCTCCTTGTCCTCTCCCTATACTCCAGATTGTACAAGCAGCTTTCTGTGCCTGAGTCTGCTCTCTGGAAATGCTGTTCACTCAACCATTCTTTTGTTTGGGGGACTCTCTCAGGGCAAGAGAGCAAATAGGCAGCCTCTATGGAGAATTCAGGGACTGCAGGTGGCGCAGTGGTTTAAACCGCTGTGCTGCTGGGCTGGTTGATCAAAACGTTGCCAGTTCGAATATCCACAACAGGGTGAGCTCCCATTGCTCTGTCCCAGCTCCTGCCAACCTTGCAGTTCGAAAGCATGCAAATCCAAGTAGATAAAAAGGTACCACGCTGGTGGGCAGGTAACAGCGTTCTGTGCACTTCGGTGTTTAGTCATGCCGGCCACATGACCACGGAGACTGTCTGCAGACAAACACTGGCTCCCTCGGCTAGGAAACGGAGATGAGCACCGCCCCCTAGAGTCAGGCATGACTGGATGTAATGTCAAGGGGAAACCTTTACCTTTACTTTTTTATGGAGAATTCATCCATCTGCTCTCTCACTTTGTGAAAGGCCTCAGATTGAAAAATGGGGCATGAGAAGATGGCTGCTCTTCCATGGAGCCCTGCTTGCTATTCTCCCATTGTGACATTTGCTATAGCAGGTAGCTACAGTATAGTGTAGAGAGCCAGTGTAGTGGTAAGGGTGTGTCTTGCTCTCTATGCTGGCCAGCTTGAGAGAGCCCAATGGTTATCACAGAAGCCATGAAGACGCAAGCTGGGATACAGACTGTTTCACTCTGGACACCAAAGTCATCCTTGAATCTTCCAAGATCACCTTGGGTAACAATATAGGTCAAAAACTAGCAGCATATCCAATCTGTCTTTCTGACCAAACCTCAAATGCAGGCTGCCCTCCATAATTTCCTGGAAATCTGATAGAACAAGAAAGCACCTCTACCCTGACCTCATTGGTCTGCCATGGCACTGCATCAAATATCCAGAAAGACAAAGCTTGCTGAGAATAAGCCTGCCCATCTCATCCACCCACGTCTTGGTGATACATGTCAAGTTGGATCCCTCTTCCACTATTATATGGAAGTGGCGCCCCATGCGGTGGCACCCCACCTATGGAATGCGCTCCCCAGAGAGGTCCGCCTGGCGCCGTCGTTATTTGTTTTTCAGCGCCAGGCTAAGACCTTTTTATTTAAAACTTATTTTAATTGTTAATTTATTATGTATTTATAGGATTTAAAATTTTTAGCCGAGGTGTTACTGGGCTTTTTAATCTTTATTGTATTTAGTGTTATTTATATGTTTTTAATGATGTTGTGAGCCGCCCCGAGGCTTTGCTGCGATGGGGGCGGCATAGAAATGTTTTAAATAAATAAATAAATCATGGATGATCCAGTTTAACAACAGCACCACCAGAACAGAGAGTTCCTCAGCAGATGATAAACCAGGAATTGATCAGGAACTGGAACAGGGAACAAAAGTCAAATGTGTATGACACTATCTCCTGACCTCACTTCTTAGCTCTTTATCCATGCTAGGTAAGTGACTTGGCAAAGCAACTGATTCAAATAAAAACATACAGGTTAATAAGAACTTTCAGTGCCCCAGAGAAAGGTATGCTTAAATTAGGCATCAGACATGCACTAGCAGCCCATCCCAATACAAGGTTGGCTTCTACATATAAGAAGTCATAGAGAGGGAGCCTAAGTAAATTGAAGTCCCAAATGCTCTTGGGCAATCAAAAGTAAGGTTTGCGATAATTGGTAGAGGGGGGAAGAAAAAGAAGTTGAAGGAGGTTTGTTCTAACAAAAGGTGTGATCAGGCTGATCATGGTAGCTGGTGACAATACAGAAAGGAGGTAAGAGGAAGGGGGTTGCTTGAAGCTCAAAATACATCCACTCCAGTTGAAGGTGCTTTGTGCATTTCACTCATTTATTGACTGGCTGCTGCATGCTAGGAGTGGTAGGCCTTCTTCTGTCTAAACAAGTATAGGATGGTGCCCTAAGGGTTCATATATACTTCTGCCTGGGATGGTGCAAGCTGTTCTTGAAGCTGGAGTCTGGAGCATATTAAGACTCTTAACTCTCAGGGCTTTTCTACATAAAGCATCTATCATGTAACTTTAGTGAGGCTTCTTCTTTGCTTTTCATTGCTAGAAGTCAGTGTCCATTATCAAACCATTTCCCCCCTGGGGGTTTAATTTCTCTGTCTTCCTATATATTAAAACAATCACAAGGCGGCACTTTGGTATAACGCAACAGCAAAAAATACACAGCCAGTTTGATGCAGTAGGGAGCACGACAGGAAATAATACCACACTTTCTCCACTCTAAAAAAGCCACAAAATGTGTGAAAAAATGGGAAAATGCGGGAGAGAATTTGGAGGAGGATGTCATGAAAAGGACCTGCAAAATCCCGAGTGAGGGATCATGAATGCACAATATATGACTAATGCAGAGAAGCTTTCCATGATGACAAAAAACTGTCCATTTTAAAAGGGGATTTTAGTAAAACTTCACCTGTGAAAAGGTGAGAAGCTAAGAGAGTCCTTGGACTAGTTAATAGCAGAATATAAATTGAATGAATGAATAGTCAAGTTGCACTGAATCCTGAGGCAGAAAATGCTGCACCTCTCCCTGTTCCTACCACTGAAAATATAATAATAAATTAAACAATGCATAAATTGTTGCTTTCTCGTGATATCCAGAATTAGCTGTCTGAGGCAACTGCCTCAAGCTCTAAAGTGTGTGTATATGGATGTGTGTGAGCATGCATGCACAAAGGATTCTGCCTCCTATGGGCACCCCATTTATAAAAAAAGGGATGCATGGATAGGGGAGAGGAGGGTACTGGATTTCAGAAAAATATCCTTAGATAAAAAGAATTCAGAGAGAAGAAACAGGATGTTATTAAAGCAGATTATGACAACTGGGGCAACTCTACAGATCTAAGGCCCATGCTCAAGTGCTTCCCCTAACACCATTTATGCCAACAGTCAGTTCTAGTTAGTAATGGAGCAGCTGAAATTGGGCTAAGTACAGTTTCCTAGCAGTCTGCATAGACCCACACATAATCATTGGATTGCAAAAAAAAAAAAAAAAAATGGTATTGCTTGAATAACATGGTGAACAACTTAAGAAAAGCCAAGTAGAGAGGAAAACAAGATGGTAAGAACAATGAAGAATTAAATGAATGAAACAAAAAATTATAATGCCATAACTGGACAATTTGCTCTCCTAAAATAGGACATGGCTCAAAAATGAATCATGAGCTTTTCCTTACAGAATACATTGTTCATGCAGCCAACATACCGTAGTAATATAGCGGGAATGAAATTCTGGAGCATCCTTTAGAAATGTCAATCCAGGGTGAGTTTCTACTACATCCTGAAAGACACCCAAATTATTTAATCCATAAAAATTAGGGAGTTGAGATAATTGTATTACACAGCAATTCTTGTACATATTGGTAGCATTATAAAAGCCTCATTATCTTTATCAGCTAGAAGAGCTTTGCAAAGTGAATCCAAGGAGGAGCAGAGTACCAGATCCAACACTGCACCATGAGTCTTGCCAGCTTGGATTAGCCAGTGCAGAAGATGGGAGCTATTAGGTTCCCTTCTCCCATCTTTTTTTTGTAATGTCAACTACAGGCTAGCATAATTGGAAGGCCTGAGAAGAACTTATACACACCTGCAGTAATGGGATGAAATCTTCTTGTTCCAGATAGTTACAGTTGGGTTTTGTTAAAAGACAAATGAATTTTGATGCATCATCATGGCAGTTGTGTAGTATCCTACAAAAGAGAAGTAAGACTGTAAAAGTACTCCTAGTAATTAGTTTGCAAAGTACCAGAAGTAAACTACTTGGTAAGGCCTTCAGACCAACCCCATTCTTCATTTTCTGCTATAGTTAAGCACTAAAGTATATGTCACATTAATCACATAGTTTTGCCCTTAAATACAGGTGTTTTTCTCCCACAAACACCCAATATGAGAAGCCCTGGATCCTTGCATGGGGATAAAGAGGCTTTAACCTTCCCCTGGTATGAACCCAATCCAGATCATAGCTCTCATATGGATTATCTATATGGTTAAAATGCTTCAAACTTTTCATGGAAATAGGCAATTTGAGGAAGGCAGCCCAGATAAGGAGCACAGCAGGGGGCAAAGGCTAGTTTAGAAGTTCCATATTAGCTATATGTGGGGTAAAAAAACGTTTACTTAAGAGCAACACTACATAGAAATAAACATTGTTTCTTCTAAACCTATAACTACAATTTTATGTGGTAACACATACTTCCTTGTGGAACTTCTTGCATCTGGTTTTATGAGCAAGTTTGGTGCGTGATCTCTTGGTAACTTTTTCTTTTGATGTTTTTGTTTTTCTTTCTGTTTATTATTTACAAAAATGTAATTTTTCAAAAAAGAGCAACACTACAACACTACATAAATAACATAATTTGTAATGGACCTGTCACTTTAATTTCATATAATTACATTTGCTCACATTCATCTCTAGTCTCTTTCTCACTAAACTCCGTTTGTCTTTCCCATTATCTATTTTATATTATAAGCCCCTTGAGAGCTGGGGACCTGACTAATTTTTTCTTATTGAACTCTTTAAAATACCATGTTTAGTGCTAATACAATAATTATAAGTTTTTGGGAAATCATACCAATAAGGAAAAAAGGATTATAGAGATTAAACTGAAGATCATCAAACTAGATGTATCTAGAAGCGCTCTCTCTCGCTCGCTCGCTCTCTCTCTCTCATCCTAAATAGCTGTCAGGGAAGGTATTAACTCTTTTCCCCGTTTCAGTTACAACTAAAACATTTCCCGAAGCAATTTGATTCAGAAGTCCCTCCATCATGAGAACTATCCAGAGTGAAAAAAGGAGAGAAACAACTTTCACAGACATAGTGTCAAATATAGTCTGGTTCTAAGAGCTGATTGTTGATGTGAACTATACTAAGATTCATATTTGTATATTAGAAAGCATTAATTAAAGAAGAACATATTGTGCAAATTGATGTTTTGATTGCTGTGTCTGATGGATTAGCTTCTCAATGCATGCACTGGGACTAAAAGGTATACCCTTTTGTCATTCTAATATTTTTAGATAAATAATAATAAATCATGTACAGATTATCATTATAATGTATAATAATGTATAATAAATCATGACACATCAGTCTTGTAAGAACTAGTCCACACTGAGCACTATACAAATTGATTCAAATCACTGAGTATTCTATAACTGATGTCATTATTTGGTGGATTTCATCCATGCATGATTTTAACAGAAAGTTAAAGGCAAATTCAGACTAGAAATTCATAACAAAAGTAACTTGTACTTATTCAAGTCAGTGTCAAGACCCTACACATTTCAATGGCTCCACTTTAGACCCAGTACTTTGAATAGAGAAAATAAACGCTGTGCTGCCTTAAAGTCCTGTCACTTGAAGTATTTAATCAAGATTGGCTATGTTTCTGTTATAATGAAACCAGAACATTCCAAGTTAGACATAGGAATTACTAAATATACGTTTATGACCTCTGTTATGTAAGTCTGACCATACCATAGAAATAGAAGGGTAAGTGAAAGAATGATTGACAGGTGAGGCTAGTATGGAATGGTGGGCAAGGTTAGCAGCATTGAAGAGAGACAGTTACAAAGAAGACAAAGATAGCTAATGGGAGGAAAGTAGGAACTGATTTGGAACTGAGAGATAATTATCTTTTTTGTACATAACAATAACTGAAAGTTTATTTTAAACCAGCCACTCTATATTCCATCACTACAGCATCACAAAGCAATTTGGGATATAGCAAGGGACTGGGAAAAGGAGGGAAACATACAACACAGGATTTGAGAAAACAAGCCAGACAAACCCTCATTGAGCAACAAAGCTTGAGTTAAATAACCCATGGTCTAGTGCAGGGGTCGGCAACCCGTGGCTCCGGAGCTGCACGTGGCTCTTGAATTCCTCTGCTGCAGCTCTGTTGCTCAAAACACGTGCCGGCACAGCCGCCAATCTGCAACCAAGGCTGGTTAAGTAAATTGCTACATTCCTCTGCTATTGTGCAGGGAAAGAGTGGAACAAGCTTCCTGCAAGCTCTCATGTTACTCAAATCCTGCTGAAAAGATTCTCTTTGTCCAAATGTAATCTCCTTCATCTGAATGTTAAAATTCACAGCACTTGACTGTTTATCTGCTAATCAGTCACTAAACACACTTATATCTCCAGCACAGCCAATCTGGGACCTGCACTGATTTACTGAGCTTCCCCTCCACCACCTCCACCACCCCTGTAGGCTAACCATGGATAAACTGAAGAAAAGTTTCTGAAGAAAACCAAACATTTAATGGTACGTGGATAGATTCATTTGCTTTTACTGCTGATGAACTTATGGGGTTTGCTGTTTAATGCATGCAGCCCTTTAGCACTGACTTTGATTCTGCAGGAAGCTGTTCTCTTATTCAAAATATATGAAAGGAGTCCTACTAGTTTATAATGTAAGATTAAAAATAACAATTTTTAGTGACTGAACAAGAGCTGCAGCTAAATCTTAATGAAGATATAGATCGACTTCCTTGTTTTTTTTCAGGAGTTCAAAATGTTTTTGTTGCATGCAGAAATAAAAATTTGTTTTCTCTGTAGCAGTTCATTGATTTCATAAATGCAACACACTTTAGTTTTTTTATACATAGCATAAAGGTAAAAAACGATATATGCAGTGTTATCCTCATTTTAGATGTCAAAAGGGTTTTGCGGCTCCCGGTGTTTTCTTTTCTGTGGGAAACGAGTCCAAATGGCTCTTTTGAGTGTTAAAGGTTGCCGACCCCTGGTCTAGTGTTATGAATAAACCAGGTCAGTTAGTGAGTTAAGTTAATCAGTCACTGAGTTGTATCAAAGACAAAGTGTAAATGAGAAGAGAAGGAGACAAGTTGTTGAAAGGAGAGAAGTGGTGTTAGGTTTTGTGAACCATCATCTATCAGTTATTGTAGATGTTGATCTAATATATAAGTAAGTATATGTTGATTATTTTAAATACATATGTTCTTCTCTTCATGATTTTTCAGACTGCCATATCTCATTCCTCACGGTAAGGAGACAAAAAGTCCTACAGCTCTTGGTAAAACAATAGGTGGTAGAAAGTGGTGCCTTGGGGAGTCCTAGAAAAAACTCTGGACTGAATGACTTCTAGCAGAAGGGCCTAGATATGTCAAAGACATAGTGGGCCTTTCTAGCCTAGTAAAATGAATTTATAAGCAAATCTTGTATGAATACAAGATTTATCAAATGAGAAGACAAATATATTTCAATAAAAATATACAGCATATTAAAAGGATGAAAACTTGGAGGTGTAAAAATAAGGATTGATCAGGTACGGCTGAAACAGGGCTTTTTCTAGAAGAATGTTTTTACACAGTGTACTCACTTTCTCCACATGGCCACAAATGAATGTATGGACACAAATCCTGTTCGTTCTCCTCCTGATGCATAGAACATGGGAGCTTTCCAGTACAGGGGGCAGCAGCATACCTGTAAACAATGCAAGAAGATGGAAAGTGCATGGCTGTCAGGAGCTGGGGTTCCTCCTCTGCTTGTTCAGAAACCACTTACCTTTTTCCTTTCAAAGAGTTCTTTATTGACCAAAATGCACAAACGACCCAGAATGAATCTCTGAGCATTCACAAAGCAGACTACTGATCCCCATCTAGTATTCACCTCCTTATGAGCATGCCTGGACGCCATCTCTTCAAGAGGGGCCTTCTGAAAGTGAGCACACTCCTCTCCACATGCCAATCCTCTAATTGGGCCACCCTCCTCTTGACACATCATGGGGTCAAGAGCTGTGCTCACCTTGCCTCAGTCTGAGAAACTCCCCTGTTCCAAGTCCCTTCCTGCCAATTGTACATCATTATTTCTCGAGAGTGCCTGCTCAGCTGGGGAGTGTGGCCCTGAGATGAGCGTCTCTGCTCTCTCATCTCAGTGTCTTCGCATGGCCCACATTCTCATGCTCCCCTCAGTTCCGCTTCATATTTTGATTCTGATTCCTCTGATGTCCAGCCAGCAGTCCTTGAGAACAAGTGCTCAAAGCAGTCATCTTTCTCACTCCCAAGAATAGCTAGTGTACTGGAAATACTTTATCTGTTCTTTCTGGGACAATATTTTACTAGAAAGTGAAATCCTATGCATCCTATGCATGTTTAAGACAAAAAAAATCCTACAAATCCCAGTATTCCCTAGGCAGTCATGCCATATGATGGAACTTGCAGGCCTTTTTTATATGTACATAGGATTGGACCCCTCAAGTCTTTATTTACCCTGAATTTAACTGGATGTGGACTCCAATGTTATAGCAGTGGTATGAGCTGAGATATCCAGAGCACAGTCTAGTGTATTTGTTTTGAATGAGTTCCCATTAGTGCAGCTTGAGGATGTTGACAAGGTGCTTGGACAGGTTTGTGCAATCATGTCCATACTGGATCTTCGCCTCTCTTGGCTAATAAACAGGGAGGTGATTAATGCTTCTTTACAAGAATGGTCCCTCAGCCCCTGAAAAAAGCAGTGGTGAGACCATTCCTGAAGAACTTGGTCACCCTATATGATGACCTATGTCAGGAAAGAGACAGGGGGAGTACAACCTGTTGGTTCTCCTGGACCTCTCAGGAGCAATCAGTACTATCAACCATGGTATCCTACTGAGGCAACTGTCTGAGTTGAGTGTGAGAGGCACTGCATTGCAGTGGTTAAACTCCTACTTGGTTGATAGGCCCCAGAAGGTGGTATTTGGGGGATATTGCTCTGTCCCTTGGATCCTCCAGTATGGGGTTCCTCGGGGGTCAGTCTTGCCCCCCATGCTATTCAACATCTACAAGAAACCACTGGATGAGGTCATCTGGAATTTTTGAGTGCATTGCAATCAGTATGCTAATGACATACAACTCTATCTCTCCTGTTCATCTTCAGGGGGTGAGGCTGTGGATATGCTGAATTGGTACCTGTCCACGACAATGGACTGGATGAGGGATAAGAAAATGAAGCTCAATCCAGACAAGAATGAGATGCTGTTGGTGTGTGGTTCTTCTGACCAGATGGAGAGAATCCAACCTGTTCTAGATGGGGTTGCACGCCCCTTGAAGGAGCAGGTTTGTAGCTTGGGGTTGCTCCTTGAGCCATCTTTGTCACTTGAGGCCCAGGTGGTTTCAATGGCTTGGACTGCCTTCTACCAGCTTCAGCTGGTAGCTCAGCTATATCCCTATCTGATCAATGATAGCCTGCTATCAGTGATCTGTGCTCTGGTAATCTCTAAGCTAGACTACTGCAATGCACTCTATACTGGGATGCCCTTGAAGACTGCCCAGAAACTGTTGCTTGTGTAAAATGTTGCAGCCAGATTAATAACAGGGATCAGATGGTCTGATCATATAGCACCAATTCTGGCCAGCTTGCACATGTTGCCTATATGCTTCTGAGCCCAATTCAAAGTGCTATGATCTATAAATCCCTACACAACTTAGGACAATTAAGAATTTACAAACTTTCTGTGGTATTTGTATCACCTCTCTTGGGAGATATGTCACCAATGTACATACATGTTTTACCTAAAGCATACTCTGAATCAACCATCCAACAATTTTCCATAGATTTATACAAATTTGGGCACTTTATTTGTTTTAGATTTTAACTTATCCATATATGTGCTTCTTTAGTTAATGGATACCATATTTTAGAAGTATTATAGCAATGCCACCATGAAAAGATGGGATGAGAAGAAAAAAGACTGTATGTTCAGATCAGAAAAATATTGTATAGTAGCAGCAGAGGTCTTCTCACTCCTCAGGGCTGGCTGTGCCAACAAAAATATGTATATGATATATATGTATATAGTGCTGGAATGTATACATTTTTAAAAGATTAAAAAAGAAACTGAGAAGGCACTATAGAAGTAAAACTGACAAGTATATTTGCCTTATACAAAGGAATTGCTTTGCACTGTAAGAGCTGGAACTCAGGTATTATGGTGAGAATGCCTGTTCTGCCTATAAAAGTAAGGCAGCAGTGACAGTGATACATCAGATCTTATCACAAAATGAGATGACAGATCTCATCTGCTACATGGCCTCCCTTATCTCCACCAAGAGATATACTTCTCAAGGATACATATCTCTTGGTGGAAGTTTAGTCTGATTGACAATTCCAAAAGGGCTTAGCATGTAACTTAATTGTAAAATCAAATAAAAAAAATGTTGTGATGATTGTGGTTAAGCTATAAAGTATTTTTAAATATAGTAACGGTCCCTATCACCTTTATATAGTGAATATAAAGGAAAAAAGCAGAATGACGACAAATATAACAAAGGCAGCATTCAGCTAACCTAGGTTTATCCTCTCTCTTAAAAGTCAGCTTAAATAAAAATGACTTTGTTGTTGTTATCCTTGTTTTTGCAGAAGATACAAGATTAAGCCTCCACAATACTGGCTAAATGTGGAACCAAGGCAAAAGCAAACTTAGTGCAGACTAGTCTCATATATATCCTGTTTTCACCTGCCCAAAAGGGCCCATCACAACCCACAGGTTCTTTCACTGCTGTTACCAGCAGAGAAGTACCCTTCCACATGAATACCTGCTGTCATCTGAAAGTTACTGCTTCCCAGATCTTTTCATAGCCTTAACTGAAAACAGCAGTAGTAATTCAGCCAAATAAACAATGCAGCTTCCACAGAAACTCTCCCAATGTTTGCTCAGTGGTCAGCATTTCTGCCTTGTCCTAATGCATTAATGTCTTGCACCTCTGGAAACCAGCTGTAAAAGTTTTGCTTTTGTTCATGGTTTCATTTTGTTAACACCTTATTTGAAACTATGATTTTCTTCATTAATACTTACTTGCTTAAATTGTAATGAGATTCTAGCTTTGTCCATTGCAAGCCAAGGAATAATAATAGTTACCTTTGCAATTTTCCCCATTTCATTAAGAGGAACTCTCTCATCTTCAAACTCTGAAAAGGCTGCCTCAACCTTGGCAATGGTCTCTTCATGACTGTTGCATACATTAGGAAGTCCATTGGGGAAATAGAAGCGTGGAATGCTTATGGATAAAGGGGCAGCAACAGTTACTTTATTTGGAGGCAGAAGAGATTGTGAGCTGACTGTTGAATTCGTAGGAGCAGGGGATGGAGTCACAGATTTCTTTTCTTGTTTATTTTGGACCTGGAAAGATCACACATGAATTATTTTTCTACAAACAAATAAGAATGGGAAATACAGATAAAATCAGTCCATTAGTAAATGTCAAACAATGAAGTTTTTGTTTATACTATTGATATGTAACTTTAACACTGTGCATTTTTTGCACCACTGCATCTTTCTAAGTACCTAAAGCAGCATTCAGTTAAAGCTCTCAAAGGAAACAGGCTGGCTTCTGGTTAGTACTGATAACCATGTACTGCTATACAGTCATGTACTGATAAGTCACAAAAATGTACTGATGAGAGAATATATCCATTTATTTAGATTACATCTCAGCTTTTGACTGCAGAATGCCTATTATTAAAGTGCTACTGCTTGGAGTGCACTTTTCGCGTCAATGCTACATATTTTGTTCTTCCTGCACTTTGAAACTATCTTTGTGTCAGGTGATTATGCTTACAACTCACATCATGTCAGTACAGTACATTTTAACACCGATTTGACACACTGGATTACATGTTTTGTCCAACTCTGATTTTTTTATACATTTATGGTGCTGGAACCAAACCAGCAAGCATGTTAACAACTTGTCAAGTAACATTCTTGCAATTTAGTATTAGCATTGATTGATCTGTATGATGAAAACTGGTAGAATAATTCCAAATCCATAATTGCTGTGATCCGGTTCTTTGACTGTACTGTAGGAAATAAAATATTAACGAAGGAGTGTCCATACATGCATTCTTTGTACATTTCATTTCACCTTTTCCTTCCTTATCCTAAAATAATATTATTCATCTAAAACACTTCACCACACCTGTTCTTCTGCTTAGGGTAGAATTCTCACGCACCTTTATTTTTTTTTCCTGGAATTGTAGTTTTTTTTTCTTAGCAAATGCTGAATTTGAAAAATATTGCAGAAATATACCGGTGCATCAATTTATATCCCAGTAAATTTGTTGTAGTGTGATTTAAAGAAAGAACAGGGCGACAACTTGAGACTTATCCACTAGGTAAGTTCTAGTACCGTAAAGTAGCTTAGTTCCAAGATCATTAGGCAATTAGCTTTTGGATTCTACTAGCAGATGAAATTAAAAAGATGGTTAATATTTGAGACTATGAAATGCTGTAAATTCACACAGTGCCTCCACACCAAAAGGAGAATCTGACAACCAAGGAGGAAGGGGAAGAAAGGTCCCAGGATAAAGAATAAATGGCAGGCTGTCTGTGCAAATATTTTCTGAGAAAACCAGGAAGTGGTGCAAAATTAATAATAAAGTATGGGATGCAGTGCTTGCTGCTCATCTTCCCTGAATGCCTATCAGCAGAAGACTAAATCAAAAACTGCTATTCCATATAAATCCTGAGGTAGTGGTTTAAACCATATTGGAGTAATCAGATGTCAAACTATACTTTAGCAAATCTTAAAATAATCTTTTCTTCTATTGATCATCAGAAAGTACTTTAGCAGCCAGAGATAATATGTGGAATAGTGAAGCACTACCACACATGTCCACTTCTGCATCCATTTCATTGTAACCTTTAAAGCATATTTTCAGCAGTGGAGCAGAACAAAGCCCTCCAATGCAGCTGACATTTAGGACAATTAAGTAAGGAATGTAAAAATGAAATATACAAGTCATTTCTTTTCTTCAGAGAACAAGCAGTAAGCTGTAATTATTTTCAGCTAATAATCTTTTAAAATTTAGTATTTTTATCCTCCAAAGGAAAATACCTTTGGGCTCTTCTTGTTTACCAATAGGGCATTTGTGTGCTAAGCTTGGAAGACCTATTTTTAAACCTATGGGTATTTGCTTCAAATAACCTTCTGAAAATAGAAAAGGCTAAGGGAGACACAGCTCCAAGCCCTGATCCAATAAAAAGATACAAAGAGGAAGAAGAAAAGCACATTCAAACCTGGGCCTGCTGGAATGACTTCAACCTCCTCTTGAATCGAGATGGAAGAACAAAATCACAGCCTTTTGCAAGGAAAGCTAACTCTCCTCGTAAATCTGGGTCCCATCGCAGAGAAGTTTCCTTGATCATCATGTTGCTTAGTTCCTGAGCCAACTTTTGTCCTCCCAGCAGAGATCTCCTCCAGGAGATCACTTCCACAACAATGAGCTATTCTCTTGGCTTAGGATTATTATGGTCAAGAAGTTCTAAGTGAATCATACCTTGGCTTCTTCTTATCCACAGCAAGAATTATTTGATCACTCTACCTCACCCCAATGCCAGAGAACTTTTTTTCTGACATTCAAAAAATCCCTGAGCATTAATATCTCTGGATGTCCCTTTGCAATTCTTTATCAAGAGACATGATCTACAACAGAATCTATGTCCCTTCTGGATACATGACAGTCAGACAATCTGTCCTTGGCTTGTATTCGAGGAGAGGTATTGTGGGAAGGAAAGTACCCACCACTACTACCAGTGGTGCTAAAGTTAGACATAGTGCAGAAGTAGCTAAATATATCGCCTTCCCAGATAGTACTTATTTTATGAGCATCAGAGATGAAATTTGAGTGCAAAGTTACAGCCACAAGACTCAGCTGGAAATGAAGATATATACTATAGCTCAGGTCTGAGTAAAAAAATGTGTTATGATGTACTCTTCATAAAATAACATTTTAAAAACTTGAATAATGGAAGAATACATTTTGGGCTCTTGAAATTGTTTGATTTTCATTCTTGTTAAAGAAAAATTATTTGCTCCCTTAAAGTCAAAAGAACAATATTAGGAAAACAAATCATATGATTTTCAAGTATTTTCTGTCACATTCAAAAGTAATAATTGTGCCTGTTGGTGTACCCATTTACTCAAAAATAAATTGTATTGTATTGAGTTCAGTGGAACTTTTTAATAAATGTGCTCAAAATTGCGATAGACATGGCTATTTTTGCAATTACTAGCTAAATCTTGCAAAAATTGATTGAAACATAATAGAACAATTTTCTGAGCAAGTTTTCAAAACATCTAAGAGCACAATCCAATGCCCATGACCTCAATACACATAAGCATCCAAATTCCGGGATTTACATGCATCCACTGGAGTGATATAAGGTAGCAAGGGTCTTCACTTCCATTCTCCCTCACACTCTGCATTTTATCTAGATGGTCATTTCCAGCTGTCTACACAAACCAGCGAGATGGGGAGCAAAGGAGGCTGGGGTGCCATTTGGATATGGCATAAGTCATCAGCCCCAACATCCTCCCTTCCCCACCCCCACCCCAATATACTCTTTTACCTCTTTCCAAGCCTAATTTCTGACCTCAGAGAGGCAGCTGATATGGTTCTTTCCAAGGTGGTGGGGAGGAGCAGAGACACAGCTTTGGAGACCCAGCTCCAAGGTTGCAAGACCTCAGAGCTGTGATTCTAAATAATCTTATGACCACTGCCCCACCCCAATGATATTGGGAGGCCACAGAATTGAACTGTAAATATTTAATTACTTGTGTTCATTTTCACTCTTAATGTTAAATTTTCAAGCAAAGGCTGATACTTAAGTGACAGCAGAGAAAAAACTAACCTGTTTGTATGAATAAAATAATTAGATAGAAACAAATACATAAATCATACCAACCATCATATTATGGAAATGCTCAAGAAGGTGAAAGTTTGTAAAGTTTACATTGTGGATACTTGTGCTAAGACCTGAGCTTTAAAGCTAAAAAAAATTGCTGTATTCCACAGATTAATAGCTATTGCTGCTATCAATGCTGTGTTTTAAAACTCACAAGGAATTTGACTGCCTGTAATTACAGATTGCTCTAAAACTCATGCAAACGCAGATTCTAGACTCTATCATATTGGTATCCTGATCAGGGAGAAGACAGAAAACTCTTTCTCATATGTGTATTACTTTCCTATTCTAGGAGGGATAGTAGAGCTGATGCCAAAACACCTTCTCTAAGAAAGAGTGCAGGATGATAAAATTGTGTGGTTTCTGTCAGATCAGGAACTGAAGTTATCTACACATGGGACTTTCTTATTCTAGGAATTTATTTCATTTCACAGAAGACTGACAAAGACTTTGCAAATCTTCACCTGGGAAACCAAAATATCTTGTCAATAGGCTATTGTTTCCTTGCTTGTTAAAGAGGATCCCACAACAGGAGTCAGAGGAAATACTGATAATACTAGCAAGGACTTCACCAAGAACAGAAGATAAATATGTAAAACAAATATAGTTTCAAATTAGTATTAAATTTATTTTTAAAACAAACATTGCATTATTATTCTTTTCATTCTTCATGCATACAATTCCTTTTAATGTTCTTATAAAATATCACTGTGTTTTAGAACAGTTTGTTATCACATCTGATTAATTTCTAAAACCTGTTACCATTTCCATATAGGAAATTGTGACTGCACTCAGTCATTTTTATTTTATTTTTTTGGAGATATGAAAACAACTTTTCCCATCATGCTTTGAACAACGAGTCCTAATTCAGAACAAGTGTCATAACAGAGGTTCAACAGATTGGGGAAGTATTTCCAGTGTAAAAAATATGTTCATTTTTTCTAATTCTAGCAACTTTCTCATACTATTCAACAGAGATACGAAACTGACTATAACCAGAAACTAGTAAGCAATTCATAATCCAGTCAAATTCAACTATAATAAACACTGCACTGTTCTTTTAAAAATGTTGTGATCATATGCAGCTATGCATTTGCCTTTGCATCTAATTAAAATAAGTATAATATCTTTTTCAAATAGTTCCAAAAGTGCTTTAGGCACTCAAAGCAGTGGAACTCCTATTAGTCATTATCCAGTGGTAGTTTCCAGTACTCACACTGAACAAACATCTATTGTAGCAGTGCTAGCCACCCTTCTCAAACCATTTCAGGTTTTCCAAGATACGTCTCAAAGCACTATAAAAAGCTACATATCAGATTTTACCAGGACTACAGAAGGACATAAACAGAGAACATGGGCAATGAAAGCTTTACTAAGTTTCCTAAACACTATAATCTATTGGCAGCCTCAATGTGCACTTTCATACATGACACATGTATGTCTATTTAGCCTTATAAATATATCATGAAAGTTTGAACTGATGGCAAATTCCCACCTTGTATGAAATGGAGTGAAAGCATAAACATAAGTTATAATGTTCTATATAGACATGATATTCATCATGTTAAATTGCACCTATGAAGTGAACAAAATCTGCACTCTTACCTCAATAACCTCTGGCATCTGTTGAATTTGCCCTCGGACTGGATCTTTGGTAACTACGATGGAGGGAGTAGCCAAAGTTTCCTGAAGAATGTGCATCACTTCCTTCTCCTTTGATAAGCTTCCTTTGCCCATTCGGAATTCTACTAGTTCCTGAGCAAAATCTTCAATACTCTCCAGGATACGCAATAAAAGGGTTTTGTCTTCTTCCTCTATTTTATGACCGTTGGATTCTATGAGTTTTGATAAAGAAGAGGAAGCACTTTTGTCTGCAGATGAACATGATTTATTGTCAGGAGTTCGAGATAGACTAATATCCTTCAAACATGCAGAATCACTCTGCTTAGGAGAAGTCTCTCTGAGAGTAGTCTCCATTTTTTGTGAAAAATGCTCCAAATCCAATAGAAGTTTGTCTATCTCTTCTTGATTGTTATTTCTGGCTTCTCCCTTAGAAACAGGCATAGTACCATCAAAGCTTTTACTGATGGAGGTTGCTGGAGTGAAGGTCTGGGCCAGTGTTACAGGCTGTACTACAATAGGTGATGCTTTAGGAGGATCTACAGCAGGATCTGCCTTTTTTGCTCTCTGCTGGCTGCTTTCTGAATTCTCCCATATTCCTCTGCTTTTGGTACTCAATGCAGAGCCTAATACTTTATCTGATTCTTCTACAATGTACAGAGTTTCTGTGGGAGAAATACAGTCTGATGGGTTTAAAGATGGTAACTGAGGTAGTCCACAGGCTTCATTTCTAAATCCTAAATTGTCCTGCTGGTTGTTGACATGCAAAGCATTTGAAGAAATATCTACAGTTGGGATTTGGGTTGAATTTGCTGAGGTATTCGTATCAGTGCTATTTTGGCTACCCTGTAAGTCCATAGTAAAAGGCTGCCTTGTCAAAGAGGATGAGGAGGATACAACATCCTCGTATCTAGGTGGCTGTTCATTGCGAAATATTGGGGAGAAATGAGACTGTTGTAAAGTAGACAAACTGTTAATCATTTCTACCATGTCACCAGGTTCAGTGATCCCAGGCTGCCTAAATTCAAATGGCAGCTTTTTAAGGTAAGAAGAAAATCTTGTCATTAAATTCATATAGATCATTTCAGAGTTGGCCAATGGATCATTACCAGTTCCTTCACTGACACTACCTGAAGATTTTTTCTTGATGCACTGCTTTATTATATCAGTACACTTCTTCAAGTCCTCTGAGCACTTTAACAAGATGTCCAAGCACATCTTAATATCTCCACTGGAAGAACCATCCAGCTTGTGCTTTTCCAAAATCTGTGTGATAAAACTATCTTCAAAGAAAGTCTGCATAGGTGAGGGAATGGTAGAATTTACATTTCCCTCTACTGAGGTACTGCTGATCTGCCATTTCTCTTCAGGTGATGACTGATGTGACAGGCCAAAAGAAGGGGGTGAATTTTCATCATTGCTAAAATGTCCATAGATCAAGTCAAAGTCTAGTGACCTTCTGCTGAATGAGTCTGACTTAACTTTTCTTCCCTTTCTATAGTTGAACTGACTCGAAGAGTTTCTGAGTTTTTCAAATGAAAATTCCTTTATTTTTCCACTAGCAAGATTTATGGCTTCTCCAGTGATATCTTTCAGACTTCCAGTGCTTTGAATGGAAGATCCCTTTTTGAGTCTTGGATTACTAGGAAGGATTTGATGATAATCTTCATCCCCAGACAAAGCAAGAGAATTTTCAGGGACTGAGAAATTATGGGTCAGGTCTGAACTTCTAAGATTCCGTGTAGGGAATTTAATTAGTTCTGCACAGACACTGTGGTGGGCCACTATGCATGTAACTCCTTGCTTGAATACCTGACATGCTCCAGTGCAATAATGCACAGCATGCTGAAGTCTACGATCTATCACAACGCTGCTGTAACAATTCACTGTTGTTACTACACGCCTATACGTTGCTGCCATAATGTGAATTTTAACAGACTACACTATGAACTGAACTAAGACAGTGATTCACATCATCACTCTGCAAATCACATACATGTTCCTGGGTGATTCTGCTAAGAAAATATTACAACATAGTAAAAACAAGATTCTAGGATATGTATCTATGAAAAAGTTAACATGACCAGTGTAATGAGGATTTAGGGTACACTGGTTACATTTTATTTATTCATTAAAATATTGAAAACTTGTATCCCACACCAAGAGTCCCATAATGATGAAAGATTGTCTCCTTCTGTCAGTGTGTATGAATATAAGACATAGAATTGTAGAACTTTATTCCACTTGAAGAAAAATGAAACAGTTTTCTCTTGAGTACTTTGTCCAGATGTGCTGCTCTGAGGATCAGATAGCATGGAGAAGGAAAAGGTACGTAGAATGCTTGGTTGATCCAATTCTTCCATTGATGTGGAAGATACCTGCAATTATATTTACTCTTAGTAAGTACAACTTCAATTCAAACTGCAGCTATTTTACACAGATTTATGCTCAGTGCAAGCCTATGCAAGTATAACAATAAATAATCTATATAGTCTGTATTCTGACAATGGTACAGTCCCACATACTACAGTCCCAAATATACTGTTAAATCAGAAATCTTGATTTGTGACTTGTCTTACACCTTTCTATTTTGTCTCTATTTTGTAATTAGACTTTTCTTGGATGGTTCTTGGTAAGAACCTGCATACATGGATACTAAAGTTAGAATACGGACTAACACGGTATCAGTAGTGCTTTTGTAAAGATACTGCAACCAAAGTCCAAGGAAGAAGTGCTGGCAATTCATTTTAAATGGGAATACAATTTCAATAAGAAGATAAAATATGGCTTATCTGCTTTGCACACAAACTGCAATTTTGCCAGAATATTCAAGAAATATTGAAGCAATTTTCCAACCGTGGAGCTGCAAATCTGAAAAAAATCATATGGCCATCTAAGTGCTGTCTAGAGGCCATAGGATTACTTTGTCCTAGCACAGCCTTAGGCTTCTTTACTCATAAGTCATTCTCACTAAGTCCAGTAGAGTTTACTTTCAGGAAAGTGGGTATAAGATTGCAGTCAAAGGTTTCCTGATTTAGGTCAGAAAACCTTGTTTTATAACAGGAAAATTTGTAAACAAAAATACCGTCTTGTTTTCATGAGCAACATTGTGCAGCAGTGACTCATGAAACTCCCCTAAATATATCATTTTCGCTCCTTCAGGGGGTTCTTTTTTTCTCTTCTGACTCCTTTTATTCTTCTAACAGGGGGCAAAGTACACTCGCATTTAGGTGCATACTGGAACCATTGTGCCTTGGCTATTTTTGAGGTTCAGATAGTATGACATTGCATTTATTAAAGCTTTCCCATAACTCCTTTTGTGCAGATAGTGGGTGAATTGACATATTGTTGATGCACACAATAAAGACCTAAAATCACTCCTTAAGATTTGTCTCAAATTCATGAATTATTTTTTAACACAGTTATCTAATTTAAACTAATACATTCTTAAAAATAGATATTTCTATCTTGCACAATTATGAGTAGAAATAAAAGATTACTGAGAAGAAGCTTCTTTTATTTCTTTAGCCTGTAACTGTTTTCCAGTTGAGCTTCTGGTAGCATGAACAATTTATATGGACTTACTGTCACGCAGCAAATTCCAACCCTGAGGGCAGTAAAATTATTTCAGAGTACTGTAAATGAATAGAATTCTTTTGTATGACTACTTCAGATTTTTCTATTTGCCAGAACATTAATTAATTCTGAAGAAAGAAAGTAACTTCAAAAATTATGTGAAAGGCTCTCTACAACCTAATGAGCTAGTTGCACTAAATATTGTACTACAGAGTTAAGTAATTGAAAAGTTGCTGGTTCTAACTTTTTCAGTTTGCTTTCCTCTAAGGGCAGAATCCAAAGGGGCACTTCTGTCCCCACCAATCCTCTTATCAGTTCCATTACACAAACATGGAGGACTGTACCATCTCACAAGTGAGATTTCATGTTTTTGTTTCTGGAAGAAGGCAGGTTGTCAGAACTTTCATGAGGAAATTTTGTTTGACCTGACTCTTTTCAGAAATGAGCATTCCTACTCATTTTGGGGCCTCTTCTGGGAAGCACAATATCTTCCTTGCATAAATGGTTAGATCTCACTTGTGCAATGTAACCAGCAGGGGTCAGTTCTTGTGGAAGGAAACTACCAGGGTAGAAGGGGAAAGGTAGTGGTTTAAGTGTCTGTTGGATGTGTACATGTGTACCCCATGTGCACTAAATTGAAAATGGCAGACCTCACTTGTCATTTAAGGATTTCTGTTCTCCAAACCTTTGTTTTATACCTTCGAACTTACAACTGCAAAAAATTACAGACTGAGCTAATACCATGCTCTCTATCACCATCATTCTTTTAATCTCTCCCACCTTTTCCTGTTTAACACCTAGCATGAAAAAAATCTGCAAAACTTGAAAGCTTGCTTATGGTTTTATAATTTTTGGCTAGTTCTAAATCAAAGATAGCATGCTACTATTTATATTTTACTTCTTTCTAATGCACTATAAGTCAGAGACAACCTGACAGCATGTAACAACAAATAGACCAAGGTGGCTGCCTGCAATAATGTGAGGAGTCATAGCTCAGAGTACACGTTTTACATGCAGAAGGTTCAATCTCTAGCTTCTAAAGATAGGGCTAGGAAAGAAGTTTGCTGAAACCCAGGAAAGTTGCTGCTACCAAGTATCTACACTACAGTGGTACCTCGGCTCACGAACACCTTGGTTCACAATCAAATCGGGTCACGAACAAAAATTTGATGAAAATTTTGACGTGGGTCGTGAACTCCACATTGGGTGGCGACCAAGATCGCAGCCATCTCTCCCACACCCCCAAGTGGAGAGATGGCCATATTCGCAGTTGCCTTCATGCAGGGAAGATGTGTGTGGTCACGTCTTCCCTGCAGGAAAGCATGATAGCGGCCATCTTCCACCCCCCCCGAGGGGGGAGATGGCCGTGATCGTGCTGGGGGAGGGGGGGAGATGGCCAAGATCACGCCCGTCTCTCCCTCCCCCAGTGTGCCCCATTCGCACCCACCTCCCATCTCTCCCTCCCCCAGCACGCCGTTTGCACCTGTCTCTCCCTGCCGCAGCACACCCCATTCGTGCCCGTCTCCCCCCCACACTGTGCGCCAGGATGACAGACGTGTGCAGGGATGATGGGCGCGTGCAGGGATGACAGACACAATCTCAGTCGTGCTGTGGGGGGGAGATGGCATGCTTGTGCTCTGGGTGGGGAGGGGGAGATGGCCATGATCTTTGTTATGTCACTTTACTTCACATTTTTCTGATTTAAAAAAATGGTTACAGAACAGATTAACCTTATTTACATTGAACCTCATGGGGAAATTTAACTTGGCTCACAACCAATTTGGATCATGACCTGAATCCTGGAATGGATTAAGTTCGTGAGCCAAGGTAGCACTGAACTGGGTTAGATGGACTAATGGAAGTGTCTATATTGCCTTATTCAATATAAGGCAACTTCCAGTGTTCCAAATTATCCTCAGACTGTTTCTTCAGTGGGCAGGAATGTCTGGATTGGTTGTTTAGAAGCAAACAAGACAAAAGTGAGACTGTCATACTTTGGACACATTATGAGGAGGCAAGACCCACTAAAGAAGACAATCATGCCAGGGACAATCAAAGACATAAGAAGGAAAGGAAGATCAAATAAGAGATGGATCTACTCCATAAAAGAAGCCGCAACCTTGAATTTAGAACAGCTAGGCAAGGATATCATGGATAGGACAAAATAAAGGGCTTTCATTCACTGGGTCAGCATAAGTCAGAGATGACTTGATGGCTCATAACCACAACAATGGTTTTCCTTCACTCATAATTTATAGTGTGATCCACTGTGATTTCCCATAATCCTATGAACTCAGGTTTGTAGGTATCCAATGGAGGGTGAAAGTAGCACAGAGACAAGATCTGCCTCACTACCTTGAGTGTGGGTGCTTCCCACCACCGAAACCACTGATGTGGCTGATTTAGGCTGTGTAGATGGGGACTGCAGCCAAGAAATTAAAAGATGCTTGCTCCTTGGAAGGAAAGCTATTGCAAATCTAGACAGCATACTAAAAAGCAGAGACATCACCCTGCCGACAAAACGGTGTATAGTCAAGGCTATGATTTTCCCAGTTGCAATGTATGGCTGTGAAAGCTGGACCATAAGGAAGGCTGAGCGCCGAAGAATTGAGGCTTTTGAATTGTGGTGTTGGAGGAGACTCCTGCGAGTCCCTTGGACTGCAAGACAATCAAATCAGTCAGTCCTAGAGGAGATCAACCCTGACTGCTCTTTAGAACCCCAGATACTGAAGATGAAACTCAAATACTTTGGCCATCTAATGAGAAGGAAGGACTCCCTGGAGAAGAGCCTAATGCTGGGAACAATTGACGGCAAAAGAAGAGGACAGCAGAAAATGAGGTGGCTAGATGGAGTCACTGAAGCAGTCAGCATGAGCTTAAGTGGACTCCAGGGGATGGTGAAGGACAGGAAGGCCTGGAGGAATGTTGTCCATGGGGTTGCGATGGGTCGGACATGACTTTGCAACTAACAACAAGGGAGCTGAGGTTCCTCCTTTGCGCATTCAAAGCCACATATCTTTTCCTTGCAGAGCATTCTTTATTGAACAAAAAGCATAAAACATCCAGAATGAATCTCTGAGCATGCACAGAGTAGATTGAACTCAATCTAGTATTCACCTCCACAATCTCTCTTTATGAGCATGCCTGGACCCCATCCCTTTGGGAGGGGCCTTCTGAAAATGAGCATGCCTCCTTGCTGCGTGCCGATCCTCTAATTGGGCCATCCTCCTCTGCTGATGATGCATCATGTTGTCAAGAATCATGTCCGTCTTATCTGAGTCTGAGAAACACTCCTGCTCCAAGTTCTTTCCTGTCAAATGTGCATTTAGGTTATTCCCAGAGACTGCCTGTTCACCTGGGGAGTCTGACCTTGAGATAAGCATCTCCACTTCTCTCATCTCAGTGTCTTGGTATGGCCCACATTCCCATCCCCCCTGTTCTCTTCTCTCTTCTCCTTGTGAAGAGGGGAGCTAGAGGTGCCAGCAGGATTCCTTGCAGGACAGTGATGCTTTGCTTTTCCCATCCACACTCCCTAGAATGCCCCGCCCCGCACTAGCTCCTAAGCCAGTGTGAAAAGAACCACACCAGCCTCAAGGAAAGAAAATGTGTACATTTCAAATATGTGCGTAACTGATGCATACGTGTAGAAATATTCGAAAATACATTCACATTTTCATGCAAAAAATAAAAAATAAGCTCACAACCTGATACAGACTTCAGTCAGAATAAGCACCAAGATGGAATTTGGAGGATTTCAGTAAGCTCTTGCGTGTTGATTCACACATCCCTACTTATAGCCCACCTTTCTTCCTTCAGAGAGCCCAAAATGGCATACATGGGGTCCCATGGTCTCTCATTCAGTCACTGACCAAACCCAGACTTACACAGCTTCACCAAGGGTTTGAGGTTTGGGTAACCTCCAAGCACTTTAAAGTATTGTAATCCTCTTGATTCCCCTTTCAATTTCCTTTTTCCCGAGTTCCCTCATTTTAGAAATTTCTTCTTGAAGTCAAATATGATTGTTCTAAAATTTCTTGGCAATTTTGCACTGAAGTACGTATTAATCTGATAGTACTTTTATCACTGTTTCAAATTGGTTCAACAAAATTTCATCTTGTGCTAGGTCCTGAGTGGCATCACTTAGGATTAAATCTAGTGTTCCCTCCTCTCTAGTCAGTTCCTTGACCAATTGTTCTTGGGTAATCATGTAGGGCATCAAGAATTTTAACCTCTTTATACTGACCAGAATATCCATTTATCCAGTCAGTATGGTGGTAACTGCAGTCATCCATCATTACAGCACTTCGTTTTATTGGATCCTTGATTTTGTTTTTCAGCTCACAATCACTCTGAGTATGCCCATATTCAATGTGATTGCTTTGGCTACATAGATTGACTAGGTTTTCACAATACAAGAATCCATCATGCGCATCTCTGGCCATGATGAGTTGTTGTATTATATGAACATGGAGTGGTTTCCACAGGGAGGCTTAATTTTCACGAATAAACAACCCTGACAACCCATGGCTTGTTCTAGGGGTTATCTACACATGATGGCTTTCATGTCTGAACTGAGGACAACAATATTATTGTAGGTTGTAAGGACTGCTACAGAACAGCTCAGTAAGAGCAGCAAAAACTATTCTTTATAATTTCACCCATCCATAAAATGCCCCTTCCATTTTCCCTCACTACATCCATGAATGGCCATATGTCACTTTGGAGGGACTGTCACTTGTTTGCCACCTAGGAATCCAAAGATCAGGCTGGAATCAGGTGAACTCTCTTGTGCTCACCAGACTTCTTTCCCATGCTCAGCCCTAGCCAGGAAGTGAGCTAAGCTAAGATCAAGAGTGCAAAAACTCAGAAGTACTAACAGCTTCTTTGTGCAAATCATGCAAAGTACATAATTCTTTGAACAAAGTATGCAAATTATATAATTCTTTGCACAAAGTACACAACCCCCACAAGTTGCATGTGTGAAAGCAGAAATCCACTTGAACCCATTACCAGATGTCCACATGAACACATGGCATAAGGCAGACTTAAGGCAGAGAGAAAGCAGGTCAGAGTCCACAGAGTTGAGCTGAGGAATTCCAATCGATCCCCACTCCCATACCAGAGTCCTTACACATCCCTAATGCCACCTCTCTTTTTTCTCAGGGTTTAGTGAGTATATAAATAGGGCTGTAGTGTTATTTTCCCATTCTTCCCTGTTTCCTGTTACACAAACCTGCACTCTTCCTGACAAACAGAGAAGTTATTGCTGCAGTAACAGCTGTAACTGTTCCAAGTTGCTATAGAAAAGCAGGCAAAGCTACTCTCTCCCCTTTTTGGACTTGCTGAGACTCGGGGAAATGCTGAATGGGACAAGGATACTGACAAGTTTCAATGCAGCATTTAAAAATGAGAGGATTACTTTGCCAAGTGGGAGATACTGACTAGGTGTGCATGACACAACCTCTATAGCAGCATGAATGCAAAGATGATGATGATGATGATGATGATGATGATGATGATGATTATAACATTTCTATGCCGCCCCTTGCCGAAACCTCGGGGCGGCTTACAACATGAATAGATGCTCCCTAGCAGTGGCCATGGCAGGGCTTTTTATCCTCCAGAAAGATGTGTGGGTTGCAGATGTGGCTATGGTAAAACTATGGTTTCCCCAAAGCAATTCTGGAGGTACCTTCCAGTCCCTTGGTGCTTTGCTGCATACAAGCTATGGCACACAGATATGCAGATATGATTTCTGCAATATTAGGGAAAAGGAAGTACCAGGTCTAGTGTAAGACAGAGGTATCCAGTGGTTGGATCATGCTAGCATGGGTAATAATGCTCTAGTGGGGGTTGAGGCAATCAGAATCTGGGTACAGCTTTTGGCCAACAGATCTTACACACCAGAAGAAAGGTTCATAGGTATTTTTGAAGTATAAGAAACTGTGATTTCTATCTGAATAAATCTGCTCCATAATCTGAGTCCTTCTGATGCTATAGAAATAAAGATGTGTTTCCTGTGAGGTTTGCTGTGGGATTGGGAGGATGTGTACATGTGCACATATTGGTTTTCCATGGGGATGTATAGGCCATGGAGGTGAGAAATGATGCTGACTGAAAGGGATACAAGGAGGCATGAGTGGGAGCAAAGCCAGAATGCTGGAATGTGGGCTGATGGATACTAAAGGAGGGGGTCACTGGAGAACTTCAAAGCAGGAACTGCCATGGAGGAGGGAAGAAGATTCTCATATCAACAAGGCAAGGCAGACATGAGGGAGGGAGAATGGGCAGTCAGGGTATGTTTGGTGCCAGAAACAGAGCCAGGAGAAGGGGAGGGGAGCATGACAGAAAGGTGCTACAGCAAGACATGGAGAAGTTGACGGTAGCTGGGTAGGCTGACAGCAAGATAAACCTCCATGCTTGATTGTGAAGGGGGCAAAGGAAGACACTTCACTGGGTGGTGGTGCAGGGAATAAGAATGGAGAGGGTTACAGGCATGGTAGGGAAAACAGAGGGCAAAGTCTGCCCGCACACATTCTCTCTGTGGGAATGAATACATGGTGGAGCAGGAGGCAGCATATATATGCAAAAACAAACAAAGAAACAAACAAAGCAGAGACCATTTGATCCACTGTTGGATAGACAGTAAAAAATCCCACATACTGTTTCCTCCCCACCTCTTTTGGTGCAAATACTTCTCTCATTTCAGAGCTCTTGTTTACAACTGAAACACACACAGAAATTGACAGAGCAGGACTATACATGTTGGATAGGTGAAAGTATGTTCTTGCACACTTGTGAAAGAATGGCCATAAAAAAAACCTCACCTTATTAACATTCTCAGAAAGCCCCACCCATATTAAGGGTGGAAAAAATAGTGATTAGAGGTAGGCCTAGGATGAGGAGACAAGATGGGTTCTGCAGCAAAGGACACTTGCATACATGCTGGAAGACTGAGAGGGAGGAGGGGAAGAACAAGCCACAGTAAGCCCAAATGTTCTTCTAACAACTCACACTGAATAACTTATCTGCAGGGTGAACACATCCACTGCATCAGCCTTGTAAATAAGAAAAGCAAAAAGTTACCAACTTATATAATTTTTCCATGCTTGGGAAGAGACAAAAGCTCCCACCTCTGCAGCTAGCATGAAAATGCATGATACTGAACAAGTTACTTTAAAAAAATGGCAGGAGAAGAGACCTTCTACCTGATAGACTGGTGGAGGAAGTATGGAGTTGGGGGATGAAGTTCCTCAGCCAGAACAGAAACTAAGCAGACTGGTGGAGGAGACATGGAGAGAATGTTCCTCCTTCTCAGACCTACTCACTACTCTGCATAGAATTCTATGCACAAACCTCTGTATAATTGTTGGTTGCCTATGACTTTCAGGCTAGTCGGGATTATATATACAGTATATCACTCCACCCAGATGACCCTTATTTTGTTTTCTGTAGGCGGGCTCAAGTATGCAAGCTATTTACGGGCAGAAAATAATAACAAGAAGCACAGATGAAAATGCTATCCAAGTGCAGAAATGGAAATATTTATGTGATCTTCAGGCTGAGGCATCAAATTTGCTTGGTAGTGTTGACTCTTTAATTTTAGACATTCTGGTAAAGTAACTTGAAAATAGAAAAATAAAAACGAGATCACATTTGTATAAGCAATGATAGTTCGATGCAAATTTACAATCTGAAAATTCTTTAAAAATACTTAGTTCTATCCTTTGTTGTATGACTCTAGGCAGGAATGCATACACACCTTTTGTGACATATGAATTCCCTTCTCCTTGGAGAGACAGTTTTTTCCCCCTGGCAACTAAACAATGCAGACAGAAAGTTAATCAAAGATAAACAGTCTTTTGGACATCTTTGCCACCATTAAACATCTTCTCATCAAGGAACCCCCAGGTAAGCTTCCAAGGAATCCCAGAATTATAGAATGTCATTTAAAAATCACTGTGCTATGTGAATACTGGGACCCTGGCTTGCTTCCTAGCTGTGACACAACTCCTAATTTCCCAAGCTTGACTCAAGCATGTCTTTCCAGCCTCAGAACAAATAACCTATTCTTCCTGACTTGAACCCAAATAGCATTACTGCCTTACTACACCCTTTGTCCAATCTGCTCCATATCTTCCTATTTCTGTAACATAGGAAGCACAAGTTCTAAGCACAACAACAAAATTCAACACAAAATCTAAATGAGCTCCTGAGTCAACATGAATCCATTAGCTACAATTGAATAAGGCATAAATCTAAAAAGGTATGTAAGTTTGCAAGAAGACAAGTATTACAATTTACTAGGCTAAGGGAGTTGAATCAAAGTAACTTGGATAGCTTTAATTCTGTCTCCATTCTTTGTTCCATGCTATATTTTGTTAATGTTAAATGAAACAAAAAGTTAATGTTACATTTTATTATATTTTGCATTCAGTTAAAAAGCAGCACTATGAGATGAAAATGTATCAGAGGAAGCACCTTGCTTACTGGGTTCAAATATCCAGGAGGGTTTTTGGACCTTAGTAAAGGACTGTCACGGCAAGATGAAAGAAAAATAAACAGTTGCTTGAGTAACACCAGAGTATTTATAAAAGGGGAAAAACCCCCATGAACTTGATGTTCTACCGATTAAACAAAGTATTGACCAACAGGTTCCTTCAAACTATATAATTCCACCATGCTGTTGGTCATTACAGTTCATGGGAGAAACATAAAGGACATACCATTCCTTCTTCATCTGAATTATAACAGAATATATGGGAAATAATTCAAACTGATTTCCTGTCTCACACAAAATTTTACAACTGTTGAAAAGTATACCACTCACTGGCACTACATGCTCTCCAGTCAGGGTAATTATGCAGAGGTCTATGGCTAAGAACGTTTCTCCTTGCATACAGTTCTATAATCCTTTGTGCACCCATGAGGGTATGCTACAAATATAATAAATAATTGGTAAATCAATTTAAGCAACTGCATTTAAATTAGGTTAATCTTATTAAATTAGGTTCTCTATTAAGTTCCCTGTAACTTTCCCTCAAGATACAAAATACCTATTATATACTTGCCCAGAATATTTGCATTTCTGTAACACTACCATTCTCTTTTCACTAGAATCTAAGATTAGATTTTAATACCATATTATGGTTCTTATTTAGGGAAAAATTACTAAAGTTCCCATTTTCTGCAGAACTGCATTTTCTGCAGAACTGCATTTTCTGCAGAACTGAACAGTTTTACCCTATATAGCAATTTTATTAAGCTTCCAGGCTGCTTGTTTTATGGCAAGGAATCCCAGTCTTATTTCAGTCTACTTCCAAAGTTGAAAACTGCACAAAATAAAACACTGAAAGGTAGAAGTACTGTGGTAAGCAATGAGGTATGCTTATCTACTAATAATCTCTGACTCAAAACATTTAAACAGGAGGTCATTTCTTCCATAAGACATTTTCACTTTACAACTATTTTGTCAAAAGCCATTACCACAAAAAATACTGTTACGGACTGCAAAGTAGATCTTAAAATGAAAACTTTGTTGTTTACTTATAGTTTAAAATGAAATGAGTGGCATCTTAATACTTTCCACTGCTGGAACACACTGTAAACATGTGCTACTGCTAAATCTCCTTGAGTTCTCACACAAGAATGACAGATGCAAAGTAGATCTTAAAATGAAAACTTTGTTGTTTACTTATAGTTTAAAATGAAATGAGTGGCATCTTAATACTTTCCACTGCTGGAACACACTGTAAACATGTGCTACTGCTAAATCTCCTTGAGTTCTCACACAAGAATGACAGATTCTTCCTTCCTTCCTTCCTTCCTTCCTTCCTTCCTTCCTTCCTTTTACTATCACTAAAATCACTCATCATCATCATGAGCAATCTTTCTTTACCATTCTTATTTTCACTCCCAAGGTAGTTTACCAAAGAATATACTGATTCAAAGACTAGCCATAGCTGGGGGGAAATCAAAGTAAAAATACAAATTCTTAGTAAATAGTTAACGTATGCCAGTATTGAGGCTGCATGTGTTCCCCTGAAGATCTCAATGATCTGGGAGGTTAGAATAGGATATTTATTTATTCATTAAAATATCTAAGATGGCTCATTTTAAATTAGTGATTGCAAAATATGATTTTATTAAATTCTTTCACAAGAACCTGGGCAGGTAGGACTTTAATAATCCCATTTTGCAGATGAGGAGTAAAACCTGAACAACAGTTCTCCTTAAGTTTTTAAATGAGTCCATGTAAGAGGAACAACTTGAGTCAATTTGTCTCCTACATGCAGATCCAGCTCTCTAATCTAATTCCCTGTATATGTTTTATTCTGGAACAGCCTATATTTGATAGTGGTCAGTGGAGTTTGTAGTTCTCCCACTGTCATGGGAGAACTACACTCCCATAATACTAAACTATGTATTATGAAGCAATTTTGGGAAAGTATGCTTAATACTATAACCTTTATTTGGAAGGAAAAGCATCCAATCAGCAACCATTGCTGGCAAGAAGAATCAGTCATTTATAAACAGTAAGTTTTCCTTCCTTCAGTTGTCCTATATCAGAGACTGGAAAGCTATCTTCCAAAACCAAGTTAGTCCCCTAGAACACTGAGCTCTGCTGCCTGTTGGGGAAGTATGCAAGCAAAAATGAGCAGCTGTTCCTGCTTTCCAGCAGGTGCTGCCCTCTCTGCCTGCTCACTTGCCTTCTGTCACAGGGCAGCATAGTGTAGAAGGTTTCTCATGGAGAAGCAGCTATTTCCTTCTCTTAATTACTTGCTTGCATTCATTTTTTCTCCATAGATGGTACAGCAGTGGGGATTAGGCCCCAGATGACCAGTCCTTCCCACCATGTTGCCCTGTAACCAAGTGTACAAAAGGGTGCAAAGTACAGGCACCAAGAATGGTGAGATATAAGTTCTGAAGGAACAAAATGTTAATTCACTATATGCATTGCATTTCATGTTATATTTTGTATTTCTGCATGGTCATGTTGCATATTAGTTTTCTGGAATGTCTTCCCTGGCTTTGCCCTGCAAGAGAAGTCATGTGAACAAGTATGATTATGAAGTGCCTGTTTCTCCCAGGTATAGTCACTGCAGCCTTTTGCTTGCTTTCTCCTTCTGAACAACAATGCTGGGCCTAATCATTCCTTCTGCACCACTCAGAATGGGTAAACAAACAGAGTATTCTAGAGGGAAAGCACAGGTGAGGTATCAGAGGCATTGGCAATCTGAGTGATCTTGTGGAGACAGTGGCTGCTTTTGCAAAAAAAAAAAAAAAAAACCCACTTCCATACTCCCTCTCATTCAAAGCATATGAAAAGCCATGCAGGATCAGACCAAAGGTCCATCTAGCCCAGCATCCTGTTCACACAGGGACCAACATGCTACCTATGGGTAACCCACAAGTAGGACATGGGTATAGCAGAACCTTCCCATCTACTGGGCACCACAATGGGGTCCACTGCTACACCTTCCAGGAGAATTTAGGTGAATAATTGAGAGGATGTGATAATTGCTCCTTTTGTTGAGTAATCCAATGCAGCACCACCCAGGGAGAGAGAGTGTGCATCTTCTTGCACTTTACCTCTAGGAAGCACGACAGGCCCAGTCCTGCTCACCAGACTGCCCAGTGAATGAAAGAGTAATTTTTCTCCTTGTAGAAGAGAAATTGTCATGCAATTGCTCAGCCTTTCTTTCTCTCAGAAAGGGGATTGGTTATTGCTGTTTCTGATAGCTCACCTGCCTACTCCCTCCACAATGCCATGACCTTTACACCAGGAATAGTCGTGTAGTTCTCAAGATCTGTGGCACTTCAGCTCTCCTAAGCTCCTACCAGCATTGTCAATAGCAATGCTGATGGCTTAAGTCCCACACAGTTGGTGATCTACCTTGTCCCTGTCGCTATATAGCACCTGGCTCGTTTTTGCCTCATTCTAATGGCACTTCAGGCCTGGAAAACAAGAGAAGCCTGCTTACTGAGAAGCAGCCAGTCAGTCAACTCGGTGTTCCACACGAAGGTCCGTATCGTTTATTCAAACCACAAGTCAGGAGGAACTGTTATAGGTTCATTAATTCTGTGGCATGGAAAGATTTGTGCTGCAAGTGACTCAGAGGATAATGTCCTAATTCAAGAGGGTGGCACACGCTTCTGCCCAATCTCCCGAGGGGTAGCGGCGAGCATTTGACTGTATCTTAAGTACGGCAACTGCACAGTCTGTAACGTTGCGTGGAAGTGAGGTGAAATTGCGGGCGACGGTCATCTTGCACTCAGAAATAAATAGACTGAGGGGTAAATCGACCCCCCCTCCGGCCGCCGCTGCCGCCGCCTTGCGAGTTAAAAGCAGCTCTGGTGTCCCTCCTGCGTCTCGGCTGTCACCCGTTCCCCCTACGGACATGGGCGCCTCAGCTGTCCCCAGCGGCTCCTAACTGCCACTAAAGGCGTTAGAAATTCTTGAGGTGACTCTTATTTCGTCCCCGACCGCTCCCTCTTTCCCCGCTCAGCTCTCTCCGCCCCCTGCCGCATCTAAAGCGCAACACGGTTTCCAGACTGATCGCGGCTGCCTTTTGTGCCTCACTTTCTTATGCGATTAGTTGCGCGCGATAAGCAGGGGCCGTCAGTGTCTGGGGCGGCCGGGACAGTAGCGCAGCACCTACCCGCCGCCGAGGTGACTCCCGTTCCCATCCTGGGGCTCTCTTCGCACTCGACCCTCCTCCTCCTCCTTCCTCCACCCTCTAGCGGAGAGAGGTTGTGCCTCTTTTCCTGTCCCTTCCGCACAACGAAGGGGGCGCCTACAGCGCGCGTTGAAGTGGGGATGGGGAGGTGAAGAAAGAGAGGCAAAGGCGGCGTCAGTTCCCTGCCAAGGGAGGGCTGGCCCACGGGTATAGCATGATAGAGCTCTGACTGACTCCAAGGCGGGAGCCTTTCATTGCGGGCCACCTCCCGCCTGAAACCCTGTTTCAAATGTTCCGTGGCGGCCGTATTTTTCTCGAGCGCCAGGCGGCGGGACGGACGAGGTTGTAAAGATTCCGCCAAGGGCAACCGAACCTTAGTCTTCTTAGCCTTTCTTGGCTAAGGGAACGACTGCGGGCAACCGCCCTCTGAGGGCCTGGGGGAATTAGGCAGGCAGTTCTTTTGGAGGTCAGGCTCTTAGGTGGGCGTTTAAAACAAAAGGCCAACGCCCTCAATTGCAGAAATGCGGAGTAAGGCTTGAAGCGTGCTCTTTGTTACAGAGGAAAGTTCGAAAAGGATTGCAGTTCTTGAACGTGTCAAGAAACCAGAAAGGAAAGAAAAACAACTCAGTTGTATGATTCACGTTTAAACCGCATGACTGTGGAACATTGAGTCAAAATTATGAAACCCTTAAGTCTGGCATCTCCGAAATGCCCGCTGCTGCTTCCTGTCTTGTTTGACTCCAGGACTCTTCCTATGCAAAATACACTCGCCCCATAATACCTGGTTCATGGTTGCTCTCACTGCACCCATCTTCTGCACTCATCGGTTGAAGCTGGCCCCTATTTCGTTATTTTATTTAGCGGTGCCTACTCGCTGTACATCCTGAAATAAACTTTCAGCTGTACGTCCATGCTATTAGGAGGCAGTTGCGTGTAAAATGCCTTTTAAAAGTTTCAGGCTAGAGTTTGTTTTGTCATACAGTCGCTCAGACTTCAATAATCCCAGTCATTTACCTTGGCATGAGAAAGTGAATTTAAACTCCGGAAAAGCTACGTTTTGGTTCTCAAGACCGCTTGGGACATTGTCCCTATCGGGATCTCCAGCCTCAACAATAACCTGTGGTGTTTACACTTAGTTTCCTTTAAAGTAGGGGATTAAGTTTGTATACTGCCTTTCTGCTAAGGTACTCAATATACTTTACGTTTATTAAAATAATGCACATGCCAAGAAAGGCATACATTCATTTCAAGAAAATATGTTGAACTCTCTTCAAATAAGTTTATTGCAAAAGTGAATATAACTAGACAAGCAAGCACCTGTGTCTATTGTGAGGTTTTTCAAAAATTGCTGTTGATCAGAATCTCCTACCTAATTTTTTTTCTGATGTGTAAAGTACTGTGTATACACTCTCACTTCTCCAAGCATACATATTTGGGGGCAGAAGAAAAGGCAGTTGTTCAATAGGCAACCTTAGAAAGAACAACTGCTACCTCTGAGATTTTTCTTCTTCAGCTGATTCTCAGGTCTCGTTTTTATTACTGTGTCTTCCAGTTCGAACTGACTCCCTTCCTCCTTTTCCTAGTTCCAAGGTGCATTATTTTCTCAAGAGCAAAGGAGGGCCATTTCACCAGCCTTGCTTTAAAGACTTACATTTTCACCTCCTTCCTCGCTTTTTCTTATTCCTTCTGTCTTTCTAATTCTAAGTTTGTGGGCAGGAACTGCTTCATTTGCTGATCATATGTAAGCTGCCTTGTGAGACTTTTTGACTGAGGAACAGACTTAAATGCTTTAAATAAATAAATAAATAAATAAATAAATAAATAAATAAATAAATAAATAAATAAATAAATAAATAAATAAATAAATAAATAAAGGTTGGATTCCAGGCTGTTGGGAACAGCACCCACATTTATTAAGAGATGTTAAGGTTATTCTGTCAAGCCTCAACTTCCATCAGGTAGACCAGGGGTCCTCAAACTTTTTCACCTGGGGGCCAGTTGAAAGGGGCCAGTGCTGGGCAGGGCACGTGGGTGAGGCACGGGTGGGCAGGCACGGGTGAGGGGAGGCGAAGCAAGGAGGATGCAGCAGCAGGCGCGCAATACAGCGACTTGCTCGCTTGGAGATCATTTTCTCCTATTAAGTCCAAAATAATCTTGTGAACAAGCCACTGCCTCCCTGTGTGGGGGGCGAGGCAGGCAGTGGTGGGCGCATGCAGCGTGCGGGTGCATGTGCAGCGCGTTGAAAACCTCTGAGGCGGGCCAGATAAATGGCCGTGGTGGGCCGGATCTGGCCCCCGGGCCATAGTTTGAGGACCCATGAGGTAGACTAATTCAAAGCAATAGAGATGGTGAAACTCATAAACAATACCATGATGGCTGGTTTTTCAGAAAACCTTGTCAGGAGGCTATCCTACCTCTAAGTTAGCTGATTTTTCAGTCCAGAGATACCAAATTTATATATGGAAATGCTTGTGTTTTGTCTTGTAAAAAATAATTGCTATATGTCACTGCCTTTTACCTGACGTGTGCATTTTTCATTCTGCATATAGTAAAATATGATAGCAGTTTTCAAGTAGTCCTTATAAAAAAACTCCACATAATAATCTTCACTCTAATTCAGAAGCAACAAAACTACTGCTTATGGACAGTAAGAAATTGAGATTTTTTAAGAATCTTGTGGAATATTATTTCTCTCTCCAGCCACTTTATTTTACAATTTCATAATTTTAATTTAACTTTTACAATGTTTTTCAAATAAAGTCTTCATACTCATAAAATACAAAGCAAAAATATGACAAACACATAGACAACAAAAATAATTGCAATTTGACATTTAAAACACATATAAATAAGAATACTATTTTTAAAAAGCTGTTGTTCTAAGTCACTCATATAGATTGAAATAGGCTGCCCAAACATCTGAATGTTTATCAAGACAAAGCTGTCACCAGTAGTATATTCTCTAAAATAATCCAGTTTTGTGAGATCTTCACACCAAGCCATGACTGAGGAAGATACTAGTGAAGCAAAAACTGAGGGTCATCTTATATGCCTGACATATGACAAACACCAGAAAAACAGCCCAAAATGTCAACCTTGCCTAATACACAAGTAACATTATACACTAGTATATACTGTATCCAAACCAATGTTGATGTACCTAATAATGTCTGCTCAGAAGGGAGCCAACTTCAGAAGCAGGTTGGAGTAGCTGCTATGCTTTTATGCTGATCCAATTGCAATTACTATTGTAGTTTTGTTGTTTTAAGTAATTTTTTGTTTGATTGTGTATTTTTGTTTAACTTTTTTAACGGTCCAGAAAGCCTTAGCTGCTGGGTGGTAGAAAAATAAATAAATGAATAATTAAATAGTGACTCTGAACACTTAAAAGGCCTGTAACAGAAGCAGAGTGCCAAAATGCAACTCACATTTCCAAGGAATTTAATGCCCACATAATGAATAGATTTGCATTATGGAACTCAACTAACAGTGAATAACAAGAACTGTAGACTGAAACTAAAGACATTATTTTGGAAGAATGCCAAACGACCATTCCTATAGTAGAAAGAAAGAGGCTAGATGGATGACAGATCACATTTGCTAAAGAAAGGCAAAGTGGAAAAGCAAAAGGTGACAGAAATAGGGTCAGATTCTTGAATGCAACTTTTCAGTGACTATTGCATAGAGACCAAAAAAACAAAACCAAAACCAATTACAGTAGCTGGTACAAAGAAATCGAAGAGAACAACTAAAAGCAGGAATAAGAGACTTCTTCCAGAAGATCCAAGAAACCGAGACATTCATACCTAGAAATACTGAAAGACCAACAGATGAACATACTAAGCCAGGTCCAGCTATAACGATAAGCCATGGCGGAAACCCCTGTGATATGGGCTATTGTGTTGTCTGAAACCCATCAGAGGCTTACCACATGGTACATTTGTTGTCTGTATAACCACAGAGAGAAGCAATGGTCTGTTGTACAGTTTCCATGCTTCACTATGGCTTGTTCAATTGTGTGAATGCAGAACTGTGGTTTCCACATGGATAACACAGAGTCTGGTGGAAAGAGTAGCTGCTTCTGGGGGAGATGCTCCTACCTGCATTCCCTGCTCTCCAGATCTGCTTAGCAACTAATGCGTCAGTACCAGCCATGCTGTGATTGGCTACTCCATCTCTGACTCTGCCTTCCAGATGCCCACTTATGGCTTAGGAATGTCACTGGCAACAGAGAAGTGTGGCACGCCACATCAAGAAAACTGTATGGACCAGAGAACTGTGTTTGGTGATCCATAGGATCACCACAATTCACTCCTGTCATCTTCCCCATTCTCTGAACCCACCAACACTCACTGCCGCCATGTGTGAGGCACAGGAGATCCATGCCACAATTTCCCAGTGGATCTAGAAGAACTACCCACAGAAGTTCCACCAGTAGCACCTCCATTCCAGCATGGATGTCAGCCTATTTCCCAGCTGTATCCACATTAGAATGCCCCTCTGAGCTTCCTGTCTGCCCTGCAGCGAGATGCAGGGTGGAGTTTGGGTCCATTATGCAGATGATGCCCCCCTACACACAAACAGTACTTGGAGCTTCTAGTGCATTGATGCTAGCTATGCAATAGTTGTATAGGCATGTGTCCATGCAGTTAGGGAGCAGGCTCTGCTAAAGTGCAGTGAATGTGGAAGAAGAGTACCTGTATCCAACGGATAGATGCATGATAGCATGGAGTGGGGTGCTCTGGGGCATGTGGGCACAGCTGTAGGGAAGCAGAAGAGACCAGTGGATGGATTAACACTTGGAGCAGTTTTTTTTCTGGCACAGCCACCCTTTTCCTGCTCCCAAGTTCCCATGAAAAAAAGATGAGTTTTGTGACAGCAGTGTGATTCTTGTTGGAAGTGCTTGTTATGGGGATGAGTGGAGAGGGGTGAGGGGCAGTGCCAGGTGAAGCTGTTCACAGTGCACCCTGGCACAGGGGAAGGGGTGCCAGGGTGTTCTGCCTATGTACATGATGGTACAGCGGTGGAGGAGGACCTTCTGAGGGTATCAGAAGTATAGGCATCAGATGAGGCTGGCTGTCGCTGTGCTGTGGGAGGGGGTGGGGGAAGCTACAGCCTGCCCACATTGATGCCCTCCATGTGCCTGACTGCAGCTGTGCAAGTCCAGTGTGGACACATTGGCAACAAGGGAAGGGTGGGGAAGAGATGTGGGTATGCTTATACCTTGGCACAGAGCATGGCAGCACAGAGGAGTGCTACTTTAGAGCAACAGTGTATGAGTTAGTGGTTGCCTTAGCTGAGCAGTGGGAGAAAAAACAACAACAACAACAACAACACACACACACAGGAGCAGCTAGCTGATGACATGCCCAGGAAAGTCCAATGTGTGGACCAATGAGGGAAAGGCAGGCAAAATAGGTGAGAGTGGTATGCCCTGGAACTGAATTTCAGCCACAGGGGGTGATGGGTTTACCTGTCACCAGTAGAAGGAATGCTTGCATGGTTTCCAGTCCCCAAGAAAGGTAATATAAAAGAGTGCTATATCCATAGGACCATTACATTAATTTCCCATGTCAGTAAAGTGATGTGGTTTCCATGATCATGGTATGCAGCTATTACAAAGTCTTCAGGAAAGATTAAGAATTGTAGGAGCTGTTCCAGCAATCCAGTCTCTGTGTGTGCACCAATGAGGAAGAGTCAGGTAATAGAAGCAGGGAGTGATATACTTAGGATTGAATTTCAGGTTCAGTGGCTGATGTGATACATGCCAACAGTGGGAGGAAGGAGCAGAGAGGACAATCTCTCATGGTAAGAAAAAAACACTATGATAACCACACAGGGTAGCTGGTCATGTTTTGTGAACATAGTTACTTGGCATGCTTGTGTGGAGCCTTACAGTCCTAGTCTTCTCAATGATGGTGCTTATGATCATATTCCTGTACTTAATTTTTATATGCTACTGTAGAGAAGTTGATAATGTGAGAGAACATTGTGTAGAAATGTGTAGAAAAAATCCAGATAATTACTTGTGTTTAGTCATAGTATTGAGAACAGAAAAAAAACTATCCTGCCCTTTATTGAAGGAGCAAAAGCAGTTATCTCTCTTCATTTTATTCTCACAACAACCCTGTTAAATTAAGTTAGACAGACTTCCTAAAAATCAGCTGGAAAGTTTTATGGTTGAGTATGAAATGTAAACCTTGGCTATCTACTGACCTGGTCCAATATTCTAAGCACTATGCCATTCTTCTCAAACTTTGGAGAATAGGTGGCTTATTATACTTTAAGTCCTGTAGTTAACACTCTATTTTAGACACATAAAGTGGACCTAGAAACATAAATTGTTCAAAATCCTATAAACAGGAATTACATACAGATGGAATTACATTTTTGCTTTAACTCATGCTTCTGGCTCCTCTCTTTCCTGATGCAGCATTTTAATTTGTACCTTCTTTAGGACTACTTAATGTATAATTAGCTTCATAATTTGTATCTGTTAACTTTAGGAAGAGATAAAGACCCATACCGTTGTAAGCCACCCCGAGGCCTTGGCAAGGGGCGGCATAGAAATGTTTTAATAAAAATAAATAAATAAATAAATAAAATTTTGTGACTGGGTGATAAGGATTATTCTATATTCAGTCACAATTTCTAGTGCTACCCTGCCACTATGTCAGCATAAAGGTTTCCACAAGTGGTTTTCTGTTCTATTGATTAAGAAAGCACCCACAGATACATCACTACATTTATAATTTATAAAATAGTATCACTGCAGGTGGTGCAGTGGTTTAAACCGCTGTGCTGCTGGGGTGGTAGATCAAAAGGTCACCGGTTCGAATCTACACAATGGGGTGAGTTCCTGTTACTCCGTCCCAGCTCCTGCCAACCTTGCAGTTCGAAAGCATGCAAATGCAAGTAGGTAAAAAGGTACCACTTTGGTGGGCAGGTAACAGCGTTCCGTGCACTTTGGTGTTTAGTCATGCTGGCCACATGGAGACTGTCTGTGGACAAACGCTGGCTCCCTCGGCTAGGAAACGGAGATGAGCACCGCCCCCTAGAGTCAGGCATGACTGGACTTAATGTCAAGGGGAAACCTTTACCTTTACCTTTACCTGGTGTTAAATTGTATTATTGGCCCATGTGCTCCTCCTTTTGTACTTGAGCAGAAGGTTAATGAACAATCAGTTGCATCTGTGTAAGAGGAAGATGGAGCAGTCATTTTACTTAAGTAATCTACAGTAACTTTTGGAAAAGCCTCAACCTTCACAAGCTGTCTGTTCTAAATGCTCTATAGGACAGCCAGGTCTATACAAACATAAACTCTTGTAAATTCCTTAGACTGTACCACTTCATACTGCAAATTCCTGTAGAGACAGGTGCTGGGACAGTAATTGTCACTACCTATACTTCTGCATTTCAGTTCCCTCTGACAACACTGCTTACATCTTTGCACCCTATCCACATTATATGTATCTACATCTGCCAATTTTAGGTTAAACACTTCACAGAAGCAGCTAGTGTCCATTAAAGTTTAAGGAAAATAAATTCCTTACTCTTCAACATGCTGCAAGACAGTCTTTAGTTGTAATTGTTGAAACAGATTAGCATGACTGTCCTTATAGCACATTTCCCTGTGGATGTAGCTCTACATACACTTACCTGAGAATTAGCTGTATTGTATACAGTGAGGCTTCCTGATTATTAAACATACATAAGATTGCACTGCATGTCTAGAAGTGATTCTATTTTCCACTTTTGCTGTATCTGTACTACTGAACATATTCCTGATCACACCTCCCTTGCCCATCTAATGCAGTTGCCTCTTTTAAAACTCTTTCAGCCATATAACTTCTGTGAATTACCTAGTAAGTTTAAGGCTATTTAAACTTTCACAGCCAAAAGCTACTGTCATGATTTCTGGACGGCGCCCTATTCACTTATTCCTCAGTATTGAAAGGCATGTATAAATCCCACAGAAACGAAGGAATAAACATGTGACAAGCTTATGTACATGACTTTAATTTTCCTGTAACAAAATCTGTATTTCCAAGTGTATTTGCTATGGCGCACCATAACGTCTCCAGTAGATGGCGTGCCAGCCTAAGGGTGCCCCGTACTGCATTCTTACAGTTTTCTCCACCTCGCTGCCAAGGACAGATTTGGACAGGTGGTTTCGACACCGCGCATGAGCATAAACAGAAAGCTTCGTTCAGTTTCTCATTGGCCCACACTCTAGACGTCTGAAAGTAGAGCGGGGGCGTCACGCTTCTTTTTAGCCTCCTGTTCCGTAAGCAAGAGGGAATTAATCCACCTACTTCCGGCAATAATCCCACCCTCTAATACGCTCTACGCATGCGTACTGCTCATCGCACGGAGAAACAGTTTGTTTTTTTCGTTAGCCGATTCGAGCCGAACGGACGTTCTCTCTTCTTTTTTTCACCCCCGTCCCTCCACCCGGCGATGTGGCCGCATTTGGCGGCGGCAGTGGCGGCGGCGGCGGCGGTCGTGGCATCGGCTCTTGCGTGGGGTTGAGAGGCTGGCACCACAGGCGCGCATCAAGATGGCGTGTGTGCTGGAGACACCGCTCCGCATGAGTGTCCTGTCGGTGAGTGGAGGCCTGGGGCGGCGAGGCAGCGACAGCTGCGCCTCTGGGGTTCTGATGGAAGAAGTCCGTCACGGCAGGGCTTCCGTCAGGCGGCTGTCTGTTACCTTGTTGTGGAGGCGGCAACTGGTCCGGTCCTGCCATGCTCAGCGGGACGAGCAAGGGACTGCCTACTTAGGTTGTTTGTATCGGGTCCCGCCCTCGCTGGTCGCCTGTCTCGTTTTCTCCTTCCATCCTCGCCTTTTCTCTCCCCCAGCCCACACAGACACCCCTCAGCACGCTGTCTCCCTTTCCCCTTAGTATATGGCTGCGTGGCAGAGAAGGGTACGGGAGTTTCTGCCAGGAGGAAATAAATGCTGTGTAGGGGTCAGACCGCTGCCGCGTTGAATCCGCACTGAGAAGGCAGAATATGTTGGCAGTAGTTGACCTGGAATACTTGTGGGAGTGAACACGCTTCTTACTTCCGTACTTTTTTGTCCGACTCCTGCCCTTACATTTACTTATTTATGCTGGTTTCCCCCACCCCCGTATGGAGAAGTTCTGATTTTCTATATAGTACATGACTGTACTCTCTGAGTGAGGCAGAATGTGGTTTCTTTCCTAATCTTTTGCCTTTATTATTATTTTTTTCAAGGCAGTATTACAGTTAGAATAGCTAGATTCAGAAAAGACTGCCTCTTTTAATAGCTGTGAAGGAGAGGAGAATTTCAGCAGGTAGAAATTTCACTTGCTTTAATTCACTTCAATGTACAGCTATTAAAGGCAGAGAAGCCTTGTCCTCTTCTGTATTTAGTGACCCTGGGCATTTGATGAGTTTTCTATTGTGATTCCAACAGTGCAATCATAGGCCTCTCTTCCACTGAATGGGGGGGGGGGGGGGGGGGTATTTCCTGTAAAGGAATCTTTATTCTTCACTTAGCTGATGAGCCCACACCTGTTGCCATTTTGCCAAAGTCATAAGGATTCTGCTGCAGTTCTTTTGGACTTCTGTGGGGGAATTATGCTGTCATACATATTTTGGTAACATTTGCCAACTTGCTATTTTGTTTGTGGTCCCTAGACAGTTGTAGTGGATGGTATATAAAAGCTTAAAAAAGCTTTGAGCTTTATTTTGCTTTTCAGACTCATGAATCCAGATTAGTTTAAAAAAATGCTTGTTACAGTATGCATCTAATGGGATTCTATCTCACTACAGTGCAAAAACTATTGTTTCCTCCTAGCTTTGTATAATTTCACAGTTTGACAGATGTCCTGCTCATTTTCTTGTTGCTAACATTCAGTAGTAGTTTTCACCACCCCTTTCTTGGAAATCAGATATATTGTAGTAACTGGCTCAACTCTGTGGTAGAATCACTTTTATTTTAGATTGTATTGGCCTTAATGAACCAGAAAATAGTTGCAACCAAGATCCATAGAAACAAATGTGAGTATAACTAATTTCCTTAGGCTTGATGTCTGTAGCATTAAGGAGTTTTCTGACAACTTATCTAAATCAGAAATTAAATGTGAAACATGCCAGGTACAACCCTATGTATCTCTACTCAGCAGTACATCCTGCTGAATTCAGTGAGAATTGATCTCAGGTATGCAGGAGTAGCATTAATTGCAGCCCTAATTTAGTAGAGTTTGTATCTTCTGCTACCTTGTCTTGCTATTTCATTCTGGCTTACATTGCATTTTCTTTGCTGTGTTGTCTAGCTTATTCTCAAGTGAGGTTCAGGTGTCTGGTTCTCCTTTTTGGTACAAGATATGCCTAGAGATGCTCTTTTTGAGACCATGTATGAATATTTGTTTTCTCTTGGATTTGGTTGAAGTAGAAAACATTGCCTAGTTTGATAGGATGATAGAAAAAGTCTTGATTGAAGAAAAGAGTTTATTACCAAATACCTGTAATTTTATTTTATTTGACATTGCTGTTGTGTAAAGCCAACACAAGCATTTGGCAGTGCTTGCTAATTTCAAATTAGTCTGGTAAAAATAGTTCACTGTGATTGTGTCAAACTTTTCTAAGCTTTTACAAATTATGTCTGAATTACCTGTCTGGTAAAACCCCTACGTAAGAGCATATTAAACAGCTTCCCACATTTATCTTCTGCAAGAAGCTGTAGGGTGATAGAGTCCAAGATGTTAATCATACTGAACCAGTATCTGACATGGTTCATGCCTTGTTTCTTTAAATTATTCATTTTGTCACCACTCTTCACTTATCCTTTCTCTGCTGCTTTTGACACTGTTGGCAATCTTGCTACTAACTCTTGGCTCCTGTAATCTTAAGCCCCAGCTTTCATTTTGAAATTGCTCTCTTAGTCAGTTGGATGGAATGCATAAAAAAGTTACAGATATAATTCTTACTTTCATATAACCACCTTTAAAGTAAGTATTGGTTGCAGAAAGAGAGAGGTCATAGCCTTAATACATGTTGCCAATAATTCAGGTTATTTTGTGCTATTTTATAAAAGCGTTGGGTTTTCTGTGAAAGTTAGGGTTTTTTCTGCTTTTGAAATGTTATCTTTCAAAATTAAGCCTGTTGGTAAGTAGTAATAAAAACTGACTATAAATGTAACCTGATTAAACCAACTATATTGATGGATACTTTTTCTAGGTTAAAGATCTGGAAAAAAGTTCTTCACATTCTGGAATTCTTTTTGATGTAATCTGAAACTGCATCAGAATCCTGGCAGAAACCTGTTCTTTCTGTACAGCAGTCTGTTAAACACTGTGGTGATTTTATCTTTCATTTCTTTTTTCCTTCTGATATAAAGTCATCTGGTATCCCAGAAGAGAATCCTTCCAAGAATGAATGGATACATGTAGCATTTTGTAAGGATATTGCTTACATGGAATCCCTGGGCAGGAGCATGAAATGCTGAAGTGCCAATCCTGCTGAGTGTTAAAAAAAAACAATATAATGCTAACAGGTTCTCTAGTAACTAGACCAATGGGGGTCCCCCCCCCACATTTTGGTCTAGTATGGACTGGCTGCAGGCTTGCAGTATTGTTTTTGTTTTGTTTCATGTTTTGTTTTTGAGAACCTGTAATTCACCATCTGGAGCATAGTGCAAAATTTATAAGGATAAAATCTAGTTTTGCTGTTACAGGAAGATAGGAAGAGCTCTGCTTGTATAATGAATAGATCCCAAAGAATCAGGCTAAACAAATTGCTAAAATTATTGTTGCTTAGCTGTCTTAAGCTGAAATTAGTGTTGGAAAAATTACTGTTACTGAAAATCATTGTGTGATAGCTCTATGGGCCTTTGTCTTCGGCATTTAACATTTGTTATGCCAAATTGACCAACTGTAGACGTCTTTGCTTACAGGAAGTCACGGCCAGTAGTCGCCACTATGTTGACAGATTATTTGATCCTGATCCCCAGAAAGTCTTGCAGGGTGTCATGTAAGTAATATAAACATTTCTACCCTTAATTTTCTAGGAATGTTTGAATCTTTTTCATAGCCTGCTTTTTTGCATTGCATATATTTAACTGTACATCACTTGTTCATTTCAGAGATACCACTAATGAAATGTATTTAGATACTGTTTTCTTGTAACTTGGATATTATTTCTTTGTAATATATGTATCAATGTTTTCCTTATTTAGCTTGTTGCTTTTTGTAGGTTTTTGGATTTATTATTTTATTTTTATTTATTACATTTTTGTGCCACCCAAAAATTGTACAAAAGCTCTCTGAGTGGTTCACCAATATGCACTATAAAATAACGTATAAAATTCAAATAGGTAAAACAGTATAAAAGTGAAAGCCAACATAAAACCAAACAGCAACACGAAGATATAAATACAATATAGAACTTAAAACAGTGTAAAACAAAACTTCCTGATGACTTCCTAAATCACACCAACTCTTTACCTTTGAAATCTGTTAAAAATGTTCTCTTTGACTTACTCAGTACTTTCATGCATGTAAGCTGAAAATCTCTGTGATAAAATTGCTTCAAATTTTATTTTAAAATAAATAATTGTTAATAATACTTTGATTATTGTGGATTAGAATATTGAAAAATAACTCAGTTAAAATATATGAGTATCATACAGACTTGCTCAAACATACTTTTTTCTATCAAATCTGTATCATGAGCTTCTATCAGTCAAGGGGGCTATATTGTGACATAATGTTAATGCTTTAACATTTGAGAACATTTTCAGAATTAACTTTGGGCTTGTGTACATGGTCAACCCCTTTCTCTCCTTCCCAGACAAAGCTGCAAGGAAGGGGAATTTAGAGCTTCTCAGTTATCATGTCTGAAACAGAAGGTCAGGATAATCTGATCAGTGATTGGTTGAATCAAGTCATCTTCATTCACTAGGTTTAAAGTTGTTTTGTTTCAGCAAGTTCTACCTAAAATCACAGCATGTTGTATTCTACAAAGTTTAACAAATATGTTAATTAAAATGGAAACAAGAACTTCTGAATTCCTCCTTGTGGTCATGTCAGAAATGGGAGCATGTAAACTCAAGATTTACAGTGACTTATTCTTACATGACTTGGTCATGGTTTACAGTATATCACAGAAGTGAGTACACCCCTCACATTTTATAAATATTTTATTATATCTTTTCATGTGACTACCCTGAAGAAATGACACTTTGCTACAATGTAAAGTAGTGAGTATACAGCTTGTATAACAGTGTAAATTTGCTGTCCCCTCAAAATCACTCAACACACAGCCTTTAATGTCTAAATCACTGGCAACAAAAGTGAGTACACCTCTAAGTGAAACTGTCCAAATTGGGTATTATTAGCCATTTTCCCTCCCCGGTATCATGTGACTCATTAGTGTTACAAGGTCTCAGGTATGAATGGGGAGCAGGTGTGTTAAATTTGGTGTTATCACTCTCACTCTCTCATACTGGTCACTGGAAGTTCAACATGGCACCTCATGGCAAAGAACTCTCTGAGGATCTGAAAAAAGAATTGTTGCTCTACATAAAGATGGCCTAGGCTATAAGAAGATTGCCAAGACCCTGAAACTGAGCTGCAGCATGGTGGCCAAGACCATACAGCGGTTTAACAGGACAGGTTCCACTCAGAACCGACCTTGCCATGGTTGACCAAAGAAGTTGAGTGCACGTGCTCAAGTGTCATATCCAGAGGTTGGCTTTGGGAAATAAATGTATGAGTGCTGCCAGCATTGCTGCAGAGGTTGAAGGGGTGGTGGGTCAGCCTGTCAATGCTCAGATCATACGCCGCACACTGCATGAAATTGGTGAGGAGTACAAAGACAAGTGAGTCTTGCCTACAGTCAAGCCTGGTGGTGGGAGTGTCATGGTCTGGGGCTGCATGAGTGCTGCTGGCACTGGGGAGCTACAGTTCATTGAGGGAACCATAAATGCCAACACGTAGTGTTGACATACTGAAGCAGAGCATGATCCTCTCCCTTCGGAGACTGGGCCTCAGGGCAGTATTCCAACATGATAATGACCCCAAACACACTTCCGAGACGACCACTGCCCTGCTAAAGAAGCTGAGGGTAAAGGTGATGGACTGGCCAAGCATGTCTCCAGAACTAAACCCTATCGAGCATCTGTGGGGCATCCTGAAATGGAAGGTGGAGGAGCGCAAGGTCTCTAACATCCACCAGCTCCGTGATGTCATCATGGAGGAGTGGAAGAGGACTCCAGTGGCAACCTGTGAAGCTCTGGTGAACTCCATGCCCAAGAGGGTTAAGGCAGTGCTGGAAAATAATGGTGGCCACACAAAATATTGACACTTTGGGCCCAATTTGGACAATTTCACTTAGGGGTGTACTCACTATTGTTGCCAGCGGTTTAGACATTAACGACTGTGTGTTGAGTGATTTTGAGGGGACAGCAAATTCACACTGTTATACAAGCTGTATACTCACTACTTTACATTGTAGCAAAGTGTCATTTCTTCAGGGTTGTCACATGAAAAGATATAATAAAATATTTACAAAATGTGAGGGGTGTACTCACTTCTGTGATATACTGTAGCATTGCATCATGATGATACCAGTGAACAATGGCAGCTTTTTTATGCTAAATGTCTGTGTGTGTATATGGGAAGACATCTGACTTCCTAAATCAAGCATTGTAAATAATACACTGACCCAGTTTAGTTGTGATGTGAAACTATGGTTTTCTGCTATTCGAATGAATTGAGGTGAGCCTTGTGCCTGCCCCTCCCTCCCTCAGAAGTTCTCCTTATGACTTTAAAGCAACTGCGTTTTGCCATGGTGTTTGATGAGAGCAAACTGATATCTGAAACCACAGTTTGACTCTTATTGTCACTATCTCTGGCTTGTTTAAACCACTGTTCCCTAATGTTACAGAGAACCATTATTTGTATGAAATCAAACAAATGTTTCAAGAGGTCTCCTTAACAGGCATAAAAAGAGGAAAGGGGAATGCTTTGATGAGTTCATATTTTGGGAAATAATGGTTTCTAGTTAACTGAATCATGTCACTGCTGTACATTTTTCTACTGTGGACTTCTTACTTGATGCAGAACCTAGAAAATTACAGTTCTCATATTCCCCAGATCATCCACAGATCTCATATAGGTGAACTTGCATTCCTGTTTTATCCCTTTCCACTTCTGGAGCATTGCGATATGCTTTTAAATCATTGTACAATATTTATGATCCTGACAACCAAGCATCATGGACATTTACTTGTTATCTCATAGTAAACTATCAGATTGCCCAATAATCAGTACCTGCTTTGATAAGATTTTGACACTTATTCAGAAATGTGTTCTTCCTTAGTAGCTTAGAGAGCTAAACGTAAATTTGACTCTAAGAAAGGTGGAATTCTGCAATGCTTATAGACTGCATCCAAACATTTTGGAACATACTTCTTAGCTGTGAACATGTTCTTGGTGGCAAAACTGTGTTTTAAATGTTTAATTTAAACATTTAATTAGCATGCATGATTATTCAGGAAATACCTTAATTCTAATTAATTCTAAATTATTCTTGACAATCATTACATTATCTTAACGACTCTCAGGATATAGAAGTTTAGTGAGCTAAGGTGGGCTTGCTTTCAAACATATTTTCAACACATCTTTGAAAGCAGTAATTTGATATAAAGAATACAGAGTATCTAGTATTTGTGGTTAAATCCTTAAAGTCTTCTTATTTGGAATTTACTGCTACATGAGTTACTGTGCTTTATAACTGTTCCATGTGGTTATCTCTTTACTATTTCTAGCCTTGCAACATAGGGAATGCTTCCAAAACAGAAAAACTAATTAAAGTGAAGATGATTTCACTGTTCTATGATTTGAGAAATGAACCCACCCGCCAAGAACATTGTTCTGACTATGGAAGGATAGCATGTCTCCCAAATGATTTGACAAGATATTTAATAAGCAACTCTTTCAGCTTCTGAAGAGTCACCACTCTCTATGAAACTGTTGGTATTCAGACAGTGCTTTCTTTCCCATGGTTCATGGTAGCCCTTGGTTGAGTTAGTCCTAATTGTTCTCATAAATTAACAGCCATGAAGGGCTGATAATATATTGGCCAGCTTCTTCAGACTTCAAAAAGTTACTAAGGAATTTTTTTTTAGAGACAGTAAAGATATACTTTTGGTAAACAGAAAAATAAACTAGCGTTATAGCAGGTACACTAAAAAAGTGGAAAGTCATATCTGTCAGCTGTTACACAGACTTACTTAGGTATTGTAAGGCAGCTGGCAAAACTGAATGCCTTAGTTTGGAGGGCGGACACTTTCCTATCATGGTTTGAGCCTTCTAGGGCATGTTTACTAATCTGTCAGGAAGAACTGTAGATAACCATAAGTTAAGAGATTTATTTACATGTACTGAGGAGGGTCACTTTTATAACTTACAGTAATACAGTGGTACTTTGGCTCACGAACTTAATCCATGCCATGACTCTGGTCAAATTTCCCCTTAAGTTTCAATGTAAATAAGGTTAATCCGTTCTGTAACTTTTTTTTTTTTTTTAAATCACAAAAATTTGAAGCAGAGTGACAAAGAACAATAAAGATCGTGGCCATCTCCCCACCAAGCACAATCACAACCATATTCCCCCCCACACCAGCATGACTGCGATGGCCTCTGTGTTCCCTGAACAAGTTCAGGGGCATTCGGGCAGAGAAGATGAGCGCAATTGTGGTTGCGCTTGGGCAGAGAAGATGGGCATGATTGCGGCCATCTCCCCCCACCCCTGAGCATGATTGTGGCCATCTCTCCCCCCCGCCCCGGCACGACCATGATTGCTACCTGATGTGGAGGTCGTGACCTAAGGCAATTTTTTTCCTGAATTTTAGAAAATTTCTGTACCTCGGTTCACGAATGCTTCTGTTCGTGTACAGTTCGGTTCACGAACAGAAAGTTTGGCAGAATTTTGCTTCCATTCACGAACTTTGCATCAGGTGACGTGTCAGAGCGTGTTTGTGTGGGGAAGGTAGCCACAATCGTGTTCGTGTGGGGATGATGGTCGCGTTGGTGTTTGCACGAACATGAACGTGGCCATCTTCCCTGCTCTGACACATAATCGTGGATTCCTCTAGTCAAGATCGCAGTCACAGACTCTCCCTCCAAACAATAATCTCCTCCCCACCCACCTTCCTGCCCTCTAGGCCAGAAGTCGCCTCAAACAAGGTTAGTATTCTTTCTCTCCATACTGTACTGTACTTTGTTTCATATTTTTGTGGTTAAAAAAATGCATATGGTTCAGAATGAAGTAACTTTGTTTACATTGAACCTTATGGGGAAATGTGACTCGGTTCGCAACCAATTTGGTTCACGACCAGAATTGTGGTACGAATTAAGTTCGTGAACCAAGGTTCCACTCTATTTTATATAGTGCAAATGCAGTGTCCAACATACCTCATTTTCTGAATTTAATGAATTTAACATTTGCTAAGAATCTTAAGTCCATTTCTGCAAGCATTTGAAGAAGGGAATATTTTAAAGGTTTTCTGTGCTTCCTTTTCTAGTTTAATGGGGGGCATTGCAGCAGATTTATGTATGCTTTAGTGACATCATATTTATCACTGGCATTTCACGTGAGTATAGCAGCTTGGAATCTCTGCAGAAATAACTGTCTGAAGTAAAAGGAAGTATCTCAGTAATGCAATATAAAATATTCCTTATTTAATTTTGGAAAAACAAAAATTAAAAGGATATGATCTCTGGCAGCCTTCCCTTATTTTGGGACCTCCAGATGTTTTAGAGTACAGCTCTCAGCATTCTTGATGATTGGCTGTGCTGGCTGGAGCTAATGGAGCTGAAGTCCAAAATATCCCAATAGTACAAAGTTGGGAAAGACTGATCTATGAGTTTCATTTTAGCACTTATGTGTATCTTCTAGTTTTATTGTAGCATGGCAAAACAATACATTAGTTTCTGTCATTATTATGTCCACTGTGTTAATTGTTGTAGAAGAGTAAAAATGGTTGTCACTTCAATGAGTTGAAGTGATGAGTTCCATTTTGAAACTAACTAGAATTGCTTTGTAGGGATGCAGGTGGCGCAGTAATTTAAACTGCTGTGCTGCTGGGCTGGTTGATCGAAAGGTCGCTGGTTCCAATCTGCACAACGGGGTGAGTTCCCATTGCTCTGTCCCAGCTCCTGTCCACCTTGCAGTTCAAAAGCATGCAAATGCAAGTAGATAAAAAGGTACCACTTCGGTGGGAAGGTAACAACGTTCGGTGCACCTCGGTGTTTAGTCATGCCGGCCACATGACCACGGTGACTGCAGACAAACGCTGGCTCCCTCGGCTAGGAAACAGAGATGAGCACTACCCCCTAGAGTCAGGCATGACTGGACTTAACGTCAAGGGGAAATCTTTACCTTTACCTTTTTAGAATTGCTTTGTGCCTACTGCTGTTGTATTTAGGATTATATCTGACCCCTTTCATCTATGTTTGGATATCTTTGTTCCAAAAATAAATTGTAATTGGTTTAGAACTTTTTGCTGTAGAGTTTTTCCACATACAAACATTCAATTACATTTTAATTAATTTCTATACCACTCAGTAGCCAAAGCTGTCTGAGCAATTTACAACAATTCACAAATGCTGTCAGTTTACTAGTTTTAAAGAATGCATGAATGCAATATAACAAGGTCTAGGTCTGCATTTAAGGCCAGCAAGTGCTTTCTTTGATTGTATTACTTTGTGTTAAGAAGATCTTGTGGAGATGACTATAATTGATTTTACTGGAGGGGAAGATATCGGATTCCTTTTAAATAGGGGAAGATTGGAAAAATTTGGATGGGAAAAGACTAAGAGTATAGAATTACATTAGAAAGACTATATTGCAAGTGGGTTTTATAATTAATATGCTGCACTATGGATGCAAGAGCAGATAGCTTTTCTTCACTAAGTATTTTTTAGAAGCTACAATCTACACTATGTTTTATACACCAGTGTTCTCTTTCCTTTATTTTCTTATATGGTGGGAACAACAGTCACATGTTGGGTCTGCCAACAAAATGCCAGCGGAAAGAATATGCATAATATAACAATCACTAAAGAGACAAAGTAAATCACTACTTACTTTTTCAGTAGATTTCTATATTGTTACCAATATTAAAATATATTGAAATGGGAATTATAGAGTTTAGTATATAGCTGATAGGCTTGTGGAGTATCTACATTTAAACAGCCTAAACAAGAGTTCACTATTGAATGAATGAATGAATGAATGAATGAATGAACAACTTAAAGAACTAGGTTACTGTATGTGTGGTCAGGAAAAAATGAAGTCATTTCTAGTTGGGTGGAATCTGACCCAAGGGCTTCAGCATAGGAAATAAATGCAAGTCATGGTACCATATTTTTTTCTTATGCTTGCTTGCTGAGTAGGTTATACACTGACCTGGTTTGCTCTTAATGTTTGTGTTCACACAACACTCCATGATGAGTTTCTGCCCACAGTGGGTGGTTGTGCTATGTGAATCTACACTAATTTCTCCAGGGTGGCACAACAGTTCATATTTCGTTCTAGGGATTGTTGTTCCTATGATGGGCTGTTGTGTCACCCAAACCTGAATGACCAAATCTACTTCATCATGTGTTTGCAGAATTGGCTAGCTAGTCTCATGGCAAAAGTGGCAGAATACCCCTGCTGTTCATGTCATGTGGCTCCCACAGCTACTCCCAAAGTGCTCAAGTGGCACACACAAAGACACACACACAATCATGGGAGTTATTTTATGAATGCTGTGTGGGTGGTTCCCCCTGCCTTAAGCTATTTTTAGGGATGCTGTGAAAGTCACCTTTCAAACTGTTTTCCTTGATCTCTGTTTTGACAACTATGAGCAGTCCCTTCAAAATCCCTCACTGGCATGTCAGAGGGGCTCTCATTATGAGAATTATTTGATCCTTTGCTGTTTGGGGTTTTTGCATAATGTTGAAACTGATCTAACTGTATCCATCCTCAAAAATCATTGCTACCAGCAGTTATTTTGACTACTGGAGATAACAACATATTATAACCCAACTTTTAAATTACTTCTCTGTATTTTAATCAATACATGCAAAAAGCAACTTATCAAATGCCTTCTTTGTTTTTTGGAATGGAGATGCTAAAGTGATGCTCAAAAATACTTTCCAAGTTTTCATTCGTTTTTTTTAAACTACTATGTGGCTGGGGAGGGGCTGTGAGGCTAGGAAAGGTTGGGGAGGGTAATGCCACCCTTAAGCCCTATTATGTTGAAAATGGCTTTAGCATAAAGAATTGTAACAGAAAAAAATGGTAAGACTGTAATTTCCATAGAGAAAAACACTGCAGGCATAGAAAATAACTGTGACTGTCATCAGAAATACAAGATAAGTGGAGACGACATGTTTCCTTTTCTTATTCCTACTCCTTGCATGTTATGACTTAGTCCTTATTTTTGTTACCAGTGTTTGACAACTTGACATCTGAAATGCATGCCAGGAGGTTTTATGATGAATGATCAAGTCAGTTTGGTTGGGGTAGAGAACTACCACAGATGTTAATTGCTATTGCAACTCTTGGGGGCGTGGGTATTGTTTGTGTCCTCTTCAGTCCTTAGAGTAACTATTTGATCTCGAAGGAACTACATTCTGCAAAACTGAGCCCTTAGTACCTCAGCATAATTTACTAGGGTTTTTCTCTTTCTGGATTTACAGAGATATGAAAAATGCTGTAATTGGAAACAACAAACAAAAAGCCAACTTGATTGTTTTGGGAGCAGTTCCAAGGTATGTCCTTTGCTACTCTCATTTTCACTGATGCGCTACAGGTCTCAAGTTATTAAGATATTAAGATTCTGGAACTTTGATGATTGTTGACATTGCCTTGTCTTCACTGTAACTGAGATCAATATATCCAGTTCTAATTACTAAAAAGTAATAAATGAACACATCTGTACTGCAAAATCTGGGATTTATCTCTTTCAGACTTCTGAAAATGTTTGCCCCAGCAAACTTTGTTAGTAAAGCCTTCCAAAAACATGTCTAAAACTATTTCCAGTGGCACTGTTTCTTTCTTCCACTTGCATTTGGATTGCAGTCCACAATTTGGGAGCATAAAAAAGCAAGGTAAAAAAGTGATTCTTCCCTATGCTGTGAGTTGTTTCAGACTGTAAAGTTCTTAATGTCTTCTCTAGGTGGCATTAGATGTCACCTTATTTAATAGAGGTTTATAGCCCTAAATAAGTATAACGACTGAGTCCTGCTAATTGTTAATCTTGTATTGCATTCTCATTATAATTTGTTCAGAGTTCAATAAACTGTTCTCACATAGCATTATGAAAAAGTAAAGAAAACTAGTTCAATTATTTCCCCTGATCATGGTTTAGTTGTAGCACATCAGAATACAGTTGTATTTCCCTCTGCCTATCTGATGATCTACATAGTTTCTTAGAATAAGGGTGGGTTCTTTTGTATTTCTGCTAGTAGGCATGTTTTCCATCCATCTTTTTTATGGGTATAAGGCCTTTGATGGCAAATGTGAACATAATGCAAAGTCTAAACATCAGTTTCAGTAATTATCACTGAAATAGATTCAGTAGGCATCAGCAGAATCGTGAGGGCATGATATGTCCAATCTCTGCTTGCCCATAGCTTGCTCTGGAGAATTGGAGAACCTGTAGGAGTAGGCTTTGGGAGATGCAAGGGGTTGCAATGGGTGCAAGAGAAGGAGAATGTCTTCTTGTACAAGCCAGCCATTCCACCACTAGTCCTAGCATTTCATCGATACTTTTAACAATTCATCTAAATTTGAGAGATTTTATCATATACTTTTTAAAATGTAAAGATAAAAATGTCTTTTATGAACAAAGCTGAACTAGGTACCTAGAGAGGGGAACACTTACCATGTTGATTTCAGAACTTACAACTAAGTAGCTTCATGGCAAGAAAAAAAAGGGACAGGGAAAAGAATGAGGGACTGCTAAGGAAAATTTAAATAGTTTTTAGGAACTAATTGGAAAGGAGCTTAATAGGAAAGGTTTGTCAGCCAGGATTTGTAATGTATATTAGCTGTAGATAGCACAAATTGTAATTATTATCTGATAGGAAAAATGACTGGGAATGTGATATCTGATAGATACAAATAACTGTATATATTAAGGTTTTGTATTATTGCAATGGTTAGTATTAGAGAAGATCCGTGTAAGGGTATTTGTAGATGAAGCATTTATCATGTAATCACCTTGCCTGATTCATGAAATTTAACAGGGAGGTCCAGGTGACATCTTCCTCTTATAATCCAAATATACTATTATACAATCAAATATATTATAAGTTATTTCATATATTTTTCTATAGTTATTTCCATCTTTTTTCACCATGAAAAATCCATTAAAGAACAATACAGAACAAATGCACAATTCTTGTCATCAGTGAGAACATCCCTTCTTTGGAAGGTCCAAAAGATTTCACCTTAGGGACCATAGTAACTTAAACTTGTTTGACTACTTTAAATCTGATAGCAAATATTGCATTGATATTAGCAATGTTGCTTAGTAGCAGGATGACTTGCCAGTTGATGCAAAACTGTTTAAATGTCCATGGATGTATGGGCTTGACTGCTGATGGAGCAGAATTGCAACATTCAGGCACGTGTGTCTACAAATTTTAGTTGACCTACATAGCTAAGTCAACGTTTTTGTATACTAGGGCTCTGCTGCTAGGGAACTACAATTACTCCTGGGAGCAAAATCATACTTAAATCAGGTTTACTTCTCCATAGGGCTTGAACTGAACTTGGCCCTTCAGTTGTGCTTAGCTCTGCAGTAGAACTCTGTCTGCCCTCTTGTAGTTCCATGCTTGCATTTGAAGGTGCTCAGTACTGAAGATGCATGAGGTCTTTTTGTCCAGAGCCCAACTGAGTCCCATTCATTACCTCTTACTCCAGGTAGAAAGAAATCTGGCATGTGTCTGCATGGAAGGTGGTGGAGGCATATCTCAGAGGGCTACTGCTGCGCAAATGACCTTTGACTTTAGTTTAGAATTGAAGAATGATGATTTTATGTTGAGTTTCAGATCCCTCTGTACAACCGAGCTGGATGTCTTTGCCAAGTTCCCAACTCTTGGAGAAGACAGTCATCCTAAACTTGTCACAGATTAATGGTTGAATACTTAGCCTTTGCCCTGTTGTTTCTCCTGGACCTCTCAGTAGTTTTTGATACCATCAACCATGGTATCTTTCAGCTGACTGGGTTGGGAATTGAGGGAACTGCTCTGTAGTGATTCTGCTCATACCTGGCTGACCAGTTGCAGATGGTGATGCTGGAGGACTCTGTGCCATGATGACTGTGTTATGGAATTTCACAGGGTTCAATCCCCCCCTCCAATGTTTTTTAACAACTACATGAAACTGCTGGGTGAGGTCATCCAGAGATGTGGCCTGAGGTGTTACCAGTATATGCTGATGACACCCAGCTCTACCCCATATTTTCATCTGACCCAGGTGAGGCATTGACTGAACTGGTGCCAGAAATTAGTAATGGGCTAGATAAGGGCCACTAAACTGAAGCTTATTCCAGACAAGATGGAGGTGCTGCTGGTGGGCACTCCTGCAATCCAACTGGAAAATTTTCAACCTACTCTGGATGGGGTCACGCTCCCCATAAAGGATAAGGTTTGTAGCTTAGGGATGCTCCTGGTCCTCGAGCTCTCCCTGGTGTCCCAGGTGAGTTTGGTCATCAGGAACACCTTTCTTCAGCTTTAGCTACATTCCTACTTGGATGAGCAAGCCTTGCCACAGTGATACATGTACTGGTAACCTCTCTCTCTCCCCTGAATTATTACAGTGCACTATACATGGGGCTACCTTTCAAACAGTCCAGACTCTACAGCTAATATAGAACAGGGTGGCATGGCTGCTTACAAGGACTGGCCGGTGAGACACATTTCACTAGTCCTTTGTCAGCTGCATTGACTCCCTGTTCCAGTCTGACCCAATTCAAAGTGTTATCTTCGACATATAAAGCCTTAAATGGCTTGGGACCAGGGTACCTAAGAGAGTGGCACTCTCCATATATTCCTGTCCATCCACTTAGATCTTTCTCTGAAGTCCTTCTCTGAATACCCTCCCCCATCAAATCAAGGGGGAAAGGGCTAGGAGGGGGACATTTTCTGCCGTGGTGCCCAGACTTTGGAATCTGCTCCCCAGAGACATATGGTTGGCATTGACCTTGCTTTCTTTTAGATGTCAGATAAAAACTTTTGTTCAAACAAGCTTTTGGCTAAATAATCAATAACAAAATGTAATTTAAATTACTGGTTGTTAATTTAGTTGGCTGTATTGGTCATGTTGGGTATAGTTTTATTTAATTTTTATTATGTGAGTTTTAATAATAAACTATGATAAAATTCTCTATATAAATTTCTGTTTTCATCCATTTTACTGATTATATTTATATGTTGTTTTTAGCATTTGTAAGCTGCACAGAGAACTCTCAGATTATGGGGTGACATAGAAGTAGAATGTAATAAACAAATAAATACTAGTTTGTGCACAGAAAGTCACAAGTTCTGTCTGTGACATTGACAGTTAAATGCCAAAGACTTCAAACTGGTGCAGCACTGGGCTAGAGGGACTTAGGTTTGAATCTGTAATATACGGCAACTTCATACATTCAAATGAGTAGGCCTTGGAAAGGCTATTCTGGCACACTTTATCACAACAAATTAGAGCAGAAAGATCTTTAGTAATATGCATGAGGCTATGCAGTGATCGTTTGAGAAGCTGCTGTGATCACATAATATTTAACTTACTTAAATGTCTGTAAAGAATGCTAAGAAAATAGACTGGGCCAACTATCACGTGTAGTGCAAAAATATTCTACCAAGAATCTCCGCTATGTATGTTAAGCTGACAGTGTTCACAACTCAAATAGCCAAGTGTTCCAAGTTCACTGTAAAATAGTATGTAGATACAAATATATATCATATAGGTGTATTAATTTGTCTTAAATAACTTTTAAGACACAAATTTATTTAACAACTGCAGATATGGGAACAAAATATTTGTAAGCCATCCTGGGATGTCTTGTAAAGGACGGAGCATAAATATTGTTAATAATAAAATAAATAAAAATAAAATATTTTAGAATATTTTTGGATTGCTTCTTTGCACCGAGTGATTGAGGGAGTACATGGTAAATGTAAAAATTGCTTAACTATAGAAAAACTTGAGACATTTATTAAAAACAAAGCATTAAAATATATATTGTTATATTGGTTAAACATTACCAATATATTGATCTGTTCTCTTAAGGTCATTAAGGAAAAGGTTAGCCTAAATCTTCCTGAAAAGGGCATTCTACAGCTGGGATGCTGCTACATAAATGGCCCTGTTAACAAGTGCCACCAACTTCATTTCCCTAGGAAAAGGGAATATGCAACAGATTATATGTCTTCAGATTATGAATGCAGATTTTGGATAGGCTCATGGGAGGAGGCAATCTTTCAGGTAATCTGCCCATAAGTCATTTAGGTTTGAATTGTACTCCTTCAATTGAGTTCCGAAACAAATTGGAGACCAGCATAGTTGTTCCAAGACATGGGGCATGTCTTGAATGGTCCATAAAACCACAGCAAATGAAAGTATGGCCAATATTGTTTTGAGGTTACTGAAGCAATCTTCAAGGGCAGCCCCATATAGGGTATAGCATACTGAGAAGTATCATTCATGCTTGTTTTAAAAGAGTTGCCTAATTTTAGTACAGTAGTGGAGGAGAAGGGGTATGATT